GATTTATCGGGACTCTCCAAGGACTCGTTCGACCAGGGTGCAAGATTTGGTTTTTGCCCTAGCGCTACACACCTGATTCAACTAATCATCAAGCTTTGATCATTTAAATCAGCTGTGTAGTGTTTGGGCAAAAACCAAAGCGTGCACCCCTTGGGGTCCCGAGGACCGAGTTTGGGAAATGCTGCACAAATTACTTTTGTTCTAGACCTGGAAATGAAGTCTGTCCTGTTTGCAGCATTGTGTAATGGGTACATGTTTTACAGTTGTCAGAATTATGGTTGATGATGATCATAGACCTTTGCTGAATCACCATCCATACACAATTACAGTGGAAGGCCGTGAAAGATGCCAATATCTTTTGTGGCTATTTACAGCAAGGAGTTGCTTATTTATTTTGTGGCAATATTGCTTGTTCTTATTGTCTGCTGTCTGTCCCAATATGTATATTTTAACAATAAAAATGTATTGGGGGGGAGAAAAAGGAGTGCCTCAGTTTTTGATATAAATGCCTCAGGTTTTACACTTGGTCATTGGAACTGTTATATTATTGCTACACCACTTCAGCTGCAATAGGTGCTGTTGGTTTCAGCCACAAGAGGGTACTGGAGTACAAGAGCAGGCTTTTCCTCATCCCTGCTCTTGGATAGCCATTCTTTGCAGGCGCAAACTCAACCCCAGCATTTCATGAGACGTATCATGCACCGAACTCCCAACATTGACAAATGCGAAAAGAGTAAGCATACTTCGTCACTATAGCTCAATTATAAAGGAAAACATTATACAAACCAGCATTCTTTTGCGTCAGTCCATGGCAAGGAAATCTAATTCAACAGTAGGGGTTACCAATGTATCTTTGTTCAGCTGATCTCATTGATTCTTCAAAGGATCCTGTCACTGTTGAATCCTAGCCACTAAAGTGAGAATGCATGGTTCATTTGAAAGGGTTAATTCATTTCAATAAGCTAAATCACCACTGGCAGCCCTAAGATGATTACATAACCAAATCATTAACAGGGCCTTGACTGATTAAATGGGCCTGTGAGTGAACAGTATCACTGTTTTATGGGAATAACCCATTATGGCCTCAACATTTCTGAACAACAACCATTCACTATTAATCATGTTTCAAGCCCTTAACCCAGGTTAGAGTTTGGTTACAAAATAAAACCTTTAATTCAATAAAGCCCCATTGACATGTAGTTTGTATTGACGTTAGAATAATTATAATCATTCAAGTTCATATTTTATTTAACATAATTCATATTGCAGTCATTGTGAACAGCTGGGATTTCAATATACACAATAGAATTGTAACATTGTAAGCCCCCACCCCCCTCCCTACCCAATGAAATCTAACGGCCACCCCACCCAGAAAACCATAACAAAACAAAAAAGATCTCCCAATCCCACAACAGCCCTGCCTGCATTACTGATCCTGTCAATCTATGTCTGCGTCCGTCCGGTCGTCCTGTCTGTCAGTCCGAGCATCAGTCCTCTTGCCAGTGTGTGTCTATTGTCTGTATTATACGTCTGGGTTGGTATGTGTACCTGTCTGAAACACGTGTGTGCATGTGATAGCATATGCCTTGCGTGTCAGTAGGCATGTTGTTGAGGCGTGTGTGTGTATATTATACGTTTTGCCACCAAGCATGGGTGCGATCCGTCAGGTTCAGAGCTCCAGTAATCGAGAGGCGCTCGCATAGCGTTCAAAACATACAACGCAATCCTTTTGTAAAAGTGAGTAAGATGTCTGTATGTCTAAGTGCGTATCTCGTCTGTGTGTTTTTGTCCTTGTCCGCGAGCTGGAGGATCAGTTGGCATGTCTATCTCCGCAAAATAACAACTGTGGGCATCAGCAAAGTGGCATATACCGATTCTCTGAGCGACATTCACTGACCATCCAAACCTGTCATCTTTACCTTCGAATCCCCTCCCTTCCCCCGGGTGAAACCCCCACCATACTTCCCACTCCCGGCCCCATCGACCCCCTCCCTCCCCGACCACTCAAGTCTGTGTGTCAGTCAGTATCTCAGCGTGTGTAAACGGTAATGCGTCTTGGGGGGGGGGAAATTAAAGCAAAATGGGCGAGGAGCTATTTGAGACATCGCTCAAAATACGTGGCGCCCACATAGCCCCCCCGCAGCGACCGCTGGACATTCTGCTCAAAGAGCCTTCGGTTCGTCTGCAGGACCTCCGCCGCCTCTTTGTTCAAGGGGTCCTCTGGATTTGGCTCCTGAGGAGGAGGAGAAGGGCGTGGTTATTTGCCAGGTGTTCCTACCTGCTCCAACCAGTTGACCAATCTTTCAGAATCTGAAAGCCATAGTGCCTTCGGAAAGTATTCAGACCCCTTGACTTTTTCCACATTTTGTTACGTTACAGCCTTATTCTAAAATTGATTAAATTGTTTCCCCCCCCCTCATCAATCTACACACAATACCCCATAATGACAAAGCAAAAACCGTTTTTTGGAAATGTTTGCTAACTAAAGAAATTACATAAAAACTGATATCACATTTACGTAAGTATTCAGTACTTTGTTGAAGCACCTTTGGCAGCGATTACAGCCTGGAGGCTTCTTGGGTATGACACTACAAGCTTGGCACACCTGTTTTTGGGGAGTTTCTCCCATTATTCTCTGCAGATCCTCGCAAGCTCTGTCAGGTTGGATGGGGAGCGTTGCTGCACAGCTATTTTCAGGTCTCCAGAGATGTTCGATCGGGTTCAAGTCCGGGCTCTGGCTGGGCCACTCAACGACATTCAGAGACTTGTCCCGAAGCCACTCCTGCGTTGTCTTGGCTGTGTGCTTAGGGTCGTTGTCCTGTTGGAAGGTGAACCTTCACCCCAGTTTGAGGTCCTGAGCGCTCTGGAGCAGGTTTTCATCAAGGATCTCTGTACTTTGCTCCGTTCATCTTTCCCCTCGATCCTGACTAGTCTCCCAGTCCCTGCCGCTGAAAAACATCCCCACAGCATGATACTGCCACCACCATGTTTCACCATAGGGATGGTGCCAGGTTTCTTTCAGACGTGACGCTTGGCATTCAGGCCAAAGAGTTCAATCTTGGTTTCATCAGACCATAGAATCTTGTTTCTCATGGTCAGAGTCCTTTAACTCCAAGCGGGCTGTCATGTGCGTTTTACTGAGGAGTGGCCTCAGTCTGGCTTCAGTCAGTAACCTATTTAAATAAAAGGTTAAATAAAATACAAATAAAGTCTGGCCACTACCATAACGGCCTGATTGGTAAAGTGCTACAGAGATGGTTGTCCTTCTGGAAGGTTCTCCCATCTCTACAGAGGAACTCTGGAGCTCTGTCAATTGCTCAGTTTGGCCGGGTGGCCAGCTCTAGGAAGTGTCTTGGTGGTTCCAAACGTCTTCAATTTAAGAATGATGGAGGGCACTGTGTTCTTGGGGACCTTCAATGCTGCAGAAAGTTTTTGGTACCCTTCCCCAGATCTGTGCCTCGACAACAATCCTGTCTCGGAGCTTTACGGACAATTCCTTCGACCTGATGGCTTGGTTTTTGCTCTGACATGCACAGGTGTGTGCCTTTCCAAATCATGTCCAATCAACTGAATTTACTACAGGCGGACTCCAATCATGTTGTAGAAACATCTCAAGGATGATCAATGGAAACAGGATGCACCTGAGCTCAATTTTGAGTCTCATAGCAAAGTGTCTGAATACCTATGTAAAGAAGTTATTTATGTTTGTATTTTTAATAAATGTGCTACAATTTCTAAAAACCTGTTTTCGCTTTGTCATTATGGGGTATTGTGTGTAGATTGATGAGAAAAAAATTATTTAATCAATTTTAGAATAAGGCTGTAACGTAACAAAAATGTGGAAAAAGTCAAGGGATCTGAATACTTTCCGAATGCACTGTACATCCTGCTACATTCCTGATTCTAAGCATGGTGAACAAGGAAGAGTAATCAAACTTGGCTGGGCAAAATTGGAAATAGAATATTCCCTGTACTCACTAGAAATAGATACTGTAGTCCATATATGATCGAGTTAACTGTCAACACAGGCTTCCAGTCCTCTCTGTAAGAGAAAAATAGATGTTAAAGACACTGCTCAGTATAATAGTAAAAATGTAGAATTCTGTAGTCATTCTGAATTATCAAACCAGACAATGAAAACAAAGTGACCACAAAGTGCCAACAAAGTGGCCACAGTGCAGGTTGTGTACCTCAAGATATTTAGGCAGACATTGCCCTCCAAGTCAATGTTTGGGTGGTACACCATTGTCTCACACTTCACCTTCGGGGGGTCATGAGGGTAGCCCTGTCCTACCTGTAAAACAGAGCAGTCACAAGTAGTCAAAGGAAGATATTCTCTGACCTTTATCCATTCACTTTCTTTCGACTAACGACTGAGTTATTAACAACATGCTTACCATCAAGATTCTTAAAGACATGATCGGGAACTTTGGCGACTACTAAGTATTTTTTAAACCTCCCGCTATGGGCTGAATGTGTCAATGTGTAGTTCATACATGCATAATCTATGATCTGAATTACTGTCTTACCTCAATTAGACACAAAATCCCTAGTTTGAAAGCGACAGTTTTTTTGGAAGCTGTATTGCACCATTTCCCATACATTTTCCCCCACGTGAGCCAGCCCCTAGCAATTTGAGTTCTAGCCAATGAGCTTCAGCCCTTTCCATTTGAGTGAGAGCTAACAAGATGCCCACACAGTCGAGCCAGAGAGAGAGCAATGACGTGGTGCACATATCTTCACTTACACTGAGTGCACAAAACATTAAGGACACCTGCTTTTTCCACGACATAGACAGACCAGGTGAATCCAGGTAAAAGCTACGATCCCTTATTGAGGTAACTTGTTAAATCCACTTCAAATCAGTGTAGATGAAGGAGAGGAGACAGGTTAAAGAAGGGGTTTTAAACCTTGAGACAACTGAGACATGAATTGTGTATGTGTGCCATTCAGAGGTTTAATGGGCAAGACAAAAGACACAGTGCCTTCAGAAAGTATTCATACCCCGACTAACTGCACATTTTTGTTGTGATACACCCTGAATTCAGAATAGATTAAATATTTTTTTTTCTCATCCATCTACCCCATAATGACAAAGTGAAAACATGTTTTTAGAACTTTAGCAAATGTATTGAAAATGAAATACAGAAATATCTCATTTACATAAGTATTCACACCCCTGAGTCAGTACATGTTACAATCACCTTTGGAAGAGATTACAGCTGTGAGTCTTTCTGGGTAAGTCTCTAAGAGCTTTGCACACCTGAATTGTACAATATTTGCCCATTATTATTTTCTAAATTCTTCAAGCGCTGTCAAAATTGGTTGTTGATCATTGCTAGACAACCATTTCAAGTCTTGCCAAAGATTTTCAAACAGATTTAAGTCAAAACTGTAATTTGGCCACTCAGGAACATTCACAGTCTTCTTGGTAAAGCAACTCCAGTGTAGATTTGGCCTTGTGTTTTAGGTTACGGTCCTGCTGTAAGGTGAATTCATCTCCCAGTGTCTGGTGGAAAGCAGACTGAACCAGATTTTCTTCTAGGATTTTGCCTGTGCTTAGCTCCATTCCGTTTATTTGTTATCCTGAAAAACTCCCCAGTCCTTAACGATTCCAAGCATACCCAAAACATGATGCAGCCACCACTATGCTTGAAAATATGAAGAGTGGTACTCAGTAATGTGTTGTATTGAATGTGCCCCAAACATAACACTTTTCAGGACAAAAAGTTAATTACTTTAGCGCCTTGTTGCAAACAGGATGCATGTTTTGGAATATTTTTTTTATTATGTACAGACTTCCTTCTTTACACTGTCAATTACGTTAGTATTGTGGAGTAACTACAATGTTGATCCATCCTCAATTTTCTATCACAGCCATTAAACTCAGTAACTGTTTTAAAGTCACCATTGGCCTCATCGTGAAATCCCTGAGCGGTTTCCTTCCTCTCCGGCAACTGAGTTAGCAAGGACGCCTGCATCTGTGTAGTGAGTGGGTGTATTGATACACCGTCCAAAGTGTAATTAATAACTTCACCATGCTCAAAGGAATATTCAATGTCTGCTTTTTTTTTTTAACCATTTACCAATAGGTGCCCTTCTTTGCAAGGCATTGGAAAACCTCCTTGGTCTGAGGTTGAATCTATGTTTGAAATGCACTGGTCGACTGAGTAACCTTACAGATAATTGTATGTATGTGTGGGGTACAGGGATGAGGTAGTCATTCAAAAAGCATGTTAAACACTATTATTGCACACAGTCAGTCCATGCAACTTATGTGACTGGTTAAGCTAATTTTTTACTCCTGAACTTATTTAGGCTTGCCATAAGAAAGGGGTTGAATACTTGACTCAAGCCATTTCAGCTTTTCATTTTTTATTACATTTGTAAAAATTCCGAAAAACATATTTCCACTTTGACATTACGGGGTATTGTGTGTAGGCCAGTGACAAAAAATCTCAATTTAATCTATTTGAAATTCTGTTACACAACTAAATGAGGAAGAAGTCAAGGGATTTCTGAAGGCACTGTAAAGTGCCTTTGAACGGGGTGCGGTAGTAGGTGCCAGGCGCACCGGTTTGTGTAAAGAACTGCAACGCTGCTGGGTTTTTCACGCTCAACAGTTTCCTGTGTGTATCAAGAATGGTCCACCACCCAAAGAACATCCAGCCAACTTCACACAATTGTGGGAAGCATTGGAGTAAACATCGACCAACATCCTTGAGAAACGCATTCGATACCTTGTAGAGTCCATGCCCCGACAAATTGAGGCTGTTCTGAGGGCAACTCAATATTAGGACGGTGCTCTTAATGTTTTGTATCAGCGTATGTGATTTAGTACACCATTTTCAGGGGCCACTTTTGGCTTGTGAGCGCTACTTTCAGAACTACTGTCTAAAAAGTATACACAAGTACCGGAGAATCTCTTTAAGGCATTTAGAATCAGAAAAACAAAAAAGAGAACAGCTTGAATCTAAAAACATGCAACAGCACAACTTTTGTTAAAGGTCCAGTGCAGCCATTTTTATCTCAATATCAAATAATTTCTGGGTAACAAATAAGAATCTTACTGTGATTGTTTTCAGTTAAAATGGTAAACAAGAAGCCAAAACAGCTTCTTAGCAAAGAGCAGTTTCTCAAGCAAGAATTTTGCTGGGACTGTCTGGGAGTAGTCCGAGTGTAGAGGGGAAAACGAAAAAAATAGCTGTTATTGGAATTAAGGTTTGGAACTCTGGTTCTCATTAGTCTATTAACCAATGTCCGCCTAGTGATGTCACCAGGCAGGCCAAAACTCCATCCCACTAAAACAGGCCGAAATTTCAGGTGGTCTTTTCAAAACAGCTCTTACACTAAAACGACTTTATAATAATTTTCACAGTATTATTCCATCCTCATAGTGTGGAAATATACACTCAGTGATCAATGTATTAGGTACACCACCCCATTCACAAAAATGGTTAGCTCCTACAGACAGTGAGTCACGTGGCCATGGCTTGCTATATAAAGCAGGCAGACAGGCATTGAGGCATTCTGTTACTGTTTGAATGAACGTTAGAATGGGCAAAACAAGTGACCTAAGCGACTTTGAGCGTGGTATGATCGTAGGTGCCAGGAGCGTCGGTTCCTCCTGGGCTTTTCACGCACGACAGTGTCTAGGGTTTACCGAGAATGGTGCGACAAACAAAAAACATCCAGTCAGCGGCAGTCCTGTTGGTGAAAACCGCTTGTTGATGAGAGTTCAAAGGAGAATGGCAAGAATCGTGCAAGCTAACAGGCGGGCCACAAACGGCGCAGTACAACAGTGGTGTGCAGAACGGCATCACGGAACGCACAACTCGTCTGACCTTGTCACGGATGGGCTACTGCAGCAGACGACCACACCGGGTTCCACTCCTATCAGCTATAAACAACAAGAAGCGCCTCCAGTGGGCACGAGATCACCAACACTGGACAATTGAGGAGCGGGAAAAATCCTGGTTCCTGTTGCGTCATACTGATGGTAGAGACAGGATTTGGCATAAGTCGCATGAGTCCAAGGCCTCATCCTGCCTGGTGTCAACGGTACAGGCTGATGGCGGTGGTGTAATGGTGTGGTCCCTTGATACCAACTGAGCAACGTTTGAACACCACACCTTGTAGAATCACCTTGAAGAACTCAGGCTATTCTGGAGGCAAAGGGGGGTCCGACACAGTAGTAGGTGGGTGTACCAAAAACGGGCCACTGAGTGTATATAAAACACAGGAAAATCACATTTCTGACTGCACTGGGCCTTTAACCAGTCAATACTGACATTAAAAACGTCTGATACCAAATTGTGACCCTAAAAATACCACAAAACAATAGCTATCAAGTAGGTGTAATGCCATTAACAACAGTTTAGTGTGAAAGTAAAGCAAGGGTGTAGTGACTCATGTCGTCCCGATGTCTGTCCACCCACATTAAGCCCCCTTACCTTAAAGCTGAAGACAAACTTTCCCCCTTTGTAAAAGCCCTAAAAAGAGAGAAAATAACCTGAGAATGTGTTTACATATGGGTTTCTATGAATGCTGTTCATAGCCTGTTTGGTGGGTTGGCATGAGATAATGTCAATGTACAGTGCTAAATAATACATTGTGTACAAAGTATTTATCCTTGGATATTAGTTGATAAGCCACCACGTTAGCATTACAAACCATTCATTAGTTGCAACTGTACAAGTTTGAGTACAATAGTTAAAGGTTTAATAAACACATATGACATATGGAGGATTCTCTCTGACAAGTAGCTAGTAGCTACAACTTGTTTCAGGAAAGAGTGAAGACCTCGTCTGGTGAGATGATCAGTTTGAAGTTGAGCAGATCATCTTGGTCGGGGAAGACGATCTCGCACGTCTTTGGGAGGTTCAGCTCATTGATGTCTGCGAGAGAGTAAGGAGAAAATTAATATGTCTCAATGAATAACAGAGTTTTTGCATCGATTTCTTTTCAGTGGCATGAATGAAACCTGCCTGGCAGAAATATGAAAACTAAAGTGTTATTTTTTCCCGCTTTTTAAAAAAAACTGACAAAAAGTGGCGTGTAAATGGTATTGAAGGCACCTGAGCAACGCAGTCCAATGAACACCGTCCAATGATTCCTTCTGAAGTGCTGGGGTGATCCCACACCAGTGGTGGTATTTTCCCTCTCACTCTGAGGTCTTTCAAACTGTAATGGTCGCCCCGCAGTATTTCCTATATTCTGCTTTGAATAACACACCTGATCTTTTTCTACAGAGTTTAATATGCGAACAGAGTCAGTTCACTTAAAAATGAGGAAAACCAATTCCTGACTATGTTGTGGTCCTCTAGCCTAATAACTAAACAACATTCTTTAAGTATATTGGTCACGGTATATAGGTCCCGTTGGTTTTAGGTGGCCTTCATCCACTATGAAATCAAAGATTAGCTTAATCTTTCAAAATCATGGGCTTGAGTCTATACAGCAGCTTGAATTAAAGGCCAACTGGATATCTTATATGAGGTCCATGGTGTTACAAGGATCATGCACCAAACAACTGAGCCATTGGAACAAAACCACCACACTCATCACAGGGGTGGTTTAAATTCCATTATCCAAGTATCTGGGAAAACATTTGTTTACGTGGTTGTGTGGGGCTTTTCAAAACATGGTTCATGTCTTTTCACATATATCCAACCACAGCATTTCCTCATTCTGGACAGCTGGAAATGTCAAGTTCACTTTTGAATCAATATTATTAGCGAAAGACCTGGCTTAACAACTCTGTAACTACTTTATAAGGCTGAGGTTATAAAACATATTTCTTGCCATCCAACTCCCAGTCAGTCTTTAACTGTTCCAAGTGTCATGTGTTCTGTCATGAAAGGTATGAAAAGTTTCAATGTCTCACATGTATCTTTGCATTAATAACATTAACTAGCCTATCTACATGTTGTACACAGTTACTTTGTGACAAACAGTGTACTCCAACACACTGGCCAGAAACTATGTTTGCAACCTTGGTAAGTAAGTAAGTGAGGCAAACATCCTGGCTAGTGATAGTTACTCCAAGTCAGTACAGCTAACTAGAATTGTATAAGTTGCTGACTAATGAAAAGCAAAGGTTACTTTTACGTTACTCAATAACACCAATAGTGATATCCTCAATAGTGTAAGACACATTTGTGATATTCGGTTGAATAATTAACAATAATAATAACCCACGTTTTTGAACTAGTTAGCATCAGACAGAAGTAGCAAGCTAACTAACTTTAATCTGCTTAATGGGTGTAGCTACTGGTAGCTTGTGTTTTCTCTTTTGCACGAACTGCTTAGTGGCACATCTAAATTGAAACATTGATAACTTAGCTAGCTACTAAACAAATTACCAAATATACAGTAAGTTAGCTAGCTATCTAAGTCACTAGTTAACTAGCAGGGCACATTAACTAACTTACAAGGGTGCTAACTAACAAGAAGTGCTGTAAATTTGAGTTGACTCCCTGCCTTCACCATCTTCTGGCTGCGACGTTTTGAGTTTTGTTTTCATAATAGCTAGCTAACGTTAGCCAGATGGTTAGCCAACTAGCTAGGTAACTAGCTCAGCCTCCTATGGCAATACACACCCGTTTTTGTTGTGTCTTTGTTTATTAACCATGTGGACAGACAAGTTAATTAAACAAATATGTTCATGGTTTAAAAATAAACCATCTGATTTTAAAGAAGCCAGTTAGCCTACCTTTCTGTATTCGAAGCTGGGCCGCGCTTGCTTTTTTACCCCCGGCTCCTGTTCTGTTTCCTCCAGCAGATTCCTCGTCTTTCTTCTGCTGCTTCAGAGAAAAGAGCTTAATCATCTTCAATTAGTTTATTGAAGATCTATATTTCAGTTCCTTCAATTAGATACAACTCTTTGTCTTAAATTTAGGCAGAGGTATGACTCAATACAGCACCGTAATGTTGTTGTAGCCGGTGCGTCTCAGCTACAATATCGGAAGACTAGCTAATAGCCTAGCTAGCTCGATAGCACTGCTGCGTGAGACAGTAACGTTACGATGCCAAGGTAGCGAGAGTGAAGGGGGGGGGGGGGGGGGTTCTGAAAGAACAGTGGAGGTACACAAACTGGACCAGTTTGTTTCTGTTGATATGAAATCATTGGATATTGCCTAGTTGGGCTACTCATATTCATAAGCTTTATTTAACTTATACTCATATTGGAGGGTAAGCTAATTAGGGTTACTGCAAATGTTCATATTTTCTGGTTGAGCAACAGCCAGAAACTATTTGATTCAGATGTACAATGTTAAATCTGTGTTGATCATAGCTTACACAAAATAATCATGTAGGATACACATATGTATTTGCAGCACTGCACTGGACAGTATTCTGTCTCCCAGACAAGAACAATATGCTTGGAAAATGAGTTAAAACATCTTTGTCACATTTAATTATTACTATCTCAGTATAGAGTACCACAGTATGAGTCATAATACCCATAAAACAAGGACATTTTTCCAATAACTTCTCCACCATTCATTTTTCCCATAGGGGATTTTAGAAACACTTAAAACAAGGTCTGTGTTTCGTGTAGGCTTACCCCGGAGAGACGTTTTGATAACTGTGTAATTCACTCTAGGACAAGGGAATTATCAACATATTCGCCTGTATTTACCTGCCAAATATGAAATGCTAATTAGCTGCTAACTACAAATGCCATGATGATCTGGACGAGACTGCCAAATCAAGGCAAAGGTAAGAATCTCTGGATTAACTATCTAATGTTAGCAAAATTTAGTAATGAATAAATTGGCTACATTTCTTTAAATTGACAATTCTGTGAACTGTCTTGTGCTAGTTTTAAATTGACACAATACCTGTTAGCAAAGGTGTCAACATGCAGGGATTTGTAGTCTTGCATGGTGTCTACTTTGATGATAATTTGTGTTTTTGAATCTGAGTAAATAGAGCCAAATATATTGAAAAGTCACCTTGTCCGAGAGAGATTTACATGCTTATCAAAACGTCACGCCAGGGTAAGCCTACACGAAACACAGCCCTTAGTAAGTGTTTCTAAAATTCCCTGTGGGAAAAATAAATGGTGGAAAAACAATTGGAACCATTTCCCTGTTTGACCGCTAGGTTTTATGGGTATTATGACACTTCCAGTGTGTGGCTCTATAACTGTTGTGTGTGTGTGAGTGTGTGTGTGTGTGTGTGTGAGTGAGTGAGTGAAAAAACAGTGTGCCATCACAGCTGCAAGATTTGTGACCTGTTGCCACAAGAAAAGGGCAACCAGTGAAGAACAAACACCATTGTAAATACAACCCATATTTATGTTGATTTATTTTCCCATTTGTACTTTAACTATTTGCACATTGTTACAACACTGTATATATACATAATGACATTTGAAATGTCTTTATTCTTTTGAAACTTCTGAGTGTAATGTTTACTGTTAATATTTATTGTTTATTTATTTCTCTACCAACTGAGCTACATCCCTGCCGGTTGGTAGAGCATGGCGTTTGCAACGCCAGGGTTGTGGGTTCGATTCCCACGGGGGGCCAGTATGAAAAATTTAAAAAAACAAATAATAATGTATGCACTCACTAACTGTAAGTCGCTCTGGATAAGAGCGTCTGCTAAATGATAAAAATGTAAATGTAAAATGTATTGGGTAACCCAGGGGTAATCTACCCTTCTGTCTCTTCACACCTTTTTTTGAATGTACAGTTTCAGAATTTTTTGTGTGTGGATATTTTAGACACAGAATGAAATTGCCCACTGCTCTCCATCCATCACAAAATACATACAGATGTTTACTGACTATATGAATGTCCAACAAGGCTTCTTTTGTATGGAGGACTAAAAGTGCCACAATTAAATAAATAAATACACCATTAAATAATTACTTAAATGTGTCATTAATTAATTCAAATTAGAATTAAATACATAAATGTGTAATTAAATGTATCATTAATTAATTCAAATACCGATTCATTTTATGTAAAATACATATATAATAATTTCACTATTTACATTTACATTTCATGGTCCTGCGTTGGAGTGCTTCCTGAATTACTTAAAACTGTCAAACTGACCCATCAAAAGTTGGTAGGCGGAACCTAACGCCTGATTGGTTACCCTCTGCATCAAGCCAAGACAAATCAATTCCGGATAATGTCAGCAGGTCCTGCTTCTACATCCTCTGCTAAGTTTAAAATGTCTCTAACCAACTCCCTGGAAAGTTCACGGAGATCCTCCATTGTCTCTATCCAGGTTGGCTTACTCTACTTCAGACCAAAGCAATGGATCAGACTAGATTCGCGTTAGCCCCGCCCACTGACTTTGATGGGTCAGTTTGACAGTTTTAAGTAATTCATGAATCACTGCAATGCAGGATCATGAAATGTAAATGTAAATAGTGAAATAATTATATATGTATTTTACATAAAATGAATCGGTATTTGAATTAATTAATGACACATTTAATAACACATTTATGTATTTAATTCTAATTTTAATTAATTAATGACACATTTAAGTAATTATTTAATGGTGTATTTATTTATTTAATTGTGGCACTTTTAGTCCTCCATACTTTTGCAGCCTTTTAGTGGGACAATTAGAACTTGGGGTTGGTTGGTTCTACACTCTTTATACTACAAATCCCACAATTCCATAGACTTTACTCCTGACGTCCTGAAGGGGAGGCGCGGCAATATTTTTCCTCCCCATATTTTATTTACTATATTTATTTATTTAATTTTTTCAATACAAAAATGGAGAACGATGGCCACATATCTTACCAAGAACATACGGCCGAACGTGTCTAAGAATTGAAGTACCAAGGTCGCTGACGAGCTAATAAAAAAACCACAAAACAAGAATCACACAATAGAAAACGAGAACAATAGCCACGCTCACACGTCTACTCAGATTTTCTCTTTCATTTTGACTGGAATTTATAGGGAAACCCGCAGCAAACGTTTAAGCTGCGAAATACGATTTTTTTAAAACTAAACGCTTTCTCTCGAAATCATGTGCCATTTTGCATGTTTTGAAGACCTCAAGAACACGTCGGAAGACGTTTGAGAGACCAAGAAACAGGGAGAGGGGTCAACGAAAGGAGTGAATGGCACAAAAAACGCTCTGTGTTGCGTCTTGAAATGTATTGTTACATACCCATTCGGCAACCCTTTACATCTCTGCCTAATCTAGAGTAGAGCGAACACGGGCAAGAAGGAAAAATCTAGCTAGCTTTCTAGCTACCATTATTACTGTAACAACATGGAACGCATGTGAACGTGCCACACAGGACCCAGAATCAGCAAGAAAGGCTGCAGGAGAAACAAGGAAGCGATCCCCTAACAGCTAATATCAAAGCTAGCTAGCTAACTGTTGGCTAATAATATTATTTCTAATGCGCGACCAAGGAGTATGCGACTCGATACCAAGAGGTTAGTAATTATAACAGTTTACCACTAAACTCATCTTCAATGTGAGCAGGTATCAACTACATTGTTTTTGCAAGATGGTGAGCAATATGAAAGAGGAAGAGCATATTGCAGGGAAGCGAATAGAGGAGAGATGACGGAGGACTTTGTCTAATCAATTGATCATTGTATTCATTTATATAACAATGCATTTTTTTCAATGTTATTAATGTACAGCATGTTCACTACACAACATGTAGTGAACTAACTACGTACAGTAGCTAGTAAAGCAGCCACACTGGTTAGCTAACTAACGTTAGCTGCTAAGTTATTGGCTGCGCATCTTCATTGTAGCTAGCTAGCTAACGTTAGCTAGTCATCCAATTCAATCTTGCGCTACAGGCCATAATGTGGGCAGCCATGTATCCTTACAGAATGGCCAAGTACCTCCCAACAAAAAACATTGCTATGAAAATTACAAGCATGTTTTATCAATACATGATTTGTGTGCTAAGTAAATGGTTGTTGTGGTTGTTAGCAAGTAGGCTAACAAGCTTGCTTGCCACAGTAGCTAGCAACGCCAAGACTTGGTTGAATGATTTGTTGCCATCTCATGAATCAAACCCCAGTATTTACTGAATTATTTCCTATAAAACATGTCACTGGATGTATGTTTACTGCGCTATAACACACCCATTTAATGCCTTGGTTTAATAGGCAAAGGTTCCTCTGGGGAGGCACACATTGAAATGACTGTTTTCATTTCATGAGTAAATGGCTGGGACAAAAACATTTTTTTAGTGATCCAATTGACATTTTAGTCATTTAGCAGACGCTCTTATCCAGAGCGACTTACAATTAGTGAGTGCATACATTTTTCATACTGGCCCCCCATATATCTCAGTTCAGTTTCTGCAATCTCATGCCTCTGTCCTTCATTACCCTCTCTCCTTCCTTAGCCCCTCTCTTTGTGTGAGATGGAGAGAGAGCAATACACTTGGTCCATGTTTGGCTCTAATTTATAACATCCTATATTATCCTCATCTCTGCTTTTCACCCCCCTCCTAAACCAGCTTGGTGTCAGTGCATTACTCTGTCTCATTATATTCCACACGCATCTATTTATCTACATTAATTCATGCAAAGTATAGCCTACACATTAGGGTTGGGCTGATATATGATTAAATCGAATATCGTGATATTTGACATTGACGATATATCGGGACGTGCAAGACTATACTCTATTGAATCAAAACTGTGCAGTTTTATCAGTTAGGCTGTATCAATATGTTGAAAATTAAGTCCAAATGAATGAACTAAGATTATTTAATGAGAATGTGACCAATATTGTAAATCAGCCCACAAATTGAACAGTCAGGAATTATTTAGTCATTAACAGTGCAAAACGATTTTTGGATATTGCGATTTTTTGAAGTAGCATATTGTAGCACTCCTCAAATATGTCCCAACCCTACTACACATCTGACATGAAATCAAATATTATTTTTTTTGTCACATTTGCTTCGTTAAACAACAGGTGTAGACTAACAGTGATGTGCTTACTTATGGGCCCTTCCCAACAATGCAGAGACAAAGAAAAAATAGAAAAGTAATAATAAATACCCAATGAGTAATGATAACTTGGCTATATACACGGGGTACCAGTACCGAGTCGATGTGCAGGGGTACAAGGTAATTGAGGTATATATGTTCATATAACTAGGAATAGAGTGACTAGGCAACAGGATAGATAATAAGCAGAAGCATAAGTGATGAGTACATTTTTTTGTTGTTGCAAAAAGGGTCAATGCAGATAGTCCGGGAGCTATTTGGTTAACTATTTAACCAACTATTTAGCAGTCTTATGGCTTGGGGTATAAGCTGTTAAGGGTCCTGTTGGTTCCAGACTTGGTGCATCGGTACTGCTTGCCATGTGGTAGCAGAGAGAGCAGTCAATGACTTGGGTGGCTGGAGTCTTTTGTAGGGCCTTCCTCTGACACCGCCTGGTATAGAGGTCCTGGATGGCAGGGAGCTCGGCCCCAGTCATGTACTGGGACGTATGCACCACCCTCTGTAGCACCTTGCAGTCGGATGCCAAGCAGTTGCCATACCAAGTGGTGATGCAGCCAGTCAAGATGCTCTCAATGGTGCAGCTGTATAACTTTTTGAGGATCTTAGCGCCCACAGCAAATCTTTTCAGCCTCCTGAGGGGGAAGAGGCGTTGTTGTTCCCTCTTTGCAACTGTTGGTGTGTGTCGACCATGATAGGTCCTTAGTGATGTGGAAACCGAGGAACTTGAAGCTCTCAACCCACTCCACTACAGCACTGACGATGTGAATGGGGGCATGCTCGGCCCTCTGTTTCCTGTAGTCCACAATCAGCTCCTTTATCTTGCTGACTTTGAGGTAGAGGTTGTTGTCCAGGCACCACACTGCCAGATCTCTTACCTCCTCCCTATAAGCTTTCTGATTGTCGTCGGTGATCAGGCCTACCACCGTCGTGTCGTCAACAAACTTAATGATGGTGTTGAAGTCGTGAGTGGCCACACAGCCATGGGTAAACAGGGAGTACAGGAGGGACTAAGCATGCACCCCTGAGGGGCCCCCGTGTTGAGGGTCAGCGTGGCAGATATGTTGTTGCCTACCCTCACCAGCTGGGGGTGGCCCGTCAGGAATTCCAGGATCCAGTTGCAGAGGGAGGTGAGCTTGGTGGGTACTATGGTGTTGAATGTTGAGCTGTAGTCAATGAACAGCATTCTCACATAGGTGTTCCTCTTGTCCAGGTGGGAGAGGGCAGTGTGGATTGCTATAGAGATTGTGTCATCTGTGGATCTGTTGGGGCGGTATGCGAATTGGAGTGGGTCTGGGATGATGGTCTTGATGTGAGCCTGTCAAAGCATTTCATGGCTACAGATGTGAGTGCTACGGGCGATAGTCATTTAGAGAGGTTACTTTGGCGTTCTTGGGCACAGGGACTATGGTGGTCTGCTTGAAACATGTAGGTATTACAGACTGGGTCAGGGAGAGGTTGAAAATGTCAGTGAAAACACTTGCCAGCTGGTCAGCGCATGCTCTGAGTACGCGTCCTGGTAATCCGTCTGGCCTTGAATGTTAACCTGTTTTAAATGTCTTACTCACATTGGCTACAGAGAGAGTGATCACACAGTCATCTGGAACAGCTGGTGCTTTCATGCATGGTTCAGTGTTGCTTGCTTCAAAGCAAGCATAGAAGGCATTTAGCTTGTCTGGTAGGCTTGCGTCACTGGGCAGCTCACGGCTGGGTTTCCCTTTGTAATCCGTGATAGTTTGCAAGCCCTGCCACATCTGACGAGCGTCAGAGCTGGTGTTGTAGGATTCGATCTTAGTCATGTATTGACACTTTGCCTGTTTCATGGCTCGTCGGAGGTTGTAGCGGGATTTCTTATGAGCGTCCGGATTAGTGTCCCGCTCCTTGAAAGCAGCAGCTCTAGCCTTTAGCTCAGTGCGGACGTTGCTTGTAAATCATTGCTTCTGGTTGGGATATGTACGTACTGTCACTGTGGGGACAACGTTGTCGATGCACTTATTAATGAAGCCGGTGACTGATGTGGTACTCAATGACCTCGGATGAATCCCGGAACATATTCCAGTCTGTGCTAGCAAAACTCATGCTGGACGGGAGCAGATGACATGCACCCCTTGAATCGCTGGTCTTTAAAATCCAGACACTGCACTCCGCAATGCCCCAAAAGTCCAAAAAAGCCTTCTGAATTCTATCCGAAGGGAATCACTTTTCGTTGTGTATTACTCGTTAACAGGCAAAATATGCCTAACCCTCGTGTAATTGTACAGTAGATAGGCCTGTACAGTTCTGTTTCCTATAGGTTTTTAAATAAGCACTATGCCTTTAAGCACCATCCAGAGGTTGTGGCACCAACATTAAAGTTGGCCTCTTAAACAAATGTCCACGATCTAATGATGCATCATGGGACCATTAGACATTTCAAAGCCTATTCTCTCAGCCTAAAATATATCTGTTTAGTTGCCCACGCAATGCAATTTGAACCTCCCAAAACACCTCAATATCCTCAGTCACTCATGATGCAATAATTATCTTCCTGACCAGTCTCTTTGTTTAGGCAGGAACCACATTCTTGTTTACAGAAGAGAAGACCCAGGGCCTCAGTGCCTTAGCCATGGGCTCTTTGATCCTGGCTGTTCGAGGAAATTTAGGAATCACCTGTACTAGTTCCTAGAGTGAAGGGGCGAGGTGGGATTCGTTGGTACAAGAAACAATATCTGTTAAGTTCCCAAGGCTTTGTGTTCTAAGTTATGCAACTAGCTTGGGGCTTGTCACATGGGCTTGGGCTAAGAGTAAACCAACCCTATTTTTATTAGAGGCCTTGGAATGCGGAGATTCCATACACTCCCTGCAGTATGTGCCCTGTTGGATTTGATAACATGGGGGTAAGGAGCATAGACCATGCGCTATAGCTATAGCCTGTCAGCACTTATGGTGTCTGTCTGAGGAGTAGTCTACAGAGCAGACAGGCCTCCTGTTGCCCACTAGTGTTTGCACTGTCAGTCTTTCTCTCTGTCTGGCATGCGTGTTCAGTATGTTCACTGAATAAGCTCTTGTCCCTTCTCCTCTTTCCTTCTCTTTAGCTATCCTGCTGTCTTTGGAGCACACTCCAGTTTGTGTATGTTCATGAACTGTTTGTCCTCCCTCCCATATGACATGAGGGGATATCCAGATTGTGGTGCTTATCTGTATTTGCAGTGTATATTTCTGCTAACCTGTCTAATTTTCTTCAGTTACTGCAGTGGGGATGTCTGGATGTTAACCTGTCTCCTGTTTTCCAGTTGACTGTAGTGTATGTAAAGTTTGTGTTGACCTCTCTCCTCAGTTGACTGCAGAGGGGATGTCAGACAGTATATGGTATAGGCTGTAGCTGCATATGTAGTGCATAAGACTGTCTGTTATGTACAGTGCATTCAGGAAGTATTCAGACCCCTTCACTTCTTCCACATTTTGTTACATTACAGCCTTATTCTAAAGTGGATAAAATAGTTTTTCCCCCCCCTATCAATCTACACACAATGCCCCTAATGACAAAGCAAAAACAGGTTTTAGGAATGTTTGCTAATTTATAAACATTTTAAAAAACGGAACTATTATATTTACGCAAGTCTTCAGACCCTTTACTCAGTACTTTGTTGAAGCACCTTTGGCAGCGATTACAGCCTTGAGTCTTATTGGGTATGATGCTACAAGCTTGGCACACCTGTATTTGGGGAGTTTCTCCCATTTTTCTCTGTAGATCCTCTCAAGCTCTGTCAGGTCGGATGGGGTGCATCGCTGCACAGCTATTTTCAGGTCTCTCCAGAGATGTTTGATCGGGTTCAAGTCCGAGCTCTAGCTGGGCCACTCAAGGACATTCAGAGACTTGTCCCGAAGCCACTCCTGCGTTGTCTTGGCTGTGTGCTTAGGGTCATTGTCCTGTTGGAAGGTGAACCTTCGCCCCATTCTGAGGTCCTGAGCACTCTGAAGCAGGTTTTCATTAAGGATCTCTATCTATACTTTGCGCCATTCATCTTTCCCTCGATCCTGACTAGTCTCCCAGTCCCTGCCGCTGAAAAACATTCCCACAGCATGATGCTGCCACCACCATGCTTCGCCGTAGGGATGGCCAAAGAGTTCAAGATTTGTTTAATCAGACCAGAGAATCTTGTTTCTCGTGGTCTGAGAGTCCTTTAGATGCCTTTTGGCAAATTCCAAGCGGGCTGTAATGTGCCTTTTACTGAGGACTGGCTTCCGTCTGGCCACAAAGGCCTGATTGGTAAAGTGCTGCAGAGATGGTTGTCCTTCTGGAAGGTTTTCCCATCTCCACAGAGGAACTCTGTCAGAGTGACCATTGGGTTCTTGGTCACCTCCCTGACCAAGGCCCTTCTCCCCCGATTGCTCAGTTTGGCCGGGCGGCCAGCTCTAGGAAGAGTCTTGGTGGTTTCAAACGTCTTCCATTTAAGAATGATGGAGGCCACTGTGTTCTTGGGGACCTTCAATGCTGCAGACATTTTTTGGTACCCTTCCCCAGATCTGTTCCTCGACACAATCCTGTCTCAGATCTTTACGGACAATTCCTTCGACATGCACTGTCAACTGCGGGACCTTATATAGACAGTTGTGTGCCTTTCCAAATCATGTCCAATCAATTGAATTTACCACAGTTGGACTCCAATCAAATTGTAGAAACATCTCAAGGATGATCAATGGAAACAGGATTCATCTGAGCTCAATTTTGAGTCTCATAGCAAAGGGTCTTAATACCTAAGGTATCTGTTTATTATTTTTAATACATTTGCAAAAATGTCTAAAAACCTGTTTTCGCTTTGTCATTATGGGGTATTGTGTGTAGAGTGAGATTATATTTTTTAAAAAGTTTTAGAATAAGGCTGTAATGTAACAAAACATTTATGTTTACCTGTATCTCTTTTTTTTCTCTCCAGTGGGGAGGTCTGACTGCAGGCATCTAGTATATGTAGTGTATATTTGTATTGACCTTTGTTTCTCTCCTCTCCCCAGTTGACTGCAGAGGGAATGTCAGGCAGTAAGGCTCTGGGAGGGGCACGGCGGCGGCGGACGCGGTGCCGGCGCTGTCAGGCCTGCATGCGGACAGAGTGCGGCGAGTGCCACTTCTGCAAGGACATGAAAAAGTTTGGCGGGCCCGGAAGGATGAAGCAGTCCTGTCTGCTCCGACAGTGCACAGCGGTAAGTTAGAACGCACACTAGTGATGGGGGGAGAAATCGATAGTTGCATATCACAATATTATTTTTGAGGATATACTGTATCGTTTTTACAATATTGCAATATTATTCTGCGCTAGTTGGGTGTACCTGTACCAAAACTCCAGTATTTATCCTTCATAGTTTGTTCTCTATCTTCTTTTTAAATAGGCAGCCAATTTGTTTTCAGCCATTTTCTATTTCCATGACTGATCAAAACTTGTTTTCTCATGGCTCTCTCTTGTCCCTCTGCAGTAGACATATGGTGAGCAATATGTTTGAACATCGAATCGCAATAAAATCACAGGATCGAATTGCAATACATATATAATTGTGAGAATCGCGTAACATGTCGTATCAGCACCAAATATCGTATTGCGAGGTCCCTGGCAATTCCTTAGCCCTAACACACACTGCTCATTTTTGCCATTTTCATATACTCCGCTGTTTGCACCTCACACACACTTGCATCGTTACCAATATTATTGTACTCTCACTTGGAAAAGTGCAACTGCTCTATTACATCTGAAAGTAAATGCATTAGTAAATGTATAAATTGTACAACCGATGCCATTTTCTAGATAGGCTGGAACATCTGGCACTAACCTTTGGAACATGCACAGGACATACAGTGCATTCGGAAAGTATTCAGACCCCTTACCTTTTTCCACATTTTGTTATGTTACCGCCTTATTCTAAAATTGATTAAATACGTTTTTCTCCTCATCAATCTACACACAATACCCCATAATGACAAAGCGAAAACAGGTTTTTAGACATTTTTGCAAATGTATTAAAAATAATAAACAGATACCTTAGGTATTAAGACCCTTTGCTATGAGACTCAAAATTGAGCTCAGATGAATCCTGTTTCCATTGATCATCCTTGAGATGTTTCTACAATTTGATTGGAGTCCAACTGTGGTAAATTCAATTGATTGGACATGATTTGGAAAGGCACACAACTGTCTATATAAGGTCCCGCAGTTGACAGTGCATGTCGAAGGAATTGTCCGTAAAGATCTGAGACAGGATTGTGTCGAGGAACAGATCTGGGGAAGGGTACCAAAAAATGTCTGCAGCATTGAAGGTCCCCAAGAACACAGTGGCCTCCATCATTCTTAAATGGAAGACGTTTGAAACCACCAAGACTCTTCCTAGAGCTGGCCGCCCGGCCAAACTGAGCAATCGGGGGAGAAGGGCCTTGGTCAGGGAGGTGACCAATAACCCGATGGTCACTCTGACAGAACTCCAGAGTTCCTCTGTGGAGATGGGAGAACCTTCCAGAAGGAAAACCATCTCTGAAGTACTCCACCAATCAGGCCTTTATGGTAGAGTGGCCAGACGGAAGCCACTCTTCAGTAAAAGGCACATGACAGCCCGCTTGGAGTTTGCCATAAGGCACCTAAAGGACTCTGACTATGAGAAACAAGATTCTCTGGTCTGATGAAACCAAGATTGACATTTTTGGTCTGAATGCCAAGCGTCACGTCTGGAGGAAACCTGGCACCATCTCTACGGTGAAGCGTGGTGGTGGCAGCATCATGCTGTGGGGATGTTTTTAGGGGACAGGGAGACTAGTCAGGATCGAGGGAAAGATAAACGGTGCAAAGTACAGAGAGATCCTTGATGAAAACCTGCTCCAGAACGCTCAGGACCTCAGAATGGGGCAAATGTTCACCTTCCAACAGGACAACGACCCTAAGCACACAGCCAAGACGACGCAGGAGTGGCTTCGGGACAAGTCTCTGAATGTCCTTGAGTGGCCCAGCCAGAGCCCGGACTTGAACCCGATCTGACATCTCTGGAGAGACCTGAAAATAGCTGTGCAGCAACGCTCCCAATCCAATCTGACAGAGCTTGAGAGGATCTGCAGAGAAGAATTGGAGAAACTCCACAAATACAGGTGTGCCAAGCTTGTAGCGTCATACCCAAGAAGACTTGAGGCTGTAATCGCTGCCAAAGTTGCTTCAACAAAGTACTGAGTAAAGGGTCTGAATACTTATGTAAATATGATATTTCAGTTTATTTTTAATACAGTTGCAAAAAAATTCTAAACCTGTATTTGCTTTGTCATTATGGGGTATTGTGTGTAGATTGATGAGGGGGAAAAAAAACAATTTAATCAATTTTAGAATAAGGCTGTAACATAACAAAATGTGGAAAAGTCAAGGGGTCTGAATACTTTCCGAATGCAATGTATGCTTGCTTTTGTCATTTTCTATCTATAATGATATTTGATTGGCATCGGTATATAGAGCACATTGCCTAACCTATAGCCTAATTAACCTCAGTATCAAATATTGTAATTTATCCACGCAAGACTGAAGTTAAGGTTGTTTTTCCTGTTACACAAACCGTCCACCCTGCCAAACAATAAACACGTGAAGAAAGGAGTCTCCACATACACTGCTAACATGTTGTGACCCGCGTCTTTTCCCGAACGTGAAAGGACGAGCTTTAAGAGCTTTTGGTATATCCCTCACACTCATTGAGATCCCATCTAAACCGAAACCACTGTTTAGACTGGAATATAAACTCTTATGTTTTTCATGATTTACAATCGATTGCCATAACCCATTGATGACGACAGTTACAGTGCCTAAAGAAATTATTCATACCCCTTGATTTACATAAATATGCACACCCATTTGACACTCAGGTGCATCCAATTTCCTTTGATCATCCTTTATGTCACTACAACTTGATTGGAGTCCACCTGTGGCCAATTCAATTGTTTGGACATGATTTAAAAGAAAAACACCTGTCTATATAAGGTCCCACAGTTGACAGTGCATGTCCGAGCAGAAACTATACCATGAAGTCAGAGGAACTGTCCGTAGATCTCTGAGATATAATTGTAATGATGCATATATCTGGGGAAGGGTATAAAACAATTTCTAGAGTGTTGAAAGTTTCCAAGAGCACATTGGTGGGAAAAATATATGGAACTACCCAGACTCTGCCTAGAGGTGGCCATCCAACCAAACTAAGCAACCAGGCAAGAAGGACCTTTGGTCAGGGAGGTGAACAAGAACCCATTGACCACTGACAGAACTACAAAATTCCTTGGCTGAGATGGGAGAACCTGCCAGAAGGAAAGCAGTCTTAGATGTGCTTTTGTATGTACAGTGCCTTGCAAGTATTAATCTCCCTTGGGATCCATTTTAAATTCCAGGTTGTAAGGCAACAGAAGAGGAAAAATGCCAAGGGGGGTGAATACTTTCGCAAGCCACTGTATGCTGCATGTCTTTTTCTTTTTTGATTCTATGGAACTCAGGACTCCCTGGAAAACAGTGGCAATTGTTACGGAGTGGACTATCCTGGCTAAATAAATTAAAATGAATGAAAAAAAATGAGTCTCAACAGCACTTCACCAATCTGGGCTTTATGGGAGAGTGGCCAGACGGAAGCCACTCCTGAGAAATAGGCAAATGACGGCACACCTGGAGTTTGCAAAAAGGCTCTGAGATCATAAGGCCAAAGATTCTGTGGTCTGATGAGACAAACATTTTACTTTGGCCTGAATGCACAGCACTATGTCTGGAGAAAACCAGGCACCGCTCCATCACCTGTCTAACACCATCCCTACCTTGAAGTATGGTGGTGGCAGCATCATGGTATGTGGATGCTTTTCAGCGGCAGGGACTGGGAGACTGGTAACGATAGGGAACAATGAGTGGAGCCAAATACAGGCAAATGAGAACATGCTTTAGAGTGCAAATTACCTTAGACTGGGGTGAAGATTAACGTTCCAACAGGACAATGACCCCAAGCATACAGCCAAAGCAACGCTGGAATGGCTTCAGAACAAGAATGTGAAAGTCCTTGAGTGGTTCCAGCCAAAGCCCAGACTTGAATCCCATTTTGAAAATCTGTGGAAAGACTTGAAGATTGCTGTTCACCACTGATCCGTATCTAATTTAACAGAGCTTGAGAAAATCTGCAAGGAAGAATGGGAGAAAATCCCCAAATCCAGATGTGCAAAGCTGATACAGACATACCCAAGATGACTCAAAGCTGTAATCGCCGCCAAATGTGCTTCTATTGACTCAGGGGTGTGAATACTTATGTAAATTAATTTTCTGTATTTAATTTTCAATAAATTAGCAATTTTCTACAAACATGCTTTCACTTTTTCATTATGAGGGTATTGTGTGTAGATTGGTGAAAGAGGAAAAAAATTATTTTGAATTCAGGCTGTAACACAACAATATGGAATAAGTCAAGGGGAATTAATACTTTCTGAAGGCACTGTATGACATATCAACTGTTTGCTGCTTACATTCTGCAAATCAGCCCCTCTGGTTTAGCAAAGCTGTTTCAGAGAGCGATTGTCATCAAAATAGAGTAGTCATCCCCTGCATGAAAATGGATAAGCTTGTTTGAACGCCTTAAATGATTCGGAGTGATTTTTATTGATTGGTTTGCGAATGCTTAAAATGGCGTAGATGGCTGGTAGCTTAGATGTTGGAAATGTGATGCGTTTCCTTGGTAACTGAGCACATTGTTACTTGGGTGTTTTTTTTGTTATTGTTTGGAGGGTAGTAATTTGCTTTGATCAGTTATGTTTTCTAGACAGATAGCTGGGAGACTGTGATCTTGTGGGGAAGGAAGGAAATTAGGTTGGATGGCTACAGAGATACTAATCCACAGAATCTGTGCAGAATGAAGACCTACTCTCATATTAATGCCTAATAATTTGTCAATGGATCTAGGATAGATTCTGTTGACCTCATATGTGAGTAATTTTCACCTCAGTACAGTTTTTTATTTTTTTGATACTGTCAAAATTCCACTGTTGGCAGGTTATTGAAAATGTTGAGCTGGACATCTGGGGTAATGTGTCAAAGAAAATAAACCTAATATATTCAGTGCTCTGTCCCTGTGCTTCTGAAAAAGCACTCCTCCCTCTACCTCTTTTTTTGAAGCGGCAGGCAAATATCTCTAAATTAATGCATTTGCTTTCATCCACACACTCTCAATTAGCTAGGTCCTCATAAGAGCAGCAGGTGTCCAATTTTTTTTTTCTGAGCTTCAATTTGGATACATAATAAATGTACCACCCATAGTGAATGAGTACATAGTTACAGCTCCACATCTGAGCCCTCTATCCTGAACGGACCCACATACAATATTTGATTTATGTAGATATACACATTTATATTGGTTACGCACATATAATATTAGATTTATATTGAATAAATACAGGCCTACATTCCAAACCTAATGTGTATATTACATTGTTTAACATGGTTATGTAACATGGTTATGTTTTTATTTTCTTCCCTGCAGCCTGTGTTGCCCCACACGGCAGTGTGCTTCTCGTGTGGGGAGGCGGGGAAGGAGGACACGGTGGACACGGAAGAAGAGAAGTTTAGCCTCTCTCTGATGGAGTGTACCATCTGCAACGAGATCATCCACCCCAGCTGCCTCAAGGTGGGGCCAGACCCTCCATGTGTATGGCCGGCTGTCATAGCTGGAGAAGTAGTGTGTGAGAGCGAGAGAGAGACACTCTTCCATTCATACTTTAAGTCAAATGTCTGCTCTATCTAGTATTGGTTACATACATTTATTGATTGAATGATGATTGTGATTTCATTGTTTATTTTCTCCAAACTACAGATGGGTAAAGCAGAAGGCATCATAAACGATGAAATCCCGAATTGTTGGGAGTGTCCAAAATGCCACAAGGAAGGCAAGACCAGTAAGGTGAGAACAGTGACTGGGAACACTGGTCTGTCAGGCTCTGCTGATAAAACTAAACCAGAGAGGGTCACAATGGACTATCTATGATGTATGGATTAATCAATAATGGTTGATATGGTAGGAGGATCGATTTGTAATGGGATGGAATACGTTCTTCCTTACAGATAATTTGTGTAAATAAGCTCTTAAATTGGAATATAATTTTGTGTTTCATTGACCCTATCCCCATTTCATATACTGTGGTAGGCTATTACATATACAGTGCATTCGGAAAATATTCAACCCCTTGACTTTTTCCACATTTGCGTTACAGCAAATGTGGATGGGTGGTCCTCTGTAGCTCAGCTGGTAGAGCACGGCGCTTGTAACGCCAAGGTAGTGGGTTCGATCCCCGGGACCACCCATACACAAAAATGTATGCACGCATGACTGTAAGTCGCTTTGAATAAAAGCGTCTGCTAAATGGCTTATTATTATTATTATTATTATTATTATTATTCTAAAATTGATGACATTTTTTCCCCTCATCAATCTACACACAATACTCCGTTATAAAGCAAAAACAGGTTTCCATTTTTTTTTAAACTGAAATATCGCATTTACATAAGTATTCAGACCCTTTACTCAGTACTTTGTTGAAGAACCTTGGCAGCGATTACAGCCTCGTTTTCTTGGATATGACGCTACAAGCTTGGCACACCTGTATTTGGGGAGTTTCTCTCATTCTTCTCTGCAGATCCTCTCAAGCTCTGTCAGGTTGGATGGGGAGGGTCGCTGCACAGCTATTTTCAGGTCTCTCCAGATATGTTCGATCGGGTTCGAGTCCGGGCTCTGGCTGGGCCACTCAAGGACATTCAGAGACTTGTCCTACTCCTGTGTTGTCTTTGCTGTGTGCTTAGGGTCGTTGTCCTGTTGGAAGGTGAACCTTTACCACAGTCTGAGGTCCTGAGCGCTCTGGAGCAGGTTTTCATCAACGATCTCTCTGTACTTTGCTCTGTTCATCTTTCCATCGAGCCTGACTAGTCTCCCTGCCGCTGAAAAACATCCCCACAGCATGATGCTGCCTCCACCATGCTTCACCGTAGGGATGGTGCCAGGTTTCTTCCAGACGTGATGCTTGGCATTCAGGCCAAATAATTCAATTTTGGTTTCATCAGATCAGAGAATCTTGTTTCTCATGGTCTGAGAGTCCTTTAGGTGCCTTTTGGCAAACTCCAAGCGGCTTTCATGTGCCTTTTACTGAGGAGTGGCTTCCGTCTGGCCACTCTATTATAAAGGCCTGATTGGTGGAGTGCTGCAGATATGGTTGTCCTTCTGGAAGGTTCTCCCTGTCAGAGTGACCATCGGGTTCTTGGTCACCTCCCTGACCAGGGCCCTTCTCCCCCGATTGCTCAGTTTGGCCGGGCGGCCAGCTCTAGGAAGAGTCTTGGTGGTTCAAAACTTCTTCCATTTAAGAATGATGGAGGCCACTGTGTGTTCTTGGGGACCTTCAATGCTGCAGAAATGTTTGTGCCTCAACACAATCCTATCTCGAAGCTCTACGGACAATTCCTTCAACCTCATGGCTTGGTTTTTGCTCTGACAAGCACTGTCAACTGTGGGACCTTATATAGACAGGTGTGTGCCTTTCCAAATAATGTCCAATCAATCGAATTTACCACAGGTGGACCAATCAAGTTGTAGAAACATCTCAAGGATGATCAATGCACCTGAGCTCAATTTCGAGTCTCATAGTTACTTATGTAAATAAGGTATTTATAATACATTTGCTAAAACTTTAAAAAAAAACGGTTTTTGCTTTGTGATTGTGGGGTATTGTGTAGATTTAGGGGAAAACAATAATTTAATCAATACTAGAATAAGGCTGTAACGTAACAAAAGTTGGAAAAGGGGAAGGGATCTGAATACATTCCGAATGCACTGTACATATTCTTAAATCCTCCTCTCCTTTCTCCACACATCAGGACGGGGGTGATGGCTCAGGGAAGAGGCGGATGGACAACGGGGAGGTGGGCCGATGGAAGCTGACGGACGATCCTCCGCCCACCAAAAAGAAACCCCCCTCCTCTTTAGAGGACGGGGGACGGCAGGATGGTCACAAGAGGAAGAAGGAGAAGGAGCTGCCCCAGGACAGCGGCCCCAAAAAGAAGGTAGGAAGATCTTTGTGAAGTGTTGCAGTATGCAAACATTTAGCAATGCACACTGAGTATACCAAACATTAGGAACAACTTCCCGATATTGAGTTGGGGGCATGGACTCTACAAGGGGCAGAAAGCCTTCCACAGGGATGCTGGCCCATGTTGACTCCAATGCTTCCCACAGTTGTGTCAAGTTGGCTGGATGTCTTTTGGGTGGTGGACCATTCTTGATACACACGGGACACTGTTGAGTGTGAAAAACCCAGCAGCGTTGCAGTTCTTGGCACAAACCAGTGCGCCTGGCACCTACTACCATACCCCGTTCAAAGGCACTTAAATCCTTTGTCTTGCCCATTCAACCTCTGAATGGCACACATACACAATCCCTGTCCCAATTGTCTCAAGGCTTAAAAATACTTATTTAACCTGTCTCCTCTTTATCTACACTGATTTGAAGTGAATTTAACAAGTGACGTCAATAAGGGATCATAGCTTTCACCTGGATTCACCTGGTCAGTCTATATCATGGAAAGAGCAGGTGTACTTAATGTTGTGTATACTCAGTGTATAGTTGGTAAGTTGCCTACTAGTTGTGACAAGTTGCTATGAACACAGCTTGCCAACTCTTGTCTCTGTCTGACCTTCTCCCTCAGATGAAAGGGGCTCATGAAAAACGCTTGAAAAAGGTAATTCTTCATATGAACATAAAGTTTTATATTTGAAAAACTAAGAAGCTCTGTCATAAAGCATATGGTAACTAAGAGCTGGATTCAATCTGTATCGCTGACGATCCCCGTAAAAATGTTAAGGTAATTTCTGATTGAGCCGACATCTGCAGTGTCTCTGCGAATGCTTGAACATTGCTTTTAAATTTCAATCGAGCGATAACGCGGATGTTCCGGGATACGGACTGAATCCAGCCCTTAGCTGAGTTGAAGTTATATTTCTCAATGGTAAAGGTTAGGGTTCATGCTCCTCTTTCACTCTCTTCACTAACGTTACCCCTCCCATGACAGAAACAGAAGCCCAACGTGTCAGAGACTGCAGAGTCCAATGGGCCCAACTCCTCCACCGGAGGCGGCCAGGGTTCCGGAGGGGGTTCCAACTCCACGCAGTCCCCCACCTCCACGGCCAGCCAGGACCAGCGCTCGCACCACCGCGAGAAATTGGAGCGCTTCAAGCAAATGTGCCAGCTCCTTGAGCGTGTCCGCGAGTCCAGTTCATCGAGCTCGTCTACTTCCGAGTCCGACTCGGAGTCCGACTCTGACTCGCCTTCCGGTTCAGATGGCCGCCGCGGCTCTGAACCCTCCTCCCCCGCACCCGTCGCTTATAGCAACAGTGCCAGGGAGCGCAACCGGGAACGGGATAGAGAGAGGGACAGGAGGCTGGCGGAGCTGGGCTTCAGTGCCAGTGAGGACTCTGAGGGAGAGGGAAGTGTTAAGGAGGAGGAGGAGGCGGTGGAGGAGCAGGTTGTGGGAGACAAGCCCCGGCGTAGGGGGGAGGGACCTCCACGGGGCCGCAAGGGGCTCACGACGGACGGGTAATGACGAGGAGAGCGGGGAGAGGAGTCGGAAGTCTACCCCATTGCCTCCACCCTCCCCTCTCTCCTCCACCCAGCCTCCACCTTCCTCCGGCCACGGCCCCTCGCCAGGTTCCGAGGGCTTCTCCGGTAAGCGCAGCAACGGCTCTGAGACGCGCAATGGACGGACACGGGCGGGGGTGAGGGACCGAGAGACTCAGGAGAAGGAGAACGCCAACAACAGCAGCAGCGGCGGAGGCTCGGTGGCCAACCACCGACACGGAACTGGCAAGGGTAACAAGGGCAACAAGATCCGTAGCAACAAGCAATCAGGGTCCCAACCAACGTCGAGGAACAGTAGCAACTCTTCCGCTTCTACTGCCACTACCACATCCAACGGGGGAGGGGAGGGCCTGCTGGGCCCAGGCAGCAACTCCTCAGGGGGCATGTCAGCCCTCGCCGCCTCACCCCGGTCACAGCCGTCCCGGATGGCTCCACGCTCGCAGATGATGAAACGCAGCCCCCCTGCTGTGCCCTCGCCTCCCCGGCCTGTGCAGATGGAGCGGCACCTGGTGCGGCCACCGCCAGCCTGCCCCGAGCCCCACTGCCTGCCCCTGGACAGCGGCTCCTCCCACGTGATGCCCCGCGACGTCTGGCTCCGCGTCTTCCAGCACCTCAGCCAGAGGGAGCTGTGCGTCTGCATGAGGGTCTGTCGGACATGGAGCCGGTGGTAAGTCTAGACAAAAGGTTCAGATGGGGTCAGCATCCGGTTGGGCTGGAAGGGGGTGGTTCAACACAAACTTGTTTGGACTACTAAGAGATTCATCTTTCATGTTGAGAACAATAGAAACCATCCCTGGAAGGATATTCATTGACTGCAGTGGCTCACATTCTATAGTGTACAGTAGACCAGACTTTTTCTTTAATTCTCATCCCAGTCTTTTATTTTCTGTCTTGCTCTCTCAGGTGCTGTGATAAGAGATTGTGGACTCAGATTGACCTTAGCCGGCAGCGCTCCATCACCCCTCCTATGCTGAGTGGTATAATCCGCAGGCAACCAGTCTCCCTTAACCTGGGCTATACCAACATCTCGAAGAAGCAGCTCATGTGGCTCATCAACCGTCTACAAGGTATCTTGCGTTCATTCAACACCTCTGCCTCCCTACCACGTCTTTTTTCCATCAATATAGCCTGATCATGTCCTATTGTAGTTGGGCTGTCGTCACCTCATTGCCGTATTGCTAGTCTGCCTCAGGGGTTATGCTAACTCCTGGCCTTCCTCTTCCTCTCCCAGGTCTACTGGAGCTGAATGTGTCGGGCTGTCCCTGGTCCTCTGTGTCGGCCCTGTGTCAGGCTGCTTGTCCCTGCCTACGTCTGCTCGACCTCAGCCGGGTAGAAGACATGAAGGACTCGCACCTGAGGGAGCTACTGGCGCCCCCTGCTGACACTCGGACAGGTTAGTGACAAGTCTCACACGATGATTGATTAGGCATCCATAACCTGCAATACACTATGGAAGGTTAGATGCAATGTGGTGTTCATTGGATAGACTTGATATCACAAATGCCAATCTGTAAACTGTACTGTCATGCTTGTCTCCAGTGAATGTTGTTGCAAGTGAACAACCACTCCCTTTTTCATAGTGCATAAGCATGATAAACACACAGACTGTGAATCTAAAGTCCTGTAACATGTTTTGCTTTGTTCTTGGTCCAAAAGCTCATGGAGAGAGCAGAGGGGGGCGGTTCCAGAACGTAACGGAGCTGCGATTGGCCGGGCTGGACTTGACAGATGTCACGTCCCGCCTGTTGGTGCGCTACCTGCCCCACTTGACCAAGCTGGACCTGAGTCAGTGTGGCAATATCACGGACCAGACCATCCACACACTGACCTCCCCCATGTCTCCACTGAAGGACAGCCTCACCCACCTAAACCTGGCAGGTAAAGACTACACGTTAGACTCACTAGCCCCAAATACACCAAGGTTGGTACCCTGTTTTTTTAAATTTATTTTGTGTGTATTTGAGTATTGCAGGTTATCAGACCACTGATGAGCAGGGATCTGCTCCAGATACTGACTTCTTCCTTCTGAGATGTTTAATCATGCTAAAGTAGCAACATGCATAGATACTTGCTCTCCTATTTCCCAACGATATCAACCTGGCTCCTGGTTCAAATATTTAATCCAGGTCTACTCATGGAAGTGTTGCAGTCATTGTGGTTATGTAGGTTGACTGTTGGTTGTCATCCTCCTGTTGTTTCCTCCTGTCCGCAGGCTGTGTGAAGGTGACGGAGCAGTGCCTGCCCCTGTTACGCCGCTGTGCCTCCCTGCAGAGCGCTGACCTGCGCTCCTGCACCTTGCTCACTCCCGATGCCTGTCAGCTCCTCTCCTTCCCTTGCCCTGACGATAGAGTGCTGCTCAAGAACAGCTAAGGGCCTGCGACACCCTCCTCCCTGCCACCTTCCCCCACAACAACCACCGCCACACTACAGAGAGATAGAGAAGAGGGCCACTGCGTTGTGGGCAGTGAGCCAGCCACTGAGGGAAAAGGACATGGAGTGGGAGCCACGAAAGAGAAAGGGGGGGAATGAGAGAACCATAGACCTTTTGCCTACATTTCTCTGGATTGACTTGTTTGTGAACGGACATCTTTGAAAATGTTTTAGCATGTACATATTCAATATCTGTAAAATGGGTGTGTGTATATAAATGTAGTTTACTGTAAATTACCCACTCCCCGCCCCTTCCCTCCCTCATTCTACCTTCACACCAACCATGGAACACATTATCCAGCCGACATGTGTAAAGGCACTGCACTGCGCCACCATCTTGAACTAGCATAATTTGCACTCCATAATCAATTTCCTCTTTCGTGGTGTCAGACTACGAAGAATGTACCCAATGCCAGAGGTTGCGCCCCATCGGAATCCGTTTAATGTACAGATGGATGCTGGGCTGGTGTTGGTGTGTGTATGTGTGTCTTTGTAAGTATGTGTGAGAGATGTAAACAGTGTTTAACTATGACAATTGGAGCGAGAAAGAGATGGAGATACGACAAATGTCCGTCACCTTTACCACTAAGCTCTCTGCTGCCCTCAATCTTTCTGGGGGGGGGGGGTAAGGACATTCAAGGTCCTACATATCCTGTTCAATGGCCGACAGCCACCAGAGCCCAAAACTCCTAGCCCTGACCACAACCCCTTATTTTCCTCTTGTCCAGCCGTATTATGTGCCATCTGTCCGCTCTCTTCCCGCCCAACGTGCCATTCTTATGTGGTCTGTCCATCTTTGTGAATCTGATTGTCCTACCCTTCCCATCACACTCCTCCTCTTTACGCCCTGTCTCTCTGCTGCCATGGCCCTTTTGCAGCTTGTGCTGCCCAGCGTCTGTGCTGTGTGCGTACATTATGCAGAGAGCTGGGCCTTGCTGTGTCCGACTGCAATGAACCATGCTTACCGTACTGTTCCATACCAGACCTGGAATTCGCCAAGGCTCCTTTCTTCCCTGCTTCACGATGCCTGGCTGATGTAACATTATCTTGTAGATGTGCAGACAGGTTCAGTCTAGATCACTACCGCACGAACTTAAGAGTGAATGACTGACACGTTTTGAGTATGAATTGGGAAAACCGTGTCGATAAGAAAGACCGTCCGTTGCACTGCGCTCGCTGCTCCACGTGGCAGGGGGGATTCAAACGAAGGCTGACCCTGGTTGGACTTCTGCCTCAGATGTGAGGGACTTGGAAGATTTCCCCAGAATTGGGTTTTCATGTCAGTGTCCACATGCTGCGTGTCTTCCAAAGCCAGGAAACATCCCAGCCCATCCAACCTGCCTTGCAGTGTCATTACCTTTAAAGGTCTTGTAGGATGAGGGTTTGATTGACACAGTTGCAGCATTTCCCCAAATCGTTTCTCCATTAGGGTACCTCTGTGCATGCTGGGTTTTGACTATAATCACAAATCCAGTGCAGTATTTTATTCAGGCTGAACTTTTTTAACCAATCCAGTTGAGGACAACGTCAACAGTCAGTTTATCCTTTTCCTGCTCACCCTATCATTATTAATAATGGATGTTATCGGTTGAAACCAGCACGTACAGGAGGTCGTTCAGACCAGAGCCCAAGCTGTATTGAATTTGGTTGAGCTGGAAATGTACAGACTTGAGCTGTATTGAATTAACATGAGCAGTATTTGACATGCGTAAACGGTATTCAGCTGAATCGGGCTGCATTGGACCAGTTCAGACAGTAGCTATCGGACTGATCTGGACTGATAGGGCCAGTTCATTCAGTATTGGACTGGACAGCACTTTGTCCTGCAATGCTGGACTCAACCATACCAGGTTGGGTCAAGTGTTTTCCCCTGTCTGTCTGTATGTCTCTCCTTCTAAAGCGGTTGTCCACTTCCTGAGCCATGTTGATCTGTATTTGTGCTTCAGTGCCACAGTGGATCTTACTGCTGTGTGCTATCTGTAGCTAAACCCCACCAACTGTAGGCAGGTTGGTGGACGGTCTTAAGCCTCAATCTGTAACTCATCTAAATCATGTGTTTCTGTATCCTTTCAACTATTCTGTTTGACTTTCAGTGATTCCATCCTCATCGGTTCTGTTTCAATTCCCAATACCATTATTAGAACTCAAATCAGCTTCCTTTGGGTATACATGTAGAGCTAGAGACCTGCCAAGTAAAGATTGAGCGACTAGACAAATGGTAGTTGTCCCAATGCATTCAGTTGTACAACTGACTAGGTCTCCTCCTTTCCCCCTAAAAGGTTGGTTTGAAAGGTCACATGCCCAGCTTGGACAGTGATTTCATCTTTACCCAGTTGTGTATTCTAAATCGCTTCCAGTGTTCCTGTGTGAATTTATTGACTTGTGTACAAAGCATTGGTACCAAGATTGCACTAACTGATTGATCAGAAGACAATTTAGGAGGGAACACTGAGCTATAGTGTGCTTTATTACCCTGAAAGGGTATCGATTAAAACACAGCCAAATCATGAACCTTAAAAAAAAAAAAAACTTGATTCAAAAGTATAACTTATTAGCTGTCCATGCTGGTTACCATTTAGCTGGGTAGTCCAGTGTATTTCAGTGTTAAAGTCCTACTTTAGATCATAGATTAAAGTCATTGTTGTTTGCCACTAAGCTATGCTGCTAACAGAGCAGAGCTTACCACGTAGCAACTGTAATTGTGGTGGGCTGAGGCTTACAGCGACGCAAATGTCCAATATGGTGGAAAATTGCCTTGTGCCATACACACTCATCCAAATCAATATTTCACTTTTCATAGACTGAATGGGTCAGTTTTTCTATCAGTAATGTGGGGTTGTTATTCCTCCTCGTCATCCAGTATGTTCACCAGAGCACAATCTAGCATGTGAAAGCATATCAAAAGTTAAACTGACAACCACTTTCAGAGAAACATAAATGTGTGGTGGTTTATCGGAATTGATCCGATAGTCCGATAAGGAAATTATTCCAGACTCCAAAATCTGTCATCTTCTCACCCCCAGCCTAGTCAAGTTGACTCAGACTTGACCACTATATTGTACAGTCTTGTCTCTACCAAACTGTATTGCACCAGACAGATGCACTGGATCAACATTGTCATCACCACCACCATCATCACCTCTTGCCAAAATTCCTGCTTTCTTTGATAAGGGGCATTTTATCCATTTTCTTTTTTGTTTTGCTCTTGTTTATTTGTTCGTTGTTTCTTCCATTGTGTTGATCAAAATGAGAAAGAAAAGTAGAACAATGTGAAAAAGAGACAGAAAAAGAAACTCAAGGCAGCTACTTACGAGTGACTACTGTAAAATGACTAACTAAATAAAGACAGTGGGGTGGTTTTTACACTGTGTGGCCTCTACTGATTTCTCAGAATTTATATTAAGTGAGGTTGCCTACATAGCACCTCACTCTTATTCCACATAGTCCACTTTCAATGTAGCTGCTGTCCAGTTTTTTTTAACAGGTGCACAAAACAACTGGCCAGCCCTGGAGGGCAGCTGTGACAGCTCAACCAAGACTATCACTGACCAAATCAATAGTGCCCTGGATGGCAGGCTAAGGGCCGATTTATTTGAACTTTGTCCAATTATTATTATTATGCAGGTGGACCTCTGGTTGCACTTTTCCATGGATTATTTCATCAAATTCATTGGGAATTAAAAGCTATAGGGAGTACACAAAGCATAGGGGGATTACTTACGTACATGACTCGTACCAATTTAAATGATGGTCAAATGTCATTACATTAGGCTAGCTTGCCATTTTGTCCACTCCACCTTTGGTTTAGAATTGACTGAGAGAGTCCGATAATTTTATGGTTGATTATTTGAGAAGTGCAGGACATCAAAGTTACAACAACAATTATACAACAGTTGGCTAATACTTTACCTGTGTGAACAAGCATCAAGTTTTGGTTAAAAATTAATACGTCTAAGGTCCAGACAAGGTGCGCGCACATGAAAACGCGCTCGCGCGGGAGATAGGGAGGAGTTTTTTTTTGTGCCATAGCAGCGGGGCGTGATATCCTTCCGCGGGAGTCGAGCGCGGCCCTTTCCCTCCCGACAACACAGGATGAACAAGCAGCATTGCTGCTAAAACACTTCTTTTCAGGTTCCGCGTTTGGAAATAGCGCATATCCAGAGTAAACTCATCGGCTGGGGGATACCGGGCGTGTATGTTTTTCTCACCGGCTTTCATTGATTTATCCACGGTCCTGTTACATTGGCTGAACACTGAAGAAATATAATCCGGGTTGAGTTGTGCGCGGCAATCTAACTAGCTAGCGACTACTTCTGTGAAGAGTGGTTGGGACAGAATGGAGCTGATAACAATCCTCGAAAAAACTGTCTCTCCAGGTGATTATACAGCTCCAAATACTTCTCTTTAACATTTGCTATGTGAAGAGTTTAGGCCCAGTAACTTGACATATCTGTATTTGATAGCGATAACGGGTGAAAGTTAAATCTGAAAAAGGGAGGAGGGAAATGCCTTGCTAGCTAGGCTGCTAATGTTACGGCCTACTCACTCCGCGGATGCGGCTTCTGTGGTGAGCTCGCTAACATGCTAACTTTTAGCACGTTATCTAATAGTTCAGTCTGGGCGGCATTAACAGAGCTGCCAGTTCTCAAAATATATTATCCGTTGAAAAAGTTGTCACCCACATAGTTTGTCATTTTGATGTGATGTTTTTACTGGTTTGATACGTTTAGTTACCTATCAATTCACTTTGCTAGCTAGCCATTCATGTGCAACTAAGTCGGCCCTGCCTTGCTCGCCCGCTAACTTTAAAGATTACTAGCTAGGTACTGTAGTTAGCATGTGCATGATGTGGAAAAAAATATAATAAGCAGGGACTCGATCGTGTAAACATTAGCTAGTATACGCTAGTTAGTGAAGTAAACACTTGTGCATTGAACGTGGTGATGTAATTTGGACAGCGAACTAACGTTAGCTAAAGAGTTTGATACGAGTTGGTTAGCTCAATGGCTAACTTAATCGTTGGCATCTAGTAACTAGCCGCGAGTGAGCATCCCCGGTAGCCAGTGTGTTGCATGATATGGGTCATCTAGCTAACTAGCTACTGTAACGCTTAATACATTGGCTATTTAATTTAGTTAGTTAACGAACTAATCTCTCATCGGGAAATGTACACCCACAATTTCCCAAATAGATAATCGCCGTAACAGGTGAATGTGATCACTGGTACGCACTGTACGGAGTGGCTAACGTTAGCTAGCTAATCGTTCTAGCTAGGCAAAGTAGGAATTGTAGATGCATGCTAACAGAACTTTGCTGCTTCATGTTGTAGCTAACTAGCAAGTGCACTAGCTATTCACATAAGTATAACGCTAACATTTTCCCTCTCGCCCCCTCAGATCGAAATGAACTGGAGGCGGCACAGAAGTTTCTGGAGCAGGCGGCAATTGAGAATTTGGTTTGTATAGCTACACATTTATCGGTCAGACGGATAATTTATTCCGGTCACATTCAGGTCTGGCGCCAGAAACACAGGGCATGAACTCAATGAATTGCCGGCGTTTTCAACTGGGCCCTTCCTTCCTCCATCTCGACATTATAGCAGCAGCGTCACACGCCTCAGCTTTCGCGAATGAATGGAGACCTAGCATTAACCCACGTTAGCTAGCTAGCACACCAGCTACACCCATGTCGGTATCCAGTGCCACGGCATGATCACTTGACACACTCAATTTTCGACAAATTCTCGTTTTGTGGTTATTTTCTTTTCTTATTCTGATTAATATCACCTGAGCAATATAACCCAGGCATAGAAAAACGAGTTCACTGATAGTGATAGATCACCAGCAGGCGGATTACCCTGTTTTGATATGGACACATGTGGCTAACATGTTGTAACCCTATAGCTGCATTTGATTCGGTATGATATTCATGATGTACCTAATAGTTAACCGGAAAGCTCCCTGATAGACTTTTAGTAGTGAGCAATAGCACTCGTCCCCCCTCCCTGACAGATGGCGTTGCATTTTTGGAATAGAAGGCAAAAGAGGGTGTAGCTAGCTGGCTAGAGAAGAGGAAGTTATGCGTGATCAAGGCATCTGTCATTGAGCTACATTTTTGCATAGCTATTTAGCTTTGAAATATGATTCCGCTTGTGTGTATGCACTCTGCCTTTTGAGAAAACATTTATGCTATGGTATTGTGTTTACTTTTTTGGGCAGTGGCAGATCCCCACAGAAAAGGCTAGCTTATGCAAGGTGTACAATACTCATTTGAACCGAAAGTGGCATGCTACTTACATCAGACACTTACCCTTTCTCCTGCTCACTCTATTGTACATTTTAGTCATTTAGCAGACGCTCTTATCCAGAGTGACTTACAGTTAGTGAGTGCATACATTTTTTATTTTCTTCATACTGGCCCCCCGTGGGAATCGAACCCACAACCCTGGCGCTGCAAGCGCCATGCTCTACCAACTGAGCTACACGGGACCTATGTATGTCCATATGTTACATACAAGTTAGATATGTTGTATATTCTGTAGGGTACTCAAGCTACACATGTATTATGTAATCTCCCGCTTCTTTGGCCACACATCTATATGTAGCTTTTTTCAAGTAAAATTATTATTTTAAAACATTTGTCATTTATCCAGAGCGACTTACAGGAGCAGTTAGGGTTACGTGCCTTGCTCAAGGGCACACTGCCATACCTAGTCGGCTCGGGGATTCAAACCAGCAACCTTTCGGTTACTGGCCCAACACTCTTAACCGCTAGGCACCTCACAAAGGTACCAAATATCTATGGCTCTGTTTGCTGTGCTGCTCTGTTAATGTTAGTCACATAATTAGCTAGTCAGATCAAAAACTATTAAGGGAGTCATGATACAAGTGTTGCTAAATGTCCTTCTTTTGTGCTGCCCTCCACTGTCCTTCATTATCATTGTCGACCACATTATGATGAAATCCAATCTGTATTTTAACCCATCAGCTAAAGGGACATATATTTCCTCTCTAAGTATTTGAATATACTTTTTTAATCTCCAGAAAGCATAGATAGTGACACCAAGCTAGACACCTCATAGGCCCCACTAATGGGATGACCTGGAATAGGGGTCACAGATGAGATCTTATAGCTAAAATTGGTCACAAAGCAGAGTATACAGTGCCTTCGGAAAGTATTCAGACCCATTGACTTTTCACATTTTGTTACGTTACAGCTTTAATCTAAAATTGATTAAATTGTTTTTTCCCTCGTCAATCTACCCACAATACCCCATAATGACAAAGCAAAACAGGATTTTTGAATTTTTTGCAAATTTATAAATAAAACAGCTCTGGAAATATCACATTTACATAAGCATTTAGACCCTTTTACTCAGTACTTTGTTGAAGCTCCTTTGGCAGCGATTACTGCATTGACTTCTTGAGTATGACGCTACAAGCTTGGCACACCTGTATTTGGGGAGTTTCTCCCATTCTTCTCTGCAGATCCTCTCAAGCTCGGTCAGGTTGGATGGGGAGCGTCGCTGCACAGCTATTTTCAGGTCTCTCCAGAGATGTTCAATCGGGCTCAAGTCTGGGCTTTGACTGGGCCACTCAAGGACATTCAGAGACTTGTCCCGAAGCCACTCCTACATTGTCTTGGCTGTGTGCTTAGGGTCGTTGTCCTGTTGGAAGGTGGACATTTCCCCATTCTGAGGTCTTGAGCACTCTGGAGCAGGTTTTCATCAAGGATCTCTTGACTAGTCTCCCTGTCCCTGCCGCTGAAAAACATTCCCACAGCATGATGCTGCCACCACCATGCTTCACCGTAGAGATGGTGCCAGGTTTCCCCCAGACGTGATGCTTGGCATTCAGACCAAACAGTTCAAGCTTGGTCTCATCAGACCAGAGAATCTTATTTACATTTTAGTCATTTAGCAGACGCAATTAGGGTTAAGTGCCTTGCTCAAGGGCACAGACAGATTTTTCACCTAGTCGGCTCGGGGATTAGAACCAGCGACCTTTCGGTTACTGGCACAATGTCCTTAACCACTAAGCTACCTGCCGCCCCATTGTTTCTCAAGGTCAGAGTCCTTTCGGTGCTTTTTGGCAAACTCCAAGCGGGCTGTCATGTGCCTTTTACTGAAGAGTGGCTTCCGTCTGGCCACTCTACCATAAAGGCCTGATTGGTGGAGTGCTTCAGAGATGGTTGTCCTTCTGGAAGGTTCTCCCATCTCCACAGATGAACTCTGGAGCTCTGTCAAAGTGACCATCGGGTTCTTGGTCACCTCCCTGACCAAGGCCCTTCTCCCCCGATTGCTCAGTTTGGCCTGGCGGCCAGCTCTAGGAAGAGTCTTGGTGGTTCCAAACTTCTTCCATTTATGAATGATGGAGGGCACTGTTTTCTTGTGGACCTTCAATGCTGCAGACATATTTTGGTACCCTTCCCCAGATCTGTGCCTCGACTCAATCTTGTCTCGGAGCTCTATGGACAATTCCTTCGACCTTAGTGCATGTCAGAGCAAAAACCAAGCCATGTCAACTGTGGGACCTTATATAGACAGGTGTGTGCCTTTCCAAATCATGTCCAATCAATTGAATTTACCACAGGTGGACTCCAATCAAGTTGTAGAAACATCTCAAGGATGATCAATGGAAACAGGATGCACCTGAGCTCAATTTTGAGTCTCATAGCAAAGGGTCTGAATACTTATGTAAATAAGGTATTTCTGTTATTTATTTTTTATTTGCAAAAATGTCTAAACCTGTTTTCACTTTGTCATTATGGGGTATTGTGTGTAGATTGCTGAGGATTTGATTTAATTCATTTTAGAATAAGGCTGTAATGTAACTTGGGCTCCCGAGTGGCGCAGCGGTCGCTACAGACCCTGGTTCGATTCCAGGCTGTGATTGGGATGCCCACAGGGCAGCGCACAGTTGGCCCAGCGTCGTCCGGGGTAGGCCGTCATTGTAAATAAGAATTTGTTCTTAACTGACTTGCCTAGTTAAATAAAGGTTAAATAAAAAAAATAACAACATTTGGAAAAAGTCTGAATACTTTCCGAAGGCACTGTATATGTAAGACCTAAGTTATTTTAGCAGTTTGTTGATCTGACTTAAAACAACCACATATGGCTCAAACGAGATTTGTGGAGCCCACTGCTGCCACTCACTGACTGCAGCATGAACGGAATTTAGTGTCTAAATTGTTTTGCTATTGCATATGAACCTGCTATGTCTGTTGATTGATAACCAGCCTCCTAAATCCTTCAGTTGCTGAATGTAACGGTTGAACACTGTTCAGAATGACTGCGGTGAAATCTAACTCATGCTGTGGACTGAAAGACTAAACCACTACTATCTTATGGTCCGATTGTAAAAAATACATTTTAAAAACTCTCTCCACCCACTCTCCCTGTCTTTCTCCAGCCCGCGTTCCTGGTGGAGCTCTCCAAGGTGCTCGCCAACCCTGGCAACACCCAGGTGGCTCGCGTGGCCGCAGGGCTGCAGGTGAAGAACTCGCTCACCTCCAAGGACCCGGACGTGAAGACACGCTACCAGCAGAGATGGCTGGCCATCGATGCCAACGCCCGGCGGGAGATCAAGAACTTTGTAAGGAGAAACTCCTCTTCCACCTCTTAGTGCAGATAGATTTATACTTTCTACCTTTTAGTAGGCTTTTATATGGTCTCCCGGCTCCCCACCTCCCCCTCGGGTTGAAGTATATTAAAGCCTCTAAGGTTTTGTTAAGTGGGTTACACAGTGACAATCATTTCATTCAAATATCCCCTGGGGGAAAAGAGGATCCAGGTGCTGAAGTTGATTACCCCCTCAAGAAACCTAACCAGCCAAATGACCTAATTGACTTAAGCCCTTGGCTCCTATAAAAACGAATGTCCTCCATCTCATTCGGTCTCACCCAGCCAAATGCACCAGTTGATTCACCTCTGACTCCACCCCTCCCCCTTCCTTTCACTCCCCTCCAGGTTCTGCAGACCCTGGGCACGGAGACGTACCGGCCCAGCTCGGCCTCCCAGTGCGTGGCTGGCATCGCCTGCGCAGAGATCCCCGTCACCCAGTGGCCCGAGCTCATTCCCCAGCTGGTGGCTAACGTGACGGACCCCAGCAGCACCGAGCACATGAAGGAATCCACCCTGGAGGCCATCGGATACATCTGCCAGGATATCGTGAGTGCCCCCGACACACACACTTGCGCACATGAGAAACAGTGGTTCTAACCTCAACCCGTCCCCCCCCAAAAAATCAAACTGCTGTAATATGAAACTTGTGACATTGTTTCCTCGATTACAATTGCACCAAGACAAGATTCCAAAATCGAGGTTAGACTTAATTGGTGTCGTTGTTTTCCGTTGCATGTTTCACTGCAGAGCAGACGTAACTTCCATGAATAACTGTCTTCTCTCCTCCCCTGTACTGTAGGACCCTGAGCAGCTGCAGGACAACGCCAACCAGATCCTGACGGCCATCATCCAGGGCATGAGGAAGGAAGAGCCCAGCAACAACGTCAAGCTGGCCGCCACCAACGCGCTGCTCAACTCACTGGAGTTCACCAAAGCCAACTTCGACAAAGAGGTGTGTTTGTGTCTCCTGCCCTGCCTCGGTCCCACTATATTAGTGTTTAAGTTCCTCCTTTGTCGCATGCTGTGACCCCAAAAATGGAATGATGAAATGGACAAATCTGAGCCTGTTTATAGACTTAACTGTCTGGTCAGTGATGAGAAATCATGCACCACGCTGAACATGTGATGGATAACCCCTACCACAATATCTGAGACCTTCACAAATGCTTACCCACAAGGCTGGGTTTTGAATGCTTTGTTTATGGGCCTGTCGTAACAGTGAATCGGTTTGTGTTTTCCAGACGGAGAGACACTTTATAATGCAGGTCGTCTGCGAGGCCACACAGTGCCCAGACACCAGAGTGAGTATCGTGAGTTTCTCTTTTCTATTTAATCATTTTTTGGCACATTTATTCCATGCTTTCAGCCAATAATCATATTCTTAACCAATGTTGGTGAAATGCAATGTCGGTCTCCCACAGGTACGAGTGGCTGCCTTACAGAACTTGGTGAAGATAATGTCTTTGTATTATCAGTACATGGAAACGTACATGGGCCCAGCACTGTTTGCGGTAAGCACCCCCATGCAGCAACGTGGTCTTGCTCTAACTGTAGTCCTCAACTTATGTGCTGAAAGGCATTATTCTGACAGGTTTTAGATGTGCTTCTTCTTTCTGAAATACTTAACGTAGAGAACACCGAAAAAGGTCTTGATGTACCATATCAGTTACTGATATTGTAGGGTTGCTTGTTGACCACCTGTCTGGTCTGTGATGAGAAATCATGCACCACGCTGAAAAGCCTGATGTATAACTCCTACCACAATATCTGAGACCTGCACGGACACGAACGCCAGTGTTCCGTATCAAGGACACTCCTTTAAAATGAACATCCTGACCCCCTCCCTTTGGCCTCTGCCCTCTCCCTCCCCTACCCCAAACAGATCACAATAGAAGCCATGAAAAGTGATATTGATGAAGTTGCCTTACAAGGAATCGAGTTCTGGTCGAACGTGTGTGACGAGGAGATGGATTTGGCCATCGAAGCGACTGAGGTGAGCCCCCCCCCCCCGACTGTAAATGTACACGTTTTATATATTATAACACCAGAAAGGGACCCAGTGATCCATGTTGCTGAGTGATGATATAGCTCACCTGTCTGGTCTGTGATGAGAAATCATGCACCACGCTGAACGTCTGATGGATAACCCCTACCACAATATCTGAGACCTGCACGTACCTTGTGTTATTTTGTAAACACTCCATTATTCAGCCATTAAACTGACACCCTTACCTTGAGGGTGTTTATTTTAAAAGCACACTGCATACAATGAAGAGTTGCACAACAGCAAAAGGGTAAATATTCCTGTAAATTTGGTACATCTTTCCCCAGGCATCGGAGCAGGGCCGGCCCCCAGAGCACACCAGCAAGTTCTACGCCAAAGGAGCCTTGCAATACCTGGTGCCCATCCTCACCCAGACACTCACCAAGCAGGTACGCAGGAGAAGAGCCCGTGGCAGACATTTTACACCTCATTACCCTCTTCATTACACATTAGGGCACAGCTTTGATACACCCACATAATTCTAATGAAGCCTCTGTACACACACCACACACCATTTCTGTCTACCGTTTTTTTGTGTTTACACAAGGCAAGATTCCTTGCCGTTCACATCCCAGCCTAGCTAACACAGTCCACACACAATTCTAAGTGAAACCATGTTAATGAAGTTGGCAGAGGGAGAAATTGACCAAACAGGTTTAGATGAATGTGAGTGTTGAAACCTTAACCGGACAGAGTAAGCCAGCCAAGTGAAGTGGAGGGAAGGCAACCCCAGCCAGTTAGTCCTTGGAGAACAGGGCAGCGGTGGTGACTCTACATGATTTAATGTCAGCCGGAGACACTAAAACATCCGTCATAATACCTCTATAACCTAGAATGATCCGAGACAGAAACTGATTCATAAGGATATGGGTGAATAATTTACTGGTATTAAAGTCTCTGTACAACACCACAGTCCTCAATCTTTAGAGAACATTAAGATTCTGCCTCCTAGGAAAACCTGTTTGGTCTGTGATGAGAAATCATGCACCACGCTGAACATGTGATGGATAACCCCTACCACAATATCTGAGACCTGCACAGACATGTAACAAGTCAGGATAAGGGGGGGGGGGGTTGGCTCCTCACCCATCCAGACACCACCATTTTGTGTCTAATACCACAGATACAAAAATAGTTGATAGTTCCCCAGGAAGACGGTGTGCACTGCTACCACACATTCTATAATTAGTACAAGTGTACCAAGTGAAGTCTAGCAGGGAGGTGTGAGGGTATCTGTACCTGCCATCCCAGTCTATGTATTAGGGGCTTTAAAGAGACACTGTGTCTAGCTGAATTTGTGTGTCTCCTTTGTCTGTCCTTTGTATGTTGGTGTCTGTTCTTTTGTGTTTGTCCTTTTGTACACAATGTCCTTGTTGAAATGCTATAGGTACAGTGAGGGAAAAAAATATTTGATCCCCTGCTGATTTTGTACGTTTGCCCACAGACAAAGAAATGATCAGTCTATAATTTTAATGGTAGGTTTATTTGAACAGTGAGAGACAGAATAACAAACAAAAAAATCCAGAAGAACGCATGTCAAAAATGTTATGAATTGATTTGCATTTTAATGAGGGAAATAAATATTTGACCCCTCTGCAAAACATGACTTGGTGGCAAAACCCTTGTTGGCAATCACAGAGGTCAGACGTTTCTTGTAGTTGGCCACCAGGTTTGCACACATCTCAGGAGGGATTTTGTCCCACTCCTCTTTGCAGAATTTCTCCAAGTCATTAAGGTTTCGAGGCTGACGGTTGGCAATTCGAACCTTCAGCTCCCTCCACAGATTTTCTATGGGATTAAGGTCTCAGACTGGCTAGGCCACTCCAGGACCTTAATGTGCTTCTTCTTGAGCCACTCCTTTGTTGCCTTGGCCGTGTGTTTTGGGTCATTGTCATGCTGGAATAACCATCCACGACCCATTTTCAATGCCCTGGCTGAGGGAAGGAGGTTCTCACCCAAGATTTGATGGTACATGACCCCGTCCATCGTCCCTTTGATGCGGTGAAGTTGTCCTGTCCCCTTAGCAGAAAAATACCCCCGAAGCATAATGTTTCCACCTCCATGTTTGACGGTGGGGATGGTGTTCTTGGGGTCATAGGCAGCATTCCTCCTCTTCCAAACACAGCGAGTTGAGTTGATGCCAAAGAGCTCGATTTTGGTCTCATCTGACCACAACACTTTCACCCAGTTCTCCTCTGAATCATTCAGATGTTCATTGGCAAACTTCAGATGGGCATGTATATGTTCTTTCTTGAGCAGGGGGACCTTGCGGGCGCTGCAGGATTTCAGTCCTTCACGGCGTAGTGTGTTACCAATTGTTTTCTTGGTGACTATGGTCCCAGCTGCCTTGAGGTCATTGACAAGATCCTCCCGTGTAGTTCTGGGCTGATTCCTCACCGTTCTCATGATCATTGCAACTCCACAAGGTGAGATCTTGCATGGAGCCCCAGGCCGAGGGAGATTGAGAGTTATTTTGTGTTTCTTCCATTTGCGAATAATCGCACCAACTGTTGTCACCTTCTCACCAAGCTGCTTGGCGATGGTCTTGTAGCCCATTCCAGCCTTGTGTAGGTCTACAATCTTGTCCCTGACATCCTTGGAGAGCTCTTTGGTCATGGCCATGGTGGAGAGTTTGGAATCTGATTGATTGCTTCTGTGGACAGGTGTCTTTTATACAGGTAACAAGCTGAGATTAGGAGCACTCCCTTTAAGAGTGTGCTCCTAATCTCTGCTCGTTACCTGTATAAAAGACACCTGGGAGCCAGAAATCTTTCTGATTGAGAGGGGGTCAAATACTTATTTCCCTCATTAAAATGCAAATCAATTTATAAAATTTGACACGCTTTTTTCTGGATTTTGTTGTTATTCTGTCTCACTGTTCAAATAAACCTACCATTTAAAATTATAGACTGATCATTTCTTTGTCAGTGGGCAAATGTACAAAATCAGTAGGGTATCAAATACTTTTTTCCCTCACTGTACATGTTCATGTAAATGTATGCCATTTACTCTGGGTCTCCTTCCCCTCTGTGTACAACCAGGTCATCTCTCCCGACATACCTTTTTATGTAAATGCATGTCTTACCTCTCAATTGTCCTCTGTGCAAGTCCAGTATAGATTCCATTCACACTTCTCCTTCCCTCCACCCCCTCTGTACCTCTGTCATGTGACATTGGTTTCTCCCTACTTTCTCAATGTCATAACGTTTCATGTGAATACGTCTCCTCTCCTTCACCTCTCTCTCTTCCTCCTCAGGACGAGAATGACGACGATGACGACTGGAACCCGTGCAAGGCGGCGGGCGTGTGCCTGATGCTGCTGGCCACGTGTTGCGAGGACGACGTGGTGCCTCACGTGCTGCCCTTCATCAAGGAGCACATTAAGCACCCCGACTGGCGCTACCGCGACGCCTCAGTCATGGCCTTCGGCTCCATCCTGGAGGGCCCCGAGCTCAACCAGCTCAAACCCCTCGTCATCCAGGTAACTAACTACACCACATGTAGAATATGGTAGGCATGGCGGACATGAAGACGTACCATAAGCGGAACACCACCATATTATGATCTCAACCAGCGGCCTGCTATAAGCTAACATATCAGATAGAAGAGGAGACTTGACTATCTGTTAAAATTATCTTGGTATCTTAAGCAGAGTAGTGATGCGAAGTTCGGCTCTTTTTACTGACTCCGATCTTTTCGAATCGTTCAGTCAAAAGAACGAATCGTTCGACTCCTTTCGTTCATTCGAGTCAGTCATGCCCAGAGCACGCAGGACCCCCTACCGGCAAACGATGAACTGAAAACTCGAGTAATGATTCTACAAGCCTCTTGTTCACGTTGTTCACCATAGGGGGCTTATTGGAGCTGTAAAACTGTGCTTTAAACAATGTACATTTGTTGATTGCTAAGCATACAAATAAGATTATTTCTTGATACATTTTAAATGAGCTGTTGTGGCCGCATCGGGACTAGTTTGTGAACTACTCTTTGCGGAATGCATTGCTTAAATGTCTGTCGTGAGGGGATGAGCGCAATGTCGTTCGGGAACTGCAGCCCCCAAAACTGTAACAATTATAGTTTGTTGAGCAGAGGCTCTGTATGTTTTGGTTCTACAAAGCTGTGTCCATCATAACATTCAATTATCAATTAATTGCATTCATTCTTGCACCATGCGATCAATTATCAGTTAAAAACATACATTTTTCTTCTCTATGCTCATGATCTATTTCTCTGCGCGCATATGACAGACAGTTGGTGGTCGGCGCACATCTCTGGAGGCGCTGAGCCGGAGGAGCGTGTATTAACCCTGCTGTAGGTAGGACTCATTACGACCAGTACTAGCAGGTCAAATGAAAGACAAATGAACCAGTCACTCAGAAAAAACGAGTCAGTATAAAGTTGTTCAAAAATAACAAATCGTTTGTGAAGTGCACATCAATAAGGCATAGCCCAACCAGCTCAAACCCCTTGTCATTCAGGTAACTACACCTGCTACCGCTGTATAATGATACCTACTTACTGATACTACCGATTTCACCAAGGGGAAGTTTCGGTGGAGTTTCACAGCAGGTTAGACTAACATGAATACTAACATGGTGTGGTGTGCAAGGAAGAGAATTGCTTGTGGCCACGTAGAAATGTATCTGTTGTAAAGGTCTTTGTCTAGGCCGCAAGCATTTCTCAGTTTCCTTGTGTTGCATGCCCATCAGATAACGCATTGTCTTTTCTGTGTGCTCTAAAACGCCCTTATGGTTAATAATGAAACTATCTGCAAGTTGGGCATTAAATACATTCCAATTCATCTTTAGATGAACCACCATGTACCCTAAGTTGTTGCCAGGGTAATCTGGTGTTTACAGACATGTTAATTCACAAGTAGGCTGGACTGGAGAGGCAGTGAGGATGGCGGTATCAGCTGAACCACCATGTTCTTTCATGACTGTGTGTGTGTATGGGTGCATCTCAAATGGCTCCCTATTTAGTGCACTACTTTTTACCAGGGCACATAAGTAATGCACTATGTAGGGAATAGAGTGCCATTTGGGACACCAACTATGCCCCAATCCTTGACCCCAAGCCTTGTTGGACTGATAACTGAAGTTGGTGCTTGTCTCGGAGTGTGCCGGTGATAAGCTTGTGCAAGTGTCCATAATCACAGAGCTAAAACCTGTTATTCACTAGGCACCAAATTCAAGAAAACTGACTGAAACATGGAGGGACTACTTGATGTTGTCCAATAAAATAATCTTGTTTCTGCTTTCCATTGTAAAACGGAAATATTTGAATCTAAGGCAAAAAAAAGTCATTAAAACATTGTATCTGGTCTGTGATGAAAAATCTTGTACTCAAGACCCTGAACCCTGATGTTTAATAGGATTTATCTGAGACCTGCACAGACAAGTTCAGTAAGGCTGGATTTAGACATACTATGTGATAGAGAATAACAAATCCATAGTTACATATCGGAATATTATTTTTGATAATGCGTATCGTTTTGGCATCGCAATATTATTTTTGCGCTAGTTGGCTGTACCTGCACCAAAACTCCAGGATTTTTCCTTCATAGTTTGCTCTTCTTTTTAAATAGGGAGTCAATTTGTTGTCAGCACTTTTATTTCCATGACTGATCAACTCATTTTCTCATGACTCTCTTGTCCCTCTGCAGCAGACATATGGTGAACAATTGTCACGAGAATTTTGTTATCTCAATGGTTGAAGTCAACTACTTCTCAAATCTTTGAATAATTCCCAGAGGTTGTAAATCTCTAGTTAAATAATGAATTAACAAAGACCCCTTTCTGCAATGGTCAGTATGTTTATTCAGAGAGCACTCTGTCCCAAAATTTGGCACCAAATCTTTTTATACACATACGTCAGAGGAAAATCCCACCCTGCTTTAGGCGGGCTGTATTTTCCACTGTACACATCTTGTAAGCTCACACCTGGGTTTAGCTCATGTGGTTTTCCTCTGCTCTCCTGACCATCAGGTCACACATACATATACACACACACACCCATGTTCTTATCATAGCCTACTCCTTGCTCAGGCAGGCTGCATTTTTTCCTCTCTTCTCATACATAGTTATCGCTGTTCTCACAATATTCTGCAAGCCTCTCACTCCCCTTTCCTGTGTGGGGACATCTGTTTTTGAAACCGGTGTCCTGTTATTGGTTTCAACGTTTTCCACTTCTGCTTGCATAATTACAAGACCCAAATACTCTGTTGCTGGGCAAATATGCATCTTATATTAACACATTTGAAAAACCATGCCCCTCTCGCTACACCTGAATACTGCGGTTATATTAACAGTACCTATCTTTCTCCTCTTGAATGCTGGTTAACAGTACTTAATAATTAATTAATAATAATTTATTACATTTCTATAGTGCTTTTCATAGAATCTCTAAGCTGTTAATTGGGGAGACTTCATGTATCTCCACCCCCTCTGCTAATTGACACTACTGTGGTTAGTGACCAGTCTGCTCTTGTTTCTCCCCTCCCAGGCGATGCCCACGCTGATTGAGTTGATGAAGGACCCCAGTGTGGTGGTGAGGGACACCACAGCTTGGACGGTGGGCAGGATCTGTGAGCTGCTGCCGGAGGCGGCCATCAACGAAGTGTACCTGGCCCCTCTGCTGCAGTGCCTCATCGAGGGCCTGGGGGCTGAGCCACGCGTCGCATCCAACGTCTGCTGGGTGAGACAGAAGCTGGAGCCGCTTTTTGATTTGTTTTACCTTTTTAAAATCCCAATTCAAAAAGACGTGGATACAATGCATTTAAAATCATTGAGGATAACTACAAAAGTTTCACAGCTTATTTCCTTTGTGGTCCTCTTGTAGGCCTCCACCACATATGTAGCAGTAGGACTTCATTAATCCCACAGAGATCGTTTTATCACCCCAAGCATCAGCGATAGACTACACCGTACAAAGACACTCGCTCAATTACAACAATTTATGCCTTAGATCTCAGTCCTCTGCACTCGAGTGGAATATGTTGTATCAAAGTATCTGTAGTTGAGAGAAATACCTGTCTGGTCTGTGATGAGAAATCATGCACCACGCTGAACATGTGATGGATAACCCCTACCACAATATCTGAGACCAGCTAAAGGACCACAAATGATGACTAGATCATTCAGTGTTTCCATATGAATGCCCTCATGATAACTTTCCCTCCCTCCCCTCAGGCCTTCTCCAGCCTGGCAGAAGCGGCGTACGAAGCCACAGATGCAGCGGAGGACCAGGAGGAGCCTGCCACGTACTGCCTCTCCTCTTCCTTCGAGCTCATTGTCCAGAAACTCCTAGAAACCACAGACAGGTAAGCAGGACTCTCCAGAAACCACAGACTTTGCAGAAACTCCTAGAAACCACAGACGGGTAGGCAGGACTGTCTAGAAAGTCCTAGAAACACAACCACACAGGTATTCTGGACAGGGGGACGGAACGGCACGGCACCTTCTGTTGTCCAGGACTGTAGAGGTTTAAAACACCTCTCAACTTGGCTCTTCAAACAAACTAGACATTTGTCTGGATGAGTTCTTGAAAGTTGGCTAGAGACTAACTCTCTCTGGTCTGTGATGAGAAATCATGCACCACGCTGAACATGTGATGGATAACCCCTACCACTATCTGAGACCTTCAGCGACAACATTTGGAGATTTCCTCAGGAAATCCTTTGAAGCCCTTAGCTGTACATACCCTTTTGGAGACTGAGTGTCTTGTCCAGTCTCGTCGTCCTAGATCTGGTTTATGTATTTGAACGCACCACATTTTTGCCAAGAATTGTACACATTTCTATATAATATAAAATGCTAATAATATTAATAATAAAATGTTTTCCTGATGCGCAGTAATGATTTAAGTGAATTAAATAAACGTTCTCCCTCTGTGTCCAACAGGCCGGACGGTCACCAGAACAACCTGCGTAGCGCGGCCTACGAGGCCCTGATGGAGATTGTGAAGAATAGCGCCAAGGACTGCTACCCAGCCGTGCAGAAGACCACCCTGGTCATCATGGAGCGCCTGCAGCAGGTCCTGCAGATGGAGGTGGGTCCCAACAGATAGAGGAGAGATGGGAGAGAGAGATGGATTGGGGGGGTGGGGGGCACGTGGTCCCAATAAAAGGGAGAAACGTTTGTGGTCTGTGATGAGAAATCATGTACTCACTACTCTGAAAAGCTCTGATGTTTACTTAAGGATTTATCTGAGACCTACTTTAAACTATTGGACATTTTTGCTTGGAGTCTTTTCTGTATTGAATAAATTCCCAATGAAGAATCTAATGTTGATTTCATGTGTTCTCACTCCTTCTCTCAGTCTCACATCCAGAGCACGTCGGACAGAATTCAGTTCAACGACCTCCAGTCTCTACTGTGTGCCACCCTGCAGGTGAGACGAGCTGGCTTCATTCAGTTTGACCCTGAAACCATTTCAACCTCCTCGAACTAGAGGTAGGAGTAGAATACCTAGGGGGTTCCATGAATACATTTAGCTGTCTTGAGTATTTTAAAGCCTTAGAAAAAAATATATATATACACATTTGAGTACCTGTCTGGTCTGTGACGAGAAATCGTGTACTGAAAACCCTGATGACACTAATAGGAAGAATCTGAGACCTGCACAGACGTGATCAATAAGAGACTATAGTAAAGGAGAGTGCTTTATGAGGAAAGATACCGTAGACCGACACCCAGCAAGGAAACAAGTTGTAGGTTGGAGTTTGTCTCAATGCTAGCCTCTTTCCCGCATCTCCTCACAGTAGCTGCTAGATAATGATGAAAGTTAGCCTGTGCTATGTTAGGTTAAAACCCTTTCCCTCCCCACTTCTCTATAGAATGTGCTGAGGAAGGTGCAGCACCAGGACGCGTTGCAGATCTCAGATGTGGTGATGGCCTCTCTGCTGAGAATGTTCCAGAACACCGCTGGCTCCGGGGGCGTACAGGAGGACGCACTCATGGCCGTCTCAACCTTGGTGGAAGGTGAGCCATTTAAAACAGTCTGACACACACTATGTTTTTCTACCAACACTCTCCACCCATTTTAGTAGGATGAATTATGTTTATGTGAATCTAAGCAGTTAAACCTTGTATCTGGTCTGTGATGAAAAATCTTATACTCAAAACCCTGAAATTTAATAGGATTTATATGAGACCTGTTTCCAGCCACTTGTCAATGTTAAACTGATTTCCACGTTTCTCTTTACAGTATGTAAATGGTGTGTTGCATGTCCAGTGTAACATGCCTCACGGAATACGTTTACATGCACACTAATAATTCAGTATTAAAGTATTATGGCAGTAGGCCGAGTATCGCATTAGTCATTTAAACACCTTACTCAGCTCATCACAATCAAAGTTAACATTAGCCAATTAAAACACCTGGTTTTCTGAGCTATCTGATTAGGATATATAAACGGCTTAATCGGTGTTCCAGCGATGTATTTGATCTGTGTGTGTGCTAGCACCAGCAACGCAAGTCTCCCTCTTATGCGCAAGTGAGTTTGGACAAACTGAAAGTATGAATCTTAGAAATAGTTTTCACATACACACTTTGTCGGAATCAAATAGGCTTCCCAAAAATAACATGGTCCCTATAGTAGAACGTTTATTTTGATTGAAGATTTTCTGCATTTATCAAAGTGCCATCAGGTAGACAGATTTCAGATGTGTCCATATAAACAGGATTATTAGGGAAATTGTTCTTCTAGGCAAAGCATGTAAAGGTTTAAATCGGTTTAATCTGTTATATTAATCTGTTTATTCACAATAAGCGTATTATTGTGTGCATGTATCCATGTAATGTCTTCTGTCTTTCGTCCTTAGTATTGGGTGCTGACTTTCAGAAATACATGGATGCCTTTAAACCTTTCCTGGGAATTGGACTGAAGAATTACGCAGAATATCAAGTGGGTTCTAGGATTATATGAATCTCTTAGTGTCAAAAACAAAAACTGTCCTCCCTTTCACTGACGCCTGTTCCTCTCGCTGCTCTGAGATGTGGCAGTTGGGATTTTAGGTCGTCACAGAGTAAAGCAGGGTCTATTTCACCCAGTGTTTGAGGTAGCAGGGCTGCCGTTATCTACACCGGACTTTGCTGGACCCCACACTTGAAATGCACTGATTTAGTAGCTAAGTTACTTCTAGTAAGCTTGCCTAAGAGTCAACACTTAATTATTTCACCTAGCTACACCACTCTCTCTCCCTCTCCCTTGTCAGGTGTGTCTGGCTGCGGTGGGCCTGGTGTGTGACCTGTGCCGAGCCCTGATGTCCAACATCCTGCCTTACTGCGATGAGATCATGCAGCTCCTGCTAGAGAACCTGGGGGTGAGTGTCACTTTAGTGTCTGCCATCTGTGTTGGTAATGGCAAGGCTACCATTATCATTACTGGAATGGGCAGGATCATACGTTTGAGTCTTATTGCAGATTTACGGCCTCCGTTTTGTTGATCGGTTACTTTGTAGAAGCATGTAAATGCCTTCATGTCAAGCTGACCGTAGACCCAAAAAAATTGCTTTTATCAGAAAGCAAAGGTTATGATTCCAGCTAAGCCTTTGTTCATACGGGTTAGGTTAAGTCTTGTGGATACTAATGCAATTTGTCACCAGTACTGACTAAGGGCATGTGTGTTGCCCCTGCAGAATGAGAACGTGCACCGGTCAGTGAAGCCCCAGATCCTGTCAGCTTTCGGAGACATCGCCCTGGCCATCGGAGGAGAGTTCAAGAAGTACCTGGAGATCGTCCTGGACACGCTGCAGCAGGCGTCGCAGGCACAAGTCGACAAGGTAGAACAGATGGACACACACTGTACCACATTGGCATCCCCTTGTTTTGTTTGACCCTGACGCCTGTTCCTCTCGCTGCTCTGAGATGTGGCAGTTGGGATTTTAGGTCGTCACAGAGTAAAGCAGGGTCTATTTCACCCAGTGTTCATGAGGTAGCATGGCTGCCATTATCAACACTGGACTTTGCTGGACCCCACAAGTTTAGTCCCTGAGCATTTTTGTTGGAACCTTGTTAAGCTTGCCTCTTCCAGAGTTTGTTAGTGATGTTAGTAATATAGTGGTCAATAGAAACAATGGATAATTGTAACATATGAATTGACCAGTTACTCTTATGAAGCCCTTTGGATTCCTCTAAAGACAGTTGCGCTCCTCAATTCTGTCTGTCCTCCGTCCCGCTAACCTGCTGTGTGTTGGTTCCTTCCCCCTGGCAGACGGACTATGACATGGTGGACTATCTGAACGAGCTGCGGGAGGGCTGTCTGGAGGCCTACACTGGCATCATCCAGGGCCTGAAGGGAGACCAGGAGAACGTGCACCGTGAGTCCCCTAGCTACCATCCCCCCAGCATCATAACTCATCTACAGATTTTGTGGATCTAGTATTTTGGTCTATTGCTGACTATGGTATTGATATTGTCTTTAATTGTCTTGATGCCAATTGTTGGATTTTCCTGCACTAGTGTGTTTACAGTAGAGACTGAGGATTCCGTCCACTGACGCCTGTTCCTCTCGCTGCTCTGAGCTGTGGCAGTTGGGATTTTAGGTCGTCACAGAGTAAAGCAGGGTCTATTTCACCCAGTGTTCATGAGGTAGCAGGGCTGCCGTTATCAACACTGGACTTTGCGGGACCCCACACTTGCACATTGTGGCATTTGCCGATTTTCGCACTTTGGAGTGGTGCCACATTTCCTAACAAGCATCCTTAATCACTTCTTTGCCAGAATTATGGCAACTTTGAGTGAATATTGAACATTTCTGTCACCTCTGTCTTAATTCTCATGATTGTGCTGAACATTGTCTTCATTGTATCGCTCTGTCCTACCTGTAGCTGACGTGATGCTGGTGCAGCCCAGAGTGGAGTTCATCCTGTCCTTCATCCACCACATCGCTGAAGACGAGGACCACTCTGACGGCGTGGTGGCCAACGCCGCCGGACTCATAGGGTAAGGCAACTTGGATTATCCGAAAGTGGTAGTGATGCTTGCGTTGTGGATCACAATAATACTGAAGATGCTTTTGGTATGACACAGCATAGAAATGTTAGCGGCAGCTTGGGGCTAAGATGCATGGAGGAGGGCAGGCGATCTCAAGGCATGAGAAACACTTTAGTATGATGAATTCTGATTTGTTTTATTTTTGTATATAAGGAAAACCTGTCTGGGTTGTGAGATCTTGTACTCAAAACTCAGATGTTTTAATAGCATTTATCTGAAACCTGCACAAACGGTCAACAAGAAACGTATTTTTTTTTTATTTTTTCATTTAGCAGACACTTATCCAGAGCGACTTACAGTTAGTGCATACAATTTTTTTGTTCATACTTGAAAAGGAGTTGTTTTAGGTAGCAAGCCTCTTGATCGGAGTCGTGTTCCCAGCGACTTGGTCAATGTTAAACTGGTTTCTCTGCTTCTCCTTACAGTATGTAAATGGTGTTGTTCCTGTGACATGCTTAGTTAACCCTTTCCCTCCCATGTGATGTAAAATGTGCTGCATGTGGTCCAACTCTCCCTCTTTCCTCTCCACAGAGACCTGTGCACGGCCTTTGGGAAGGACGTGATGAAGCTGGTGGAGCTGCGGCCCCTCATCAACGACCTGCTGACGGAGGGCCGGAGGTCCAAGACCACCAAGACCAAGACGCTGGCCACATGGGCCACCAAGGAGCTGCGCAAGCTCAAGAGCCAGGCCTGGTGAGTTACTGACCTACTGACTGTCACCCCTACAGCACCTCTAGGGCACCACGCAACCGCAAGGGAATAGCCAGGGATAAACACATTTTTTTTTAAAGACTGTTTGAAAGTTAATGTTGCGTTGGGAGATACTTATGCAGGAAATGCTAGTCTTGTCCATTTTATTTTATTATGGAGATGGAGTGAAATTGTAACTATTAGTGATTTCATGACAGATCATGTATAGACCGTGTCATTTGGTGACCAATTCTGAGATCTATAAATTCACTGTAGCAGCCTAATGAGAGATCACTCTCTGCATGCATTGAGCACGTGAACACAGGACTTTGGCTCCTTCAGCTAATAAGCTTTTCTTCCTCATTTCTCCTCTACAGATTTCATGCTGGTTGGGGATAAAATAGACAACGATGAACAATGAAAACGCCCCACTGGAATTTCTTCTGTCTTTTGCGTCGTGTCCGAGTTAAAGCAGAAGTGAAGCGTGCGCTGAGATGAGTGTCTGAGAATGTGAGAGCGAGAGTGAGAGTGAGCGAGGATCGACATCACACCACCTTCTGAGTACAATTCCAGCAGTCGCCGGCAGACCAGCAGCGCCCCACCCCTGAACCCCCACCACCACTTCCTTAGCCTCCCCACCACCACTTCCTTAGCCTCCCCACCACCACTTCCTTAGCCTCCCCACCACTTCCTTAGCCTCCCCACCACCACTTCCTTAGCCTCCCCACCACCACTTCCTTAGCCTCCCCACCCTCTTCTTCTTCACGGCCACCTGTGGACTGATTCTGACTCGACGACTTGGATCGCTGTAGCCGGCTAGTTCTAGAACTCTTCTGAAAAAACTAATATTAGTCTACAACAGGATCACCAGAGTAGAGAAAAAATAACTGCCAAAATGTGGTTTATTTTGAGGGAAAATACAAACAAAACATGATACGAAAGAACTCTATTATTTTGCTCATTGACCGATCTGTGGAAGACTTATTACTTTTTCCCTAGTCTTTCTTTTGGTTCCTTCAAGCACTATATGGTTGTGGACTTCAAAAATGGAGAGTCAATTTTACGCAAATGTGAACTGAACCGGAATCTGAAAAATGAAAACGTTTGGGGTGACGGAAATGCGCCCAAAGGATCACTGCTGGAGTTGAAGGAAGATGAAACGAGGGGGACGAGCGGGCGGTCTCCACCCCCCTCGTCTCCTACCTCTAGCCTCTCTGATATCCCCCAGCCTGCCCCTGCACGGAGCCCCCACAGCGCTGCAGGGGAAGAGCTGGCCAGCCTGGATGATGGAGTGTGTCCGTGAGGGAGGGGATTCACAGTCTCCACTCCCCCGGTTATTGCAAATAATAATAATAAAGCTTGACGCAAATTCAGTAAGATATATTTCTGATGCTGTTTGGGAGAGGGCGGTGTGGGCTTGGTAGATGACTTATTGGCAGCACTTAAGTGAATTGGCAAGAAGGTGTTCTTCCTTTATTTCCTGCAAGAGAATCACTGACAAATGTTCACCTTTTTATTTTTAATTTTAATGGCATCATTTGTTTCTCTTCGTCTTCAGTGTGGGCTTCTAGATAAACAGACCCTTTCTTGCCAGACCTGTTAACAAGAATCGGTGAGGATTTAAGCGTTGGGTGCATCAGGATTAGTGCATATTAGTGCATCAGGATCAATCAAGGGAACACTCCCAAAAGCACTAAATTGGACATGTAATACTTTGACATCTTAATGTTAAGATGAGCAAGCAGTAGAAAACGAGTGCCAAATTTAGACTACTCGGCATAGGGTAAAATACAACAAGCAAACACACACTTGCATGCAGTTCAGAAATAAATCTATAATTGAACTACATGACGAACTAGTGAATTGGGCTTGTTTCGGTTCCCATTTGTTGGTTTCTCTCAGCACTTAGTTGGAAAAGGGTCACTCACCAAGCTGTTAAAATGAGAATCGAAGACGTTTGTACAAGGTTATATTTTTCCATTGCTATGAAAAGAAACAATAAAATGATATCAAACATTCCCCAAGCAGTTCTGGTACTTTCCTCTGTATTCTTTTATCTTCCTTTTGTTTCTTGCAAAGGTTTGTAATGCAATGTGATGACTTTAGTTTCCATGGCAACACTTGGTTGGTCGAGAGATGCCCAGAAACTTCCAAAAATGTATCTTTCTATATTGACATAATCAATCGGGTTCAATTTTAACTTGTCTTCACTGTTTTGTACTGTTTACGTTCTCCAATGCATAAGCGTTGGATATGAGGCGTTTTCCATTTTGATTTGAGATGGGATCTTCTTTGCAGTGGCTTTGATTATCTCACACCACTTTGGATTGTGTAACATTGTCCTCATGGGCTTGGCTATTTACACCATGTCATGTGTTGAAATGATATTAAGCATTGCAATTTGAATATAGAATTGTGAACATTAGACAACCTGCTTTTTTTTCTTAATTTCCAACCTAGTAAACTAATAAAAATCTATATTGTACTTAATGCTGTAACCTTTCCATTCAACTTTCTTCTGGCTGTCACTTGTGCCTTCTGAACCTTATACCCTTGCATTGAGTGTGTGTAGAAGAAGGATCCATCTTGCTTAAAAGGAAAAGAGTCAGCCAACCATAATTACTCTTGTCCCTCCAGAAATTAACATGACAGGTTGATCATGTTTGCAAGTGACCATAATGCAAAATTTACGGTGTCCCAAATGGCACCTTATTCACTATGTGCACTACTTCTGACCAGGACCCATAGACAAAGTAAATTTGGACCTGGGCACAATTTGGAATTGCAGCTATGTTTTATGTTAGAAGTTGACCCAACCACAGATGTATGATATTACCTGATTTCCAATCCTGAGGAAAACGGGAAAGAAACATGGAAGTACAGTACACTTTCAACAACCATATACAATATATTATCAGATATCGAGTCACCTCCCTCTAGTGCCTAGCTGACTGAACTGCAAGTGTTGGTTTTATTTCCCCACAACTCAATTTAAACTTTGAAACGGTACGGTGCTGTTTCATAAACTTGCAATACTGTTTTAGCCTGAAATGTGACTCCATATAAACTGGTGAAATGATAAACTCGACTCATTGTGAAGGATACATTTGCTAAGAGATACAATTAATCTAAATAGCACATTATAGTGAAATAAGAAACTGGGTCGTTAATTTATGCTTGACAACGAAGAGAGGGATGACATCTGGGATGAGCAGAGCAGCAACTGATGACGTTGTACACGGTCACCTAAAAGGCTGCAGGGCCACGGTCACAAAGAACACGCTCAGTAAAAATTATATGAAAGTAACAACGTTAACATTTAATCTTGAAATAGTGTTTTTTTTTTTTCAAAGAAGGAGAGAGCAGGCAAGCGTTTACGGAAGTGGAAGAGCGAGGAGGAGGGTGGGGTTTATATGTGAGCGAAGCAGAATCTAGGGGCTTTTGGGGTCCTTTCTACTTCAGGAAGCGTTCAGGGCATGGGCAGAGCAACGGACAGAGACACAGATTTTCTATTATATTGACCAGATACTCAAGTGGCCCTTCTAACAATTAAAAGGCAGAGGAGGCTAAATCAGGTGGGACCATTCTAGCCAATGAGAGTGGCAGATACGCGTGTCAACAACAGGCACAACTTCGATATAAAGTGTTTTTTTCTCAAAGTTGCCGGGATATCACGTGTTCTACTTATATCAGCACGCTCGTAACAACCTAAGCGTTAGGAAACTTATATTCGAACAAATAAACCTCACGTAGCAAATAAGCCATTACAATTTTGGTTGACCAAATTCGACACTCATTAACCTCCATACAAAAACCCCTCGCTTGGTGAGCAAAAAAACAAACATGCCACATGCTGGAGAATACATATTTTGGGCCCACTTATCCCTAATTTCGAGGCATAAATCTGCCCAAAATCTGTATTATCCAGCAGGTGGCGGATTTTCGTTTTTTTTCGCTCTCCAAGCGAGGAGTTTTTATATGGGTATGGGCCTCCTTTATTACCAGAAGAAGCAGATTATTGATGTTGCCTCTGCGCAGCCGCCCCGCGAGTCCTAGTGCGCGAGCCACCCATTACATCCATGTTGTCTACGAAGAGGGAATCGGCGTCAGCAATACTGACGGAACGTTGTAGATGTGTTTTTGTTTATTCGCATACATTTATCAGATTTTTTCCACGAGGAATATGGAACTTTAAATGGCTGTCGTGTATGTAGAATGATGTGTTTGCAGTCAGCAACCGTGCTATTTATTTTTCTTAATGTTATGTAAGAACATAGACGGTACGCGGCGCCTCTTGTTCCGAATTGAGTAGTAATAATGAATAACGCGCAAGATATGTCTCCTGATTTTGTCTTGATGCGCTTGGTTTCTGCGGCTGAATATGACCGATTGGACGAGGAGAATTTGACGTCGGGCGTTGGAGTGGTTTCCGGATTCGGGAAAGCTGTCTTGGGTAATCATGGCAACAATATCAACAATGGGTTTGAATTTGATCCGAACAACCCCACAGCAGGCCCGTCGATTCCGAGCAATCCCTCCCCGCACTATAGTTCACAGGTTGAGAGCCGGGCGGGAGCCCTTGACAGCGGCTTTATGCTGACTCGACCCTCAGCTTCTGATGCGCCTCAACCACCCGGATTTGCCGTGGCTCAGCGCTTCGATTTCCCTCATGGCGCGGGCAGAGGCTCGCGGGCTCAGCTCATGGTGTTTCAGAACCTCCTTACGACAAGCGACGGTATTTTGGAATGTGGCCTCGAGCAACCTCCTGGCTTCCAGGTAAGTGAGGCTGAGAAACAGGAAGCCAGTTCTGCCTGTGTCATGATGACCAGTGACAACAACATGAATGTGCAACACCAGAGGCTTCAGTGGCACCCCATTATGAAGCTGTCCAAGGTGGTCGCAGATGCCGGTGACCTGGCTGGAGAGGGAGATGGGCTCTGCCACCGGCACCGCCTGGTCACTGACGCCATGGACTGGCCTCCGCTCCTGGACAAGTCCCTCCGCTTTGGCATCCTGGACCCCAGGAAGACCTGTTCAACGGGGGACACAAACTACCACCACCACCTGGATGACACTGTGCTCAACCTGGCCCGGAGGCTGGGGGAGCTGGGCCAGGCCTCGGAGATGCTGCTGAAGGAGGGAGGAGAGATGCCTCGCTGTTCCTGTCAGAGCATCCTGGCTTCGGCAACGGTGGGCATGGGCCCCGGAGAGGACCCTAGTGAGACCAGTGACGCCCTCCTGGTGCTGGAGGGCCTGGGCTCGGAGGAAGTGGGGGAGCTGGGGATGGGCGGGGAGGAGTTTAAAGGTGGTGTCCCCAGGCAGGAGGGCGAGACGGAAACGGGGCAGGACGGGCGGGGGGCTTTCTCCAGCGGTTCCCTCACGGGGCTAATGAGGCAGGTACACAGGCTGGCCGGGGAGGCCTGTGCCTGTGACCCCCAGGTGTGTCCCTCCCCTTTGGATGCCCTGGGCTCTGCTGCAGCCTTAACATCGTCTTCCCTGTCTCTGGCCTCCTCTAACACCACGAGACAGCAGGCAGCGGAAGCCTCTGGCACCTTACCTTCACAGGACCCCCCCAGCCAAACCTCCCAATCCCAGCCCCAAAGCAGGGCCACCACGCCGAAGTTAGGGGTGATGTTGCAAGCTGCCTCACCCTTAGTAGTAGAGGGGGCAGCAGGGGGTGAGAAGACGACCAGAGGGAAGTCCAGGAAAGGCTCTCTGAAGATCCGTCTGAGCAAACTATTCCGGACCAAGAGCAGCAGCGGCTCCAGTCATCTACTGGACAAGAGGCCCTCGCTGGCCTCCTCCACCTCCTCTGGGGGCAGCCTGATGGATGTGTGGGGCTCCGGATCCACCAGCACAGACCAGGACACAGGGAGGTGAGGTTAAGGAGAGGGAAGGGGACAGCTCTGACTGGGTCTCAAATAGTGTTGGTCTAGCTGAGGAGACTGGGAGAGGACAGGGTGGTAAGGCTGAGGGTACGGGACAGCTCTGCTGTCTCAGCTAGTGTTGGCCTAGTACAGTTATCATTATACTGTTATTAGAAGGTAAGCTATTATTGGCTTTACAAGGGATTATTGTAGCGCTAGAGGCACTAAAACAATGTGGGCGTAGTAGAGTTATTATTATAGAAGTTAAGCTATTGGTAACCAAATTAATGATGATTATAGTGCTAAAGGCACTAAAGGTTGACTAGTGGTTAGTGGAACCGCAGTCAATTTTCCCAGTGAGAGACAAACATTTAGATATGAGAGCTCTTAGCTCACCTCGTCAACAAAATCACAAGTTACTCCTCTTATTCAGCTGTTTTATAATAAACTTTTAAAACAGGACAAGAAAGGTGATTAACTTATCATGTTCTTAAAGAACCATGCTGGAACTTGGGCCTATTGAGTAGACTATATGCTACAGTACAGTCAGTGGTGTAAAGTACTTAAGTAAAAATACTTTAAAGTACTACCTAAGTAGTTTTTGGGGGTAATCTGCACTTTACTTTACTATTTATATTTTTGACAACTTTTACTTTTACTCCACTACATTCCTAATGAAAATAATGTACTTTTTACTCCATACATTTTCCCTGACACCCAAAAGTACTCGTTACATTTTGACTGCTTAACAGGACAGGAAAATGATCAAATTCACGCACTTATCAAGAGAACATCCCAGGTCATCCGTACTGCCTCTGATCTGGTGGACTCACTAAACACAAATGCTTAATTTGTCTATTATGTCTGAGTGTTGGAGTGTGCCCCTGACTATCCTTAAAAAAAACAAAAAATTGTGCCATCTGGTTTGCCTAATATAAGGATTTTGAAATGATTTATACTTTTGATATTTAAGTATATTTTTGAAATGACATTTACTTTTGATACTTAAGTATATTTAAAATCAAATACTTTTAGACTTTTACTCAAGTAGTATATTTCTGGGTGACTTTCACTTTTACTTTAGTCATTTTCTATTAAGGTATCTTTACTTTTACTCAAGTATGACAATTTGGTACTTTTCCCACCAGAGTACAGTAACATTTGAGAGGGCGATGACTCCAAATAATTTGACTTTGATTACTAACTTAATCCACTGTAGGCCTAGTATCTACCTTAGGCATGATGGTTTTATCATGTCCTAAGCTCCCAATTCAATGAAGATTCGAAATGTCAACCAATGTTGCCATAGTTGTGTGTTTGTTCACAGATACATGTAGTTTAGGGCAGTTACCTGTAGACACCTGCTATGATGTAGCCTTGACATCATGCTCCATAGTTACTGAGATATTCTGGCATCCAAAATACAGTGCATGTTGCATTTCAGCTCCTGGTATTATTTGGCCTAACTCGGCACCATCCTGGTTCTATACTGTGTGTGCTGAAGCAACATTTCCTACCGTTGTCAAGCCAAGGCCATACAGTCTGGCATCATGACCATGAACAAACATAGAGACAAGTTGATTAAAAGCACAAACAGACAGAAGCAGCAGGCAAAGGCTACCTCACCACTTCTTAGTGTATGTAGCCTAGGCTATCCACTCCATTTGGTCATCAACAGAAGCCTCTGGGGGCATCTTCTGGGCTTGCCACACCATCACTCATGCCATACTAATGCCTTGTTTTCATCCTCATGCTGTTGGAGGCTTTTGTTTGTGTCCGAGGGATCTTGGTAAGATTTTGCCTAATGTATCTAATCCCAGAGAGTGGCCCATGTTGGCTTATAGGCTACAGCTTTGGCAGGAATCCACCACAGTATAACTGTGCCCATTTGGTTGCCAATTGCCACCTTAGACATGTGGTTCACGCCATTCGCTGTGTAGATTTGGCCTAACAAATTTGTCATGAATACAGTATGTTGCTGTACCTTTTTGAAAACAAAGCAAGCAGCTGGCCATAGCAAGGACATGAGCGTAGGATAGCCTTTTTCATTTTGTAGATGCCCTCAGAGCATTGTTTTGCTTTATGTTGTCAAAAGTCAGGGGAAGCAGTTGGAGCTAGTTTTAATGAGTTCAGCTCGCGGATGTTCGACCAACTGCCAGTACAGTATGTGCATTCATTCAACATGTCCTTTGAGAAATGTTAATGTCTGGAATTTTCAAGGTGTATAAGGGCTAGGCTACATAAAAAAAAAAAGGCTAAAAGCCCAAAATACTAGTATCACCAAACCTAGTTCTTCTGAAATGCATACACTAGCACTTCCCTCTTCTAACATCCCTGCTAATAGTAGTAACACATCTCGTGCATATCTAATTTCTATCTTTTAGTTTTTTTACTGTCGGGACAACTGGCATCTTATTTGACCATTCAAATGCTCGTTCGCTGGCTGGCTTGCTGTAGTCAAATCTAGGCCAGGTTCACGATCTAACCCAGCCAGTTATCATCATGTCTGTCTGTCTGAGCACTGTTCTCCCTAGTTCCTATAGTCTCAACTGTGTTCTCATGTATCCTTCGATTCAGTATGCACAAACCTGAGATGTGCCGTTACTGAACATGATGAGATACCAGTGTTCCACTCCAGGCAGTTTCCTCTATCCCTGCCTTCGGCGAACATGGCTCCTCTTTTAAGCGAGGGAAAGGGTGTGGGGAGGGAGGTAGGATTGTGGGAAGGAGTTTGTAGGTGGCGGGGGGTGGGTATCAGCTGCTGTTTACTCCGCTGTGCGTCAGGCTTAGCTCAAGCGGCATGCTGGGTATTCCCCACTAGCACTGTCACTCTCACACACACACACACACAAGCAGGCCCCCGCTGCACAGAGCAAATTAATCTGGCAGCCAGCAAGGCACAGTTATCACCCAGCCAGGCCTTCCAGAAGCTTCCCAAAAAATCCCCAAATGTGAAAGACTATGGCGGTGGTGCTTTGTTTTAGGGGGAAGAGTTAAGCTAAGGAGGGCTATCCAAACAAGAAGTTACGGCACAGAAATGCTATAATCGACGAAGGATCATGTCATCAGAGCTCGTAGTGCTTCTTCATATCAGTTTAATAGCATAATTCTTAAGCATTTCTTCTTGCTTCAGAAAATAGGCTATATATTTTTTTAAATCAAATAAGTCCAATGCTGTTTAAATAAACTGATGCTCAAATAATGACAAAGATAGCTGAAATGCAAAACCATCAAGAAGGCACAACTGACTTCATTTTTAACCAATCAAGTCTGTTTGAATAGACAACAACACTCAAACGCTGTTCCCGGCCCCTCAATTATAATTTTGCATCGCTGGCTGCTGACTTCACAGGGTCAGTGTAAGTGACCCTGCTTAAAAAAGAAACAAGCTGATTCGAGGGCAGTCTGGTAGATCATGGCTGGTCAGGTCAACTAGCCAGAGGGCAGCATCTGACCCACTACATCCCAGAGGGGTGGGTGGCAGAGATGGATCTCAGTCCTTGGTGTTGAGGCAGAGTGTACCCTTGAGAAATAGGCCACTGGTTTCTCCTGTACAAGCTACAGTAGCTCATACAGTAGAAGGGTTGAAAAGACATGAGGCTGAGAGAGGTGGTTTAAAATGAATGGTGTGGGATTGAAGTGTAACTGATTTTGTACGTTTGCCCACTGACAAAGAAATGATCAGTCTATAATTGTAATGGTAGGTTTATTTGAACAGAGAGAGACAGAATAACAACAAAAAAATCCAGAAAAATGCATGTCAAAAATGTTATAAATTGATATGCATTTTAATGAGGGAAATAAGTATTTGACCCCCTCTCAATCAGAAAGATTTCTGGCTCCCAGGTGTCTTTTATACCGGTAACGAGCTGAGATTAGGAGAACACTCTTAAAGGGAGTGCTCCTAATCTCAGTTTGTTACCTGTATAAAAGACACCTGTCCACAGAAGCAATCAGATTCCAAACTCTCCACCATGGCCAAGACCAAAGAGCTCTCCAAGGATGTCAGGGACAAGATTGTAAACCTACACAAGGCTGGAATGGGCTACAAGACCATTGCCAAGCAGCTTGGTGAGAAGGTGACAACAGTTGGTGCGGTTATTCGCAAATGGAAGAAACACAAAATAACTGTCACACTCCCTCGGCCTGGGGCTCCATGCAAGATCTCACCTCATGGAGTTGCAATGATCATGAGAACGGTGAGGAATCAGCCCAGAACTACACGGGAGGATCTTGTCAATGATCTCAAGGCAGCTGGGACCATAGTCACCAAGAAAACAATTGGTAACACACTACGCCGTGAAGGACTGAAATCCTGCAGCGCCCGCAAGGTCCCCCTGCTCAAGAAAGCACATATACAGGTCCGTCTGAAGTTTGCCAAAGAACATCTGAATGATTCAGAGGAGAACTGGGTGAAAGTGTTGTGGTCAGATGAGACCAAAATCGAGCTCTTTGGCTTCAACTCAACTCGCCGTGTTTGGAGGAGGAGGAATGCTGCCAATGACCCCCAAGAACACCATCCCCACCGTCAAACATGGAGGTGGAAACATTATGCTTTGGGGGTGTTTTTCTGCTAAGGGGACAGGACAACTTCACCACATCAAAGGGACGATGGACGGGGCCATGTACCGTCAAATCTTGGGTGAGAACTTCCTTCCCTCAGCCAGGGCATTGAAAATGTGTCGTGGATGGGTATTCCAGCATGACAATGACCCAAAACACACGGCCAAGGCAACAAAGTAGTGGCTCAAGAAGAAGCACATTAAGGTCCTGGAGTGGCCTAGCCAGTCTCCAGACCTTAATCACATAGAAAATCTGTGGAGGGAGCTGAAGGTTCGAGTTGCCAAACGTCAGCCTCAACCTTAATGACTTGGAGAAGATCTGCAAAGAGAAGTGGGACAAAATCCCTCCTGAAATGTGTGCAAACCTGGTGGCCAACTACAAGAAACGACCTCTGTGATTGCCAACAAGGGTTTTGCCACCAAGTACTAAGTCATGTTTTGCAGAGGGGTCAAATACTTATTTCCCTAATTAAAATGTAAATCAATTTATAACATTTTTGACATGCGTTTTTCTGGATTTTGTTGTTGTTATTCTGTCTCTCACTGTTCAAATAAACCTACCATTAAAATTATAGACTGATCATGTCTTTGTCAGTGGGCAAACGTACAAAAGCAGCGGATCAAATACTTTTTTCCCTCACTGTAAGGGCTTCTCTTATGTTTTACCCTCTCTCTCCACAGCAAACTCCAGCTCTCCAGGCCCCAAAGTGCCTTCTCTCCGGTGGCCTTCGGTCCTGCCTTCACCGGTAATTGTGTGTACTTGAGTGTTTGTGCACTTCTATTTCTGAATGTGGCGTTAGGTTTATGTCAATCTATATGGGTTGGTAATGGGTGCTTGTGCTACGGAGAGTGTGCGACTCATATGCATGTACACTTATGTGCCGTATAGGATCTCTTGCTCTTTTTTTCACTCTCTCTGTTTCAAATGTTCTGTCCCTGGATCTCTCCCTCCAGGTGAGACTGTGTCCCTGGTAGATGTGGATATTTCTCGTAGAGGGGTGAACTCTCTGCACCCCCCGACACCTCCACCTCCGCCCAGACGAAGCCTCAGTCTGCTGGGTACTTTCCTCTCTTTCTTGCTTACGTTTCCTTGGTGTTTCTTCTGTCACATCACACTCTTCTTCTCTATATGCTACTCTGCTGCTGGGCTGTCCCTTGTCCCCTTCTTTCTGTGCTTTCTCATTTTACACAAAAACATTGGTGTAAATACAAAAATACATTGAGGATTTCTATAAGGGCCAGATGTTTTAAAAAATATATATATCTTGGAGGGTTAGAAAAGGTGGTCAGGAGTTAAGCATGGTTAGTTTCTCCAATCTCAATAACAGTAGTTGCTGCCTCAGTGTTTTATAGTTGGCATGTGTGTAACGGTTCACTGTGTAAACCAATTTCAGAAACTCAATAGGAATATACGTGATTGGACAGACACTAACACATTTATGGTTCGGTGCCACTTGGGTTTACAGTACAACAATGACTCATTGGTTTTCTGTGACTTCAAATGCATTAGGCCTTGTGACTTACGGTACAGGGTCAGAATTGCAGAACTGAATTTGTTTTGGTTTAAGAAGCACTCCGTTCTCGCTCGCTCGCTCTCTCTCGCTCTCTCTCGCTCTCTCTCGCTCTCTCTGCTTTCCTGTCTGTATTGCAACTGAGTCATCTCTCTGTTCCTCTTTCTGTTGGCTGTATTGGCCTCAGACGAGGTGTGGGTTTCTTTCTTAAGGCCATGTTCTAGTAGGTTAGCACTAATTAGCAATAGTAATGTGGTCGATGCCAAGGCAGAGACCGTCATCAGACTGAAGATACACACAAGTCACGATGCAGTCAGGATCAGACCACGGTCTGGAGAGCACTTGCGTTGCTGAGGTAAAGGTCATTTTTGTATGACTAAAGATCCCACATCTTCCTATTAGCTTACTTCATACCTATGCTTCTAGCTGCTAAAGCCATTCTGGTTCCTCTGCCTGGACATCCGGCCACACTTCCTCAACACACGACAATCATTAGGGGCTTAACATCCAGGGTGCGATAGAGGTTTTGTCCGTCACTGTAGGATGACAATACTTGAGCTCCAGCAACATTGTGGAGGACATATGAGACTAAGGGATCGGGGTAGAGATGGGTATTTGCTCAATGCCTTGCTATGCCAATGTCTGTCCAGCTTGGGGATCTGTCACTGCTTTCTTCATATGCTCTGCCTGGTGTCATTGTCGCTCTGAGGCTTGATTGTAACATCACTGTGTGTCGGGATCCCACTTCTGATGCCAACAGCACCCAGTTTGGATGTGAGACAAACATTGAGTATCCATTCTTGTGGTTCTTCTGAGGCAAAATGTCACCTATATAATGTTACCACCAACAGTCCCTTATCTTATAGTGTGACATTCAGCCATCAGTATGATGAACTTCAAAGGAAGCCACGTCAATAGAGGAAGCCCACATTGCCATTTGATCTTCGTAAAGTTCAGGTTGGTGGCTGGCCTCTTAACGCCTGTGCCTCCCGCTGTGCTCTGTTCCAGATGACTTTGGTGGGCCGCAGCCTGGGCCTTTCCTAGAGAGTGGCGTGGGGGCCTCCATGCAGTCGCTGCCCCTACGGCCGCCTCCTCCCTCCCATGCCTTCATCCAGCATAGCCTCAGCCTCAATGGTAAGAGCACAGCCTGGGCAAGCGAGGTCAAGGGGGCTTACCAGTGGGGCACAGAGAGAGACTCATAAAGACAAAGGCTGGAGAATAGAAAAATCATAGAAAATGTTTTAGAAGGGTACACGGTCCATTTTACTGTGACATACCTAACTCATTTCAGTTGGTAGGCTGTAAATCAACGCAATAGAAGAAAATGGCCAGTTTTCTCGTGTAGTGAAGGGGTTAAATATAAGTTTCATTGATTCACCAGCAGTTCATTTGAACTTCTATTGTTTGAGACCCAACAAATACAGTAGGAGAAGAGAGCCAATAGGACGTGCTAATGGGAACAATTTATCATAGGTAATGCAATGTACTATGACACAGAGGTTGACATTTGAATGTCCCCTCTTCTGTTTTTACATTGTTATAAAGTATGTGGTAATTGCATTGGTGCAAAGCCAGTATTGTTTCTGGACACTAATGAGTTTGGTAAACAGATATTCTGCTACAGTAGGGTTAATGTTTGGCCTGTTATTGCTTTCCCTAACAGGGATTCTTCTTCCTTCCGTGTCCATTTGCATATGCACATACAGACTACTAGCATTGGTATTTGTATTATCTACTGAGCTACATGATATAATCAGAAATGATAGTGTGTAGGTAGAGCTGAGGCATTTCCGTATTCTTCACAATTCCGTATTCTGACGCAGAATCATATATCCTTCTACATTGATATCTCAACATTGTGGAACATTGCAACCTCCTGAATAAGCCCCAGCAGGTTTACCGGACCATTTCTCTTGCTTTAATAGGGTAGGCTCAAAGAAAGGCCTTGGCAAAGTGGTGTGATCAGAGGCAGCAGGGAAGGAGAAGTAACATAGGGATCCCTAATGAAGAACCAGATTTAGAAAGAGGCAGATAATGATACTCATTATCATTTGATGAAAATGATAGCATTGATGGCCATCTCTGGAAAATGGCGAAATTATAGTTTAATCGTAGATATCACATTGTGCCCACGAAACGTATGATTGTGCCCAGTTAAGCCTGGTCAATTTGCATGATGTTAAAATGTGTCTGGTTGAATGATTTGGTGATTATATTCGGACAGACTGGTGTGATTGTCAGAGACCGAGGCAGATTAAGTGACGATATTCATTTTTTACATTTGAGTCATTTAGCAGACGCTCTTATCCAGAGCGACTTACAGTTAGTGAGTGCATACATTTTCATACTGGCCCCCCGTGGGAAACGAACCCATCACCCTGGCGTTGCAAGCACCATGCTCTACCAACTGAGCTACAGGGGACTACATTTGATGGCTATCTGTACCTGAGATGGACATGAACTTATAGGCTACACCAGCACATGCATGAAACAGATGTATTCATTATATTATCACAGACATGTCATTACACACAATATTTTAACCTATAACGGAGGCTCCAAGTTTTTTCTAGGTAGGTCACATAGTCAGGACAATGACGCACTTACCCTGAGGTACACACTTGCTCATGCTTCTTTTAAGCAGGGTGAATTTATGTCTAATTTGGCAACAATTTCTAGAAATACCATGTGTTTCTAATGCCGATTTACGGAATGTTCTCGTCGCCACCAGTGAGAGTGAAGGATGAACCCTGGACCTGAGTGTGTGTGGCTCTGTGTTTCAGATACGTTCCTGCGGGGTCTCCCCCGGCCCATCCCGCTGCCTGGCAACGGCCAGAACCCGTCCCGGGTGGACCAGCGCCCCCTGCTGTGCCCACTGAGCCGCCCCGATGCCAGCAGCTTTGCCACCAGCCTCCGAGAACTGGAAAAAGTAGGACATGTCACGTGTACATAGGCACATTGACGTTGTTGCAGACAGTGCTAGGTTCAGACACAGTCAATATTCCCTCTAAGCTGCGCGCGGGCGCAGAGAAGCACGAGATTGAACTTGAATTGCCAATGTTAGCCACTTTCAATGCAACATAACGAAACGAGCTATGCAAGACTTAGTATGCAAAACTAACTATGCAAGCGATTTTCTTGTAGGCAGAACATAACGGAGTAGGATTCTATTGCATTGACAGGCACGACTCAGCCCATACTCTAACAGACCTGTGCGGCATAACCAATCAGAGCTGCAGTATCCCTATATGCAAATAGGCCATTGCCATACAGTGCATTCGGAAAGGGGGTGTCTCCTTAAGTATTCATACCCTTGACTTTTTCCACATTTTGTTACGTTACAGCCTTATTCTAAAATGGATTAAATAAATAAAAAATCCTCATCAATCTACACACAATATCCCATAATGACAAAGCGAAAATTTATAAAAATACAAGAAACAGAAATACCTTATTTACATAAGTATTCAGACCCTTTGCTATGAGACTCTAAATTGAGCTCAGGTGCATCCTGTTTCCATTGATCATCCTTGAGATGTTTCTACAACTTGATTGGTCCACCTGTGGTAAATTCAATTGATTGGACATGATTTGGAAAGGCACACACCTGTCTATATAAGGTCCCACAGTTGACAGTGCATGTCAGAGCAAAAACCAAGCCATGAGGTCGAAGGAATTGTCTGTAGACCTCCGAGACAGGATTTTGTTGAGGCACAGATCTGGGGAAGGGTACCAAAAAATGTCTGCAGCATTGAAGGTCCCCAAGAAGACAGTGGCCTCCATCATTCTTAAATGGAAGAAGTTTGGAACCACCAAGACTCTTCCTAGAGCTGGCCGCCCAGCCAAACTGAGCAATCGGGGGAGAAGGGCCTTGGTCAGGGAGGTGACCAATAACCCGTTGGTCACTCTGACAGAGTTCATCTGTGGCAATGGGAGAACCTTCCAGAAGGACAACCATCTCTACAGCATTCCACCAATCAGGCCTTTATGGTAGAGTGGCAAGATGGAAGCCACTCCTCAGTAAAAGGCACATGACAGCCCGCTTGGAGTTTGCCAAAAGGCACCTAAAGGACTCTCAGACCATGAGAAACATGCCAAGTGTCACGTCTGGAGGAAACCTGGCACCATCCCTACGGTGAAGCATGGTTGTGGCAGCATCATGCTGTGGGGATGTTTTTCAGCGGCAGGGATTGGGAGACTAGTCAGGATCGAGGGAAAGAAAAACAGAGCAAAGTACTGAGAGATCCTTGATGAAAACCTGCTCCAGAGCGCCCAGGACCTCAGACTGGAGCGAAGGTTCACCTTCCAACAGGACAACGACCCTAATCACACAGCCAAGACAACGTAGGAGTGGCTTCGGGACAAGTCTCTGAATGTTCTTGAGTGGCCCAGGCAGAACCCAGACTTGAACCCGATCGAACATCTCTGGAGAGACCTGAAAATAGCTGTGCAGTGATGCTCCCCATCTCACCTGACAGAGCTTGAGAGGATCTACAGAGAAGAATGGGAGAAACTCCCCAAAAACAGGTGTGCCAAGCTTGTAGTGTCATACTCAAGAAGACTCGAGGCTGTAATCGCTGCCAAAGGTGCTTCAACAAAGTACTGAGTAAAGGGTCTGAATACTTATGTAAATTTGATATTTCCGGTTTTTTTTTATATAACTTTATTTTGTAACACATTTTCAGTCACTTCCTTGTCTGAAGGACAAGTGGATGAACAGGTTAATGCCAAGCCCTGCATGTTTATTTTCAAAAGTCTCATGGAATGTAGGCCTACGTTGAACACCACACATTGGTTGCTACTGTAGGCTGAATGATAGAACAGCTATTTCCATGTTAAAATGTTATGGGACGCATTTTCTCCATTGTTTTTGGGACTAATTTTCTCCAGGCCACTCTGATAGGCCTACAATATGATCAAATAGCCACAGTAGCCTACATGGCCACTGTTATAACTCCGAACTTAAAATGGGTACAGCCACAGTGTTCACAATAAACGCGCGCCAGAAGTTGCACAGAATTTTCACAACATTAAAGTTTGCGCTCAGCAGACCTGAAATTTGCTCAGTGCCAAAACATTTTTGAGGGAACATTGGACACGGTGCTAGGTTCAGACACGGTGCTAGGTTCAGACACGGTGCTAGGTTCAGACAAGGTGCTAGGTTCAGACACGGTGCTAGGTTCAGACAAATCAAATGTATTTATAAAGCCCTTTTTACATCAGCAGATGTCAAAGTGCTTATACAGAAACCCAGCCTTAAACCCCAAACAGCAAGCAATGCAAATGTAGAAGCACGGTGACTAGGAAAAACTCACTAGAAAGGCAGGAACCTAGGAAGAAACCTAGAGAGGAACCAGGCTCTGAGGGGTGGCCAGTCCTCTTCTGGCTGTGTCGGGTGGAGATTATAAGAGTGCATGGCCGTTAAGGCCAAATCGTTCTTCAAGATGTTCAAACGTTCATAGATGACCAGCAGGGTCAAATAATAATCACAGTGGTTGTAGAGGGTGCAACAGGTCAGCACCTCAGGAGTAAATGTCAGTTGGCTTTTCATAGCCGAGCATTCAGAGGAAATGTCAGTTGGCTTTTCGTAGCCGAGCATTCAGAGGTCGAGACAGCATGTGCGGTAGAGAAAGAGAGGGAGGGAGGGAGAGAGAGTGGGTCGAAAACAGCAGGTCCGGGACAAGGTAGCACGTCTGGTAAACAGGTCAGGGTTCCATAGCCACAGGCAAAACGTCAGAAACTGGATCAGCTGCACAACCAGGTGAACTGAGGACAGCCAGGAGTCATCAGGCCAGGTACTCCTGAGGCATGGTCCTAGGGCTCAGGTCCTCCGAGAGAAATAGAGAGAGATGGGAGAATTAGAGGGAGCATACTTAAGTTCACACAGGACACCAGATAAGACAGGATAATTTATCCAGATAGGACAGACTGACCCTAGCCCCCCGGCACATAGACTATTGCAGCATAGATACTGGAGGCTGAGACAGGGGGGCTCGGGGACACTGTGGGCCCGTCGGACGATACCCCCGGACAGGGCCAACCAGGCAGGATATAACCCCACCCACTTTGCCAAAGCACAGCCCCCACACCACCAGAGGGATATCAACAGACCACCAACCTACTACCCTGAGACAAGGCCGAGTATAGACACAGAGACACAGAGCTAGGTTCAGACACAGAGCTAGGTTCAGGCACAGAGCTAGGTTCAGACACAGAGCTAGGTTCAGACACAGAGCTAGGTTCAGACACAGAGCTAGGTTCAGTTAGAAAAGACTGAGATAATAACAAACACATAATAATAATAATATGCCATTTAGCAGACGCTTTTATCCAAAGCGACTTACAGTCATACGTGCATACATTTTTTGTGTATGGGTGGTCCCGGGGATCGAACCCACTACCTTGGCGTTACAAGCGCCGTGCTCTACCAGCTGAGCTACAGAGGACCACACATCCCAGAACACAGGCTAATACTTCTAGTCTTTAGATGTGTGTGCATGCATGTATATCTGATGTGAATCTGTCTGCATCTGTGTGATCATAGTGTGGCTGGTACTGGGGTCCTATGAACTGGGAGGATGCAGAGATGAAGCTGAAGGCCAAGCCAGATGGCTCGTTCCTGGTGAGGGACAGCTCTGACCCCCGCTACATCCTCAGCCTCAGCTTCCGCTCCCAGGGAGTCACACACCACACACGCATGGAGCACTACAGAGGTGAGTTACACACGCACGCATCCATGCACATACACACACACGCTATATGTACTCTACATTAGGGGTGTTTCAATCTGGCTATACTCGTAATCGTATCCGTAAATTGACAGTTGAAAGTCGAATCGGATGATACTCGTGATGAGAAAAGATGGAAGTGTTTAATATGCCTAAGTAGATGTTGGCAAAATACCCATCTCCCTGCATGTTTTATAGACCAAACAAGCTGCAGATAAGGAGCAGCGCGCGGAGGGGTGTCTGTCTGTTTCTGTGTGCAGCGGGCAGACAAGTTTGCTGTCACTCATTCAGAATGTGCATCGGCGTCTCATCTTTTTTCCCTAGCCCCGCTTGTTAGATACTATGTACGTTGACAGCAGGCTACTTGCAAACGTCCTCGCCTTTTGATTTCTCCTAGTAGCAGGCAAACAGGAGGCAGCAGCAATCTGAATGATCAGACTGAAACATGCGAGGAGAAGTGATCGGGTGAAATTATGAAGCGAAGCGAGTGGATGGAGAAATACAGCTTCGCTCTATCCAATCAGAGCAGCAGGATCAACGTACAGCCCGCCCTTTTACAGACAGGCAAACTAGCCAGTTGAGTTATTTAGACCACGTAGTACAGGGGTGTCAAACTCATTTTAGCTCAGGGGCCACATGGAGGAAAATCTATTCCCAAGTGGGCCGGACCGGAAAAATCATGGTGTATATATAACTTAAAAACAACAACTTCAGATTGTTTTCTTTGTTTTAATATGATCAACATACAACATAAAGCTGGAGCCTGAGGACAGTGTGTCCAAAATAGTACAAGCACAACATCACTATTAATCATAAAACACGTCAAGTCTATTTGAAAATTCTAAAGAAAAAGAACACACAAACACACAATGCCTCAGTGATTAACAGAACTGTTTCACACATCACAGAACTATATCAGGGTGTCATTTCTCAGGCAGAAATGTAGATAAAAATAATTAAATCCTGTTCCCCAAACAAGTGCAAGAACCACAGAGTCAAGAATAGGTTAAATATACAAATAAAATAAAATCAATTAAAAACAATAGCACATCAACATAAAAACATATAAACATAAAGCTGGAGCCTGAGGACAGTGTCCAAAAGCACAACATCACTATTAATCATAAAACACCTCAAGTTATTTGAAAGTTCTGAGGACAAAGAACACACAAACACACAATGCCTCAGTGATTCACAGAAGTATATCACAGATCACAGAACTATATCAGGGTGTCATTTCTCAGGCAGAAATGTAGATAAAAATAATGAAATCCTGTTCCCCAAACAAGTGCAAGAACCACAGAGTCAAGAATAGGTTAAATATACAAATAAAATAAAAACAATTAAAAACAATAGCACATCAACATAAAAACATATAAACATAAATCTGAAAGCGTTGCTCAAACTCCCGTAACAGTCCCGTTATTTTATCTTTGAACCGCTTCATGTCTGCCACATGTTGGGTCGCGCACACATTTTTCAGACAGGGGAAGTGAGCTGCATCACCACCGGCAAGTTGCGTCTCCCACAATGACAGCTTCAACTTGAAAGAACGTATGCTGTCATAATACTGCGTGACAACTTTGTTGCGCCCTTGCAGCTGTTTGTTCAAGTTATTCAGGTGCTCTGTAACATCCACCATAAATGCAAGGTCCGGCATCCATTCTGCGGAATGAAATTCTAACACTGGTTTTCCCTTTTCTTCCATGAACTGTTCAATTTCTTCTCGTAAATCAAAGAAACGCCTCAGCACAGCACCTCGGCTTAACCATCTTACCTCAGTGTGGTATGGCAGGCCATAGATGTGGTCTTTCTCTCTGAGAAGGCTGTCAAACTGACGGTGATTCAGGCTTCTGGATCGGATGAAATTAACAGTTTGGATGACCACCTTCATGACGTTATCCATCTTTAATGACTTGCAACACAAAGCCTCCTGGTGCAAAATACAGTGAAAAGTCAAAAAATCACGTCCTCCATTTGCAGATTGTACTTTCTCTCTGAACTTTGTCACAACGCCTGCTTTTTTCCCGATCATTGAGGGCGCACCATCTGTAGCCAGGCTGACAGCGCGGGACCAGTCCACTCCGACCCTGTCCAGCGCGCCGACGAGTGCGGTAAAAATATCAGCTGCTGTCGTTGTATCTGTCATCGGCACCAACTCCACGAACTCCTCGGTGACGGTCAATATGTCATCAACTCCGCGGATGAAAAAATGGCCAGTTGTGCAACATCTGTAATGTCCGTGCTTTCATCAATTGCAACCGAAAACGCAATAAATGACTTTACTTTTTGCTTCAACTGGCTGTCCAAATCCACTGAAAGATCGGAAATCCTGTCTGCAACTGTGTTTCTTGTCAGGCTGATATTTGCAAAAGCCTGCCGCTTTTCAGGGCACACAATCTCCGCTGCCTTCATCATGCATGTTTTTACAAATTCACCCTCACTAAATGGTTTTGAAGCCACTGCGATTTCATTAGCAATGAGGTAGCTAGCTTTCACTGCAGCGTCACTGATGTCTCGGCTGTGAGTTAACACAGACTGCTGTTTCTTCAGACCGGCCAACAGTTCATTCACCTTCTCTCATCTCCGCTGTCCTTGAAAGTTGTCATATTTGTCGGCATGAAGACTCACATAGTGGCGACGAAGGTTATATTCTTTCAGCACTGCAACATGCTCTGAACACACCAAACATACAGCTTTCCCATTCAATTCCGTGATTAAATAGGATGACCATTTTTCTTGGAACACTCTGCACTCTGCGTCCACTTTTCTCTTTTTTGACAGAGACATATTGGGGCAATGAGGGTGCCAAAGCACATAATGTTAAAAGTAGAAGCCGTAATAAATATCGCGGGCAATACAAAGTAGCTCATTGGCTGCACGTGCTTGACCTACTTGCTTTGCCCCGATATAAACAGTTTGCTTGCTTAACACAATTGCTATTGCGCCATCCAGTGGACGCAATTGGAACAGCAGTTTATTTTATTGAAAAATTGCAGCGCACTTTTATTTATATATATATATATATATATATATACTTTTTTTTTTTTTTTTTTTTTTTTTGATCCGGCCCGCGGGCCGTACGTTTGACACCCCTGTTCTACATGAACTCTCATGCAGCACTTTGTACTAAAGATGTAAGCCATGTACACACACATTTTGGATGGTTTCCTGTCGTGTCTTTATGGTGTCTTAATGATTGGTCTTTTTCTCAATATCTTCACAGGAACCTTCAGCCTCTGGTGTCACCCAAAGTTTGAGGACCGCTGTCATTCTGTGGTGGAGTTTATCGAACGGGCCATCATGCACTCCAAGAATGGAAAATTCCTCTACTTCCTGCGCTCACGGGTCCCAGGTAAGAACCCACCAATCAGTGGGACACTGCTAAATGACAGCCCTGTCACTGTATATGGACCTGAATCATAGGTTACATACAGAACCATTTTAAAGTTGCTATTACTAACACCTATTTAGCACTGGGTTGTCATAATTAATTAGGCTATAGGTTTGTTTTGACTTTACTATATTTCTTCAATTAGTGTTGTATTTATATGTGGTGGAGGATGTAGTTCGCTTTCTAGGGTAGAATTGAGTATGCTTATGATGTGTGTTCCTGCCAATGATGTACATTAATATGTCTATGACTATGGTTCCTCCTCCAGGCCTCCCCCCGACCCCGGTCCAGCTACTGTACCCAGTGTCCCGCTTCAGCAGTGTCAAGTCCCTGCAGCACCTCTGTCGCTTCTGCATTCGCCAGCTGGTCCGCATAGACCACATCCAGGAGCTCCCGCTGCCCACGTATGTAGAAACACAACACAGATCTGACTACATTATAGAAACACAACACAGATCTGACTACATTATAGAAACACAACACAGATCTGACTACATTATAGAAACACATCACATCCAAGAGCTCCTGCTGCACGTGTACATGCACTGCCCTGCCTGTATAGACCAGTGACCCATGATGTAGTGTGACCTATAGTGCCCTCTAGTGTACAAAACAAGTGAAACATCTGAAGACAGACTAAATATAATCAACACGACAAATAACCACATAGGCAGGCCAAAATGGCTCCACAAGATATTGGGATTTGTGTACTATGGTGGGAGTGTTTAAGATACAGACATAATGGAAGATTTTCATAGTGTGTATTGGGATGGTTATATTTTCTATCTGTTAATATGTACGGGCAGACAGTTTTGCATTGGAAGGAATGTATAAACTGTACCCTCTCTTCCCGTAGGCCCCTCATAGTCTACCTGCGAAAGTTCTACTACTACGATCCTGAGGAGGAGATGTACATGTCAATCAAGGAGACGGGGCAGGACACGACCACCCAACCGGCGACTGTCCAGCCGGAGTCTCAAACGTAGCACTTGGAAGATAATTGGATCAAGTGAGTGATGGACACTTGGGCCACCAATCGAGCAGTGTTGTTAAATACGTTTATACTGAAATACTGTATTCGGTACATTATGCAATTGACTTTTCCATATATTTTCAATGAAATATTGGGGTGTGCATTGTTTAGTGTGGCCACTGGTCAGTGCATATAATGTCCTTATCCTTTGTTGTTGCAGGTTTTTATACATGTGGACAGCTTACCTGAAGACTGATAGTGACTGTAATTGGGGACAGTCTCGCTCAAACCCTCTTGTGCCAGACTGTGCACCAATCAGCGCTCTTGGTTGACTCGGTAGCCGGATGTCTGGGGCAGGGTTTTAGATGATCCACCCTCCTCCCTTTTTGATCGGCCCACAGAAACTGGAGGAGGAGCAGGGGATGAGGAAACTCCACCCACCCGGCCAGTGAGGAAGATATCTGACCACGGGGCTGAACTGGAAGAGCTGACTGACTACTTGCCATTGTGCTAACTACAGTAAGCCCCCAGCTAAGACTGGACATCACTGAAACGTTGTGGAACTGTCACATGTGCTTGAGAAGGAAGAACATTGCTAAGACGATGGCTTGAGGGTCGAAGTATATGGAACCAAATCAGTTTGGAAAACGATGCACTTGTCCTTTTTTTTATACCCCTGCTCTGAAAAGGTCTGAAAAAATGGACCGCTCGTTGTTTGGACCAGAGTATAAAAAGTTGTCTACTGTATGTCAGCCAAGACGGAGAAACTGTTCACACCTTTCTGATGTGATGCATTCTCAAGTACATAGAAATCTACATTTTTTGTTGTTGTTTCCTCTTAATATTTGGTTGCCACAGATTTGATCTGCACCTTTTGAATTGACTGCGTGAGCTGTGTGTATGTGTGCGTGCCTGTATGTGTGTGTAAATACTGTATGTTGGCGTTAGCTGTTGGTGGCTAACCAGAGTTATTTGGTGGCGTAACATCACTGGAGGATGTCATGGTTGGCTTGCAACTCTGGAATCGAACTGGAATTCTCTTGCTATACTGTCATTGAGCAAATGCGTTACCAGAACAAATAATAATAAAACTGTTGATGGAATTTAAAACATGAGAAAAGCGTCTTACTTTATATCTATTGCCGGGATTCAATCCAAGGCGCCCAATAGAAAAGGCACATTATCGTCTGTTCAGTGCGCTACTCTAAAATGTACCTTGGATTGAATATTGACCTGTCTGTCTGTGCTTGTGATTGTCTCTCCAACCAAACACACACTACTACTACTACAGAACAAAGTTTTTCTTCTTCACTATAGTAATGTTGGTAAGTAGACACTAGTTGGCGCCAGAACCCTGAGGAGGACCAAATTATACCATCCTGCAGTCCACACTCCCAGCTCCGCCCCACACACCCCACAGTAGCAAACAATATTAGGGTGGTTGCAGCATCTTATTTACATTCCATCAAAGATCTCCCCCTTATGTAGGCCTACAAGGGCCTTCGGTAAGACTGGTTGGAAACAATGGCATGTGAAGAGGTATACAAACCATATCCGTATGTTCTATATGATAAACCCTTTAAACCTTTACAGCTTATTGAGATATACCTGGTATAAGTTAGAGGTAGCCAACATTTATTTTCAAGGTTATATTTTATCGGTTGGGTCTCTGTGGTGAGCGTGCATGCACTACATGCATGTCTGTGTATGTAATTTTTCTCCCCCATGTCCCTCTGATGAACCTTTTATTCTCTGGCAATATCACCGCAGGGGAACAGTATGCTGATGTGTAAATTGGCAAAGCAGTGAGGGTGGGCGGGTGTGCATGTATTTAGTGTTGATGTGTGCACTGAATGCGTCAATGTATCTAGCTGGTGGAGTGTGTACTCATACAGGATGTATATCCGTATGTAGGCCAATGTGTGAGATACAGCACATAAATCGATGACTTTACTAAAATAATAGTTGATGATTATAGATGGTTAGGGTGTGTGCAATGACTATGTGTGAGGAGGACATGAGTTAATACAACAGGGCCTGAGCTGCCCAAGGAGGATAGGAGAATGAGGAGGGGCCAGAATTTGAATAGAGCTTTATGAGAGATCAGCAGCAACACCTGGGGAGTGCTTCACTAATGTGTTACCATTGAGAAAAAAGTAATATGTCAAAGATCATGTATCAATGTACTCAGTTCTTGTATAATGGCCTTGAGCATATGAAGATATGCTGATGGTCATGTGGATGCAGCATTGATGCATGTCTAAAGCCAATTGAACCATCTTTGTTTGGCTTACTATGCAACCAAGTGAGGGCACCACTTGTAGAGATACTTGCTAACATCAGACATTCCATTAAGCAGGGGTAGGCAACTAGATTCAGCTGCAGGCCGATTTTGGTCGGACTGGATGTTGGGGGCCGGAATATATTTCTAATAATTTGTACACTGCAAATTGACCACAACTAAGCCCAAAAATAGATTGTATTTGAAAATAACAATCATTTCATGCCTTGATTACATTGAGACAATCACATATGCCCCTTTTTTTATTAGTGGGAATACTTTTTAGCTGAATTCCTGGGCCCAGATTCACAAAACACTTTTACGCAAAAACTTAAGAAGCTGCTTTAGAAAATATGTTTATAAGATAGTAAGTGCTATTCCTCAACAATATCTTAAGATTGAATGATTTTCTTACGAAGTCCTCAAATATCTTCTTACGAATTTTTGTAAGATGTTTGTTTCTAGGCAACCGATTTACAGTGGCTTGCGAAAGTATTCACTTTGAAGATGCAAAATAAAAAAATGTGTGAGACAAACAAGAAATAAGACCAAAAAAAACTACTTGAGCGTGCATAACTAGTCAATACTTTGTAGAGCCACCTTTTGCAGCAATTACAGCTGCAAGTCTCTTGGGGTATGTTTCTATAAGCTTGGCACATCTAGACACTGGGATTTTTGCCCATTCTTCAAGGCAAAACTGCTCCAGCTCCTTCAAGTTGGATGGGTTCCGCTGGTGTACAGCAATCTTTAAGTTATACCACAGATTCTCAATTGGATTGAGGTCTGGGCTTTGACAGCCATTCCAAGACATTTAAATGTTTCCCCTTAAACCACTCGAGTGTTGCTTTAGCAGTATGCTTAGGGTCATTGTCCTGCTGAAAGGTGAACCTCCGTCTCAGTCTCAAATCTCTGGAAGACTGAAACATGTTTCCCTCATGAATTTCCCTGTATTTAGAGCCATCCATCATTCCTTCAATTCTGACCAGTTTCCCAGTCCCTGCCGACGAAAAACATCCCCACAGCATGATGCTGCCACCACCATGCTTCACTGTGGGGATGGTGTTCTTGGGGTGATGAGAGGTGTTGGGTTTGCGCCAAACATAGCGTTTTCCTTGATGGCCAAAAAGCTAAATTTTAGTCTCATTGGACCAGAGTACCTTCTTCCATATGTTTGGGGAGTCTCCCACATGCCTTTTGGCGAACACCAAACGTGTTTGCTTATTTTTTTCTTTAAGCAATGGCTTTTTTCTGGCCACTCTTCCGTAAATCCCAGCTCTGTGGAGTGTACGGTTTAAAGTGGTCCTATGGACAGATACTCCAATCTCCGCTGTGGAGCTTTGCAGCTCCTTCAGGGTTATCTTTGGTCTCTTTGTTGCCTCTCTGATTAATGCCCTCCTTGCCTGGTCCGTGAGTTTTGGTGGGCGGCCCTCTCTTGGCAGGTTTGTTGTGGTGCCATATTCTTTCTATTTAATGGAATTAATGGTGCTCCGTGGGATGTTCAAAGCTTTGGATATTGTTTTATTACCCAACCCTGATCTGTACTTCTCCACAACTTTGTCCCTGACCTGTTTGGAGAGCTCCTTGGTCTTCATGGTGCCCCTTGCTTAGTGGTGTTGCAGACTCTGGGGCCTTTCAGAACAGGTGTATATATACTGAGATCATGTGACACTTAGATTGCACACAGGTGGACTTTATTTAACTAATTATGGACAACCACCCCAAGCATACTTCCAAAGTTGTGGCAAAATGGCTTAAGGACAACAAAGTCAAGGTATTGGAGTGGCCATCACAAAGCCCTCACCTCAAATCCTATAGGAAAGTTGTGGGCAGAACTGAAAAAGTGTGTGCGAGCAAGGAGGCCTACAAACCTGACTCAGTTACACCAGCTCTGTCAGGAGGAATGGGCCAAAATTCACCCAACTTATTGTGGGAAGCTTGTGGAAGGTTACCCAAAATGTTTGACCCAAGTTAAACAATTTAAAGGCAATGCTACCAAATACTCATTGAGTGTATGTAAACTTCTGACCCACTGGGAATGTGATGAAATAAATAAAAGCTGAAATAAATAATTCTCTCTACTATTATTCTGACATTTCACATTCTCAAAATAAGGTGGTGATCCTAACTGACCTAAGACAGGGGATATTTACTAGGATTAAATGTCAGGAATTGTAAAACGGAGTTTAAATGTATTTGGCTAAGGTGTATGTAAACTTCCGACTGTATGCACGCACCACTTTTCCGTTATTTTTTTATTTCACTTCACCAATTTGGACAATTTTGTGTATGTCCATTACATGAAATCCAAATAAAAATCCATTGAAATTACAGGTTGTAATGCAACAAAATAGGAAAAACACCAAGGGGGATGAATACTTTTGCAAGGCACTGTAGCTTTCTATCTAGCTAGCAATGGCAATCATGTTAGCATATTTCCTACTGAGATTACTGTTCTAAAACATGTTCTTGGGTTTAAAATAATCAATACTGAAACTTTCAGATGAAGTTTGTGAGTGAATTAAACATCTTTAATTGCTTTCATGAGTTTATTCTCACTGCCCTGAGTTTAAGACAAGGGTTTGGCTATTTTGGAATTAAGAACAAATCCCAAAACTTTATTTTTAGGATTTTATTTATTCCTAACTTTTTGCTTAAGCAGAAACAATAAATAGTGCAAGAACATTTCCAATAACCTTTTTGAGGAATAGCAACTTTGCTTAACTTTCTTCATAAGTCTATAGTTAAGGAACAAATGTCAGTTAAGAAGAAATGCCTTTTTAAGAAGGTTTTGTGAATCTGGACCCTGGTCTTCTGGAGAAAAAAAATGCTTGTTGCCGACCCCTTCCATAAAGTATCTCACCAGAGCTCCACCTTAGTGGCCAGGTGCAACTGTCTTGAGAAGTGCATCTCCTTTATCCTCCATCCCGCCATCCCTCCTAATCCTCCTCCTCCTTTTCAGTGTCTCCCCAGGCAGACAAGAGAGGAATCATCTCACATCTCCTTGAGTGGCCTGATAATAAGCTGAGTGGAGTGCTGCTGACTCACACCCCCCATCCTACCCTCCTCCCCCTTCCTCCATCACTTCTTCCTCCTCCCCTCAGGCTCTTACTGCCCCCATCCTCCCCCCTACACACACACACACACACACACACACACACCAGGGCTGAATCACCAGGACTTGCTTCCGAGCACTGCCGTCTCCATCATACCAGACAGCTGTGCTTGAGTGTGTGCTTGTGTGTCCCTACCTCAGCCTGCCACTCTTTTTCTCTCTCTTGATTTTCTCCTGTCCCTCTCTCTCTCTTTACCCCATCCCTCTCTCTATTCTTTCTCTCTGCCGTAGACACTCTCATCCACTCCCACTTCTCTCTCTCTCTCCCCTCCCTCTCTCTATCACCCCTCCCTCTCTCTCACTCTCCATCTCTCTCTCTCTGTCCTACCCACCCTCCCCTCCTCCCTCTCTCTCTCTCTCTCTCGGCTGTCCTTGACGGTGCTCTGTGGCAGAGCAGAGCACTGTAGTGCTGGGTTGTGCAGGAGGAAGCAAGCAGCCAGTTTTTGCCCAGTGGATACATACTGTTCTGTCTCTTTCAACGCTGCTGCCGTTACCCGGGATACGCAGTTGGCCTGCCGTGCTGCCAGGGGAGACGAGGGCCGATGCCAGTCTGCCATGTCGACTGAGTGCCAACCTAAAGGGAACGCGTTTTAAAGGTGAGCTGCACTGCCTTTACCGCCCGGACTGTTTACCTTGTTGTTGTCTCGATTTAGATCTTGTTTTCTCTCCGCCCTGCTATGCTATCATCTCTATTTCTGCCTCTCTCTTACCATCTCTGTTCTCCTCTCTTATCCTCTCTCCATCTCTCGCTCCTCTTTCTCTCTCCCTCTCCCTCGCCCTCTCTGAGCCTGTCAGCCCTATCCCCTGACAATGATTTTTGTTGTTGGAAACAAACCCCCTCTTTTGGGAGCAAGCTGTGCTTGCTTTGGGATGTGTTTGTCTCGTTTGGTGCGGTCACTCAAGCCAAGGCATCCCCATCCTCACTGACTAGAGAGCTTATTAGATATTCAGCTGCACTGACCAATGTAGTTCTGTCTGGGTTGTTGTCAGGCTATGAAAGCTACTGTTCACAGTTTTCCTTCACTCCCCTCGTTTGGTTTCTCCTGAGGTACAGTGGGGAGAACAAGTATTTTACACACTGCCGATTTTGCAGGTTTTCCGACTTATAAAGCATGTAGAGGTCTGTAATTTTTATCATAGGTACACTTCAACTGTGAGAGACGGAATCTAAAACAAAAATCCAGAAAATCACATTGTATGATTTTTAAGTAATTAATTTGCATTTTACTGCATGACATAAGTATTTGATCACCTACCAACCAGTAAGAATTCCGGCTCTCACAGACCTGTTCGTTTTTATTTAAGAAGCCCTCCTGTTCTCCACTTACCTGTATTAACTGCACCTGTTTGAACTCGTTACCTGTATAAAAGACACCTGTCCACACACTCAATCAAACAGACTCCAACCTCTCCACAATGGCCAAGACCAGAGAGCTGTGTAAGGCCATCGGGGATAAAATTAGACCTGCACAAGGCTGGGAATTAGACCTGCACAAGGCTGGGATGGGCTACAGGACAATAGGCAAGCAGCTTGGTGAGAAGGCAACAACTGTTGGCGCAATTATTAGAAAATGGAAGAAGTTCAAGATGACGGTCAATCACCCTCGGTTTGGGGCTCCATGCAAGATCTCACCTCGTGGGGCATCAATGATCATGAGGAAGGTGAGGGATCAGCCCAGAACTATGCGGCAGGACCTGGTCAATGACCTGAAGAGAGCTGGGACCACAGTCTCAAAGAAAACCATTAGTAACACACCACGCCGTCATGGATTAAAATCCTGCAGCGCACGCAAGGTCCACCTGCTCAAGCCAGCGCATGTCCAGGCCCGTCTGAAGTTTGCCAATGACCATCTGGATGATCCAGAGGAGGAATAGGAGAAGGTAATGTGGTCTGATGAGACAAAAATAGAGCTCTTTGGTCTAAACTCCACTCGCCGTGTTTGGAGGAAGAAGAAGGATGAGTACAACCCCAAGAACACCATCCCAACGTGAAGCATGGAGGTGGAAACATCATTCTCTGGGGATGCTTTTCTGCAAAGGGGACAGGACGACTGCACCGTATTGAGGGGAGGATGGATGGGGCCATGTATCGCGAGATCTTGGCCAACAACCTCCTTCCCTCAGTAAGAGCATTGAAGATGGGTCGTGGCTGTGTCTTCCAGCATGACAACGACCCGAAACACACAGCCAGGGCAACTAAGGAGTGGCTCCGTAAGAAGCATCTCAAGGTCCTGGAGTGGCCTAGCCAGTCTCCAGACCTGAACCCAATAGAAAATCTTTGGAGGGAGCTGAAAGTCCACATTGCCCAACGACAGCCCCGAAACCTGAAGGATCTGGAGAAGGTCTGTATGGAGGAGTGGGACAAAATCCCTGCTGCAGTGTGTGCAAACCTGGTCAAGACCTACAGGAAACGTATGATCTCTGTAATTGCAAACAAAGGTTTCTGTACCAAATATTAAGTTCTGCTTTTCTGATGTATCAAATACTTATGTCATGCAATAAAATGCAAATTAATTACTTAAAAATCATACAATGTGATTTTCTGGATTTTTGTTTTAGATTCCGTCTCTCACAGTTGAAGTGTACCTATGATAAAAATTACAGACCTCTACATGCTTTGTAAGTAGGAAAACCTGCAAAATCGGTAGTGTATCAAATACTTGTTCTCCCCACTGTATATATCCTCCTGAAGTCTGTTGCAACATTTAGCAATCCTCTGAAAGTGAGATATTTAACTCTAAAAGGTAGGAACATAATGTGTTCTATGCATTTATTTTTCTCTTTCTTCTGGGTATGTGTATCTTTCAAAATACCTGCCTCTCTATCTCTCTTTCCCTCTCTCCTCTCCCCCTCTTTTTCTCTCTCTTCCTCCATCTCTCCATCGTCCTCCTCTTCCTTCTATCTCTCTTGGTGCCACGTGAGAGAGTGTCTGTCTTCCCCCAGGGTTTTTTGTATTGTTCCTAACACGTTAACACACAGATGGGACATGGTGTGTTCACACAGCCTAACGAGCAGGCCCCTCTCATCATGTCCCCTCTCATCATGTCCCCTCTCATCATGTCCCCTCTCATCATGTCCCCTCTCATCATGTCCCCTCTCATCATGTCCCCTCTCATCCACCCCAGTATCTATATTTGCACATCATCTTCTGCACATCTATCACTTCAGTATTAAAACTAAATTGTAATTATTTAGCACTATGGCCTATTTATTGCCTTACCTCCATAACTTACTACATTTGCACACACTGTATATAGATTTTCTATTGTGTTTTTGACTGTACGTTTTGTTTATTCCATATGTAACTCTGTGTTGTTGTTGTTTTTATCGCACTGCTTTGCTTTATCTTGGCCAGGTCGCAGTTGTAAAAGAGAACTTGTTCTCAACTGGCTTACCTGGTTAAATAAAGGTGAAATAAATAAAAAATATAAAATAAGATACTGCAACTAATGGGGAAAGATACACTGTCCTTATAAACCATGACACCCCATAGGACTGTGTCATTGCAGTCTGAAATGTCTTCCTTTCCTAGTTTCCTTTCATTCATGGACACTGACCTGTGAGGACTCAATTGGTTAGAGAAATATAATGAAGTTATATCCTATTGTTTCACCTATCAGTTATCATGGAAAGGTTAGAAGGAAATGAAGCATTGCTTGGACTAAACATAAGGTAGTGGAGTAGTAGTTGTGGACATTGTATAATGGTACATGAAGTTGTCTAGGACTGAGCTCTTGTTATAGGCCACGTTCCTCCAACTGTCTGGCCCCATGACCGTCACTCAGCCCCTAAACCTGTCTCTGTCTGCAGGAACTGATTAGGCCATATATCGCACCCCTCCCTTCATCCATCATCCCTCCCTTCTCTGACCCCGTTGACTCCTCCTCAAGAGGGTGACTGGTTGTACGGCTTCATCGAACCTCTGAGAAGCTGGCTGTTCTCATTATCGTTATATCACACAGGGTTAGAGTGTGTGTGTGTGTGTATGTGTGTGTGTATGTGTGTGTTCGTAAGGCCATTATCGTTGATATCGTCATCATCCAAGTATGTGTGAGTCTGTCTTGTGATTTCTTTATCGTCAAGGTTTAGTGTGCGTGTGTGCACGTGCCCACGCACGTGTGAACCAACGTTTGTCATATATATTGAGACCATTCCCTGGAGGCAGACACAGTCTATTGCCTCCACACTCATTCTCTCCTCACCCTAGTTTTATGTCCCTGTAAGTCATCCATGCTGGGATGCTCGGTCTTGGGACCAGGGTATGAACGCGTGCTGTGTGTGTTGAGTGTGTGAGAGCATATATCTCTATATATGTGTGTGTGACAATCTGTGTCCTGTCCACACCTCATGCATGTTTTAAGGAACCATGTTCTGGCAAAGAGGCCACCCCATAGATTTGTTGTAATGAGGGGTCATGGGGTCATGAGAGGAAGTGGGTTGAGGTCTGGGCTGCCTAAATTGCATCCCCCAGAATCGACTGTTAGCCCCCACTCCTTTCCCACATAGCATCAGAGTGGGGCAATGTTGAGACATTCCCTCAGACATCCCGCCAGGGAGGGAAGGCAATGACATTATTTTTCCCAAACAAATTACACGACATGATAAGTTTGAACCAAAATCACATATTCTAGCAGATTTCATATGAAGTATCTTTCACCTTTTAAAGGTGGACTTCAAGCAGATTTCATATGAAGTATCTTTCACCTTTTGAAGGTGGACTTTAGAATTTTGGCAAATAAGCATTTATCTACTTCGCCAGAGTCAGATGAACTCGTGGATACCATTTTTATGTCTCTGCGTGCAGTGTGTATCCCTTTAAACCATCAGTAAAGCAGTGTGTATCCATTTTTACATTTTAGTCATTTAGCAGACGCTCTTATCCATAGTGCATACATTATTATTATTGTTTTTTCATACTGGCCCCCCGTGGGAGTCGAACCCACAACCCTGCCGTTGCAAACGCCATGCTTCACCAACCGAGCTACATCCCTGGACAACGCTGGGCCAATTGTGCGCCGCCCCATGGGTCTCCCGGTCGCGGCCGGCTACGACAGAGCCTGGATTCGAACCAGGATCTCTAGTGGCACAGCTAGCACTGCGATGCAGTGCCTTAGACCACTGCGCCACTTGGGTATCCCTTTAAACCATCAGTACAGCACATCCTCCTATTCAATCATCTGCTGTCTGTACTGCTACGGCTCACTAGCTAGTTGGTTTATGGAGGATGATGCTCTGCTCATCACTGTCTTTCTCCTCATCTCAGTCATCTGCTGCACTACACTACAGACAGGAAGTTCCCTGCTATTAACCCCCCCCCCTCTATCTCTCCTCTGGGTGTGTGTGTATGTGTGTGTGACTGTTGTATCTGACACACACACAGCTCTATCTCTGGGCGTTTCCTCTAGGTGATGTACTGCAACACCCTGCACTGTCAGGAATCTCTGTGCGTGTCCCTTTCCTCTCCCCCTCTCCACAACAAGAGGGTGGATTGATACACTAACTTTGATGCACAGTTCTTACTAGCAGAGGTTATCGAATGGATGACTCGAATGGATGACTCATACAATAAAAAGCACTTTAGGATGTATTTATTTCCAGACAATATTAGTCATCTCTTTTAAGTGTTGGATCATGGAGCTGTAAAATGATTCCTTCATTAGGATAACATTGATGTTTTCATCCCACTTTTGTATGTTTACTTGCCCTTTTAGTCTATTTATTGATGTCTGTCTTTTCAAATACAGGACTTGTCTTTGTATTCCGTATGTTTTCTGTCTTACTGGGACTCACACTTACACGCACGCACAGAGCGCATTCGCCCTCCTCCCACACACACATATTACTGTGCTGTGCTAACCATGCTGCTGTGTCCTGCACCTATCTGAAGTGTCCCCTCCTCCAGACCAGCTCCATATGGGGGCCAGGGCAGCCCTGCCAGGGCTGCAGGGCCACGGGCAGTAGGCAGCAGATGGCCTCTCCTGGGCCCCCTGCCCACTCACCTCCCCTCTTCCCCTCTGGGCCTGGTAGATGGTGTAGTCAGCACACTGTTAGTGCCTTCTCCATCTACAAACCAGGGGAGATTTAGGCTGAGTCCCATTACTATCAAATAGCATCCTTTCCTCATCTCCTTCCTCTCTGATGATCATTGATTTAAATGACTGGCTGTCCATTACTATCAAATGGCCTCCATTTCTATCCATTTTGACCATGGCTCTAAGACTGGATAAGTGGAACCAAGGGGTTGATTGGCTTTCATGTGGCAAACGATAGGAGCATGGAGCTATCTGGTGTCACATATTCAATTAGTCCTTCCATGAGACTCTTGATAGTGTCTTAAAGGGGATGCTATGCTGCCTAGCACTCGCTGGATTAACCTCTTAAGGATCGGACCCTTTTTTTCAATTTTCGCCTAAAATGACATACCCAAATCTAACTGCCTGTAGCAGCAGGACCTGTAGCAAGGATATGCATGTTCTTGATACCATTTGAAAGGAAACACTTTGAAGTTTGTGGAAATATGAAATGAATGTAGGAGAATGTAACACATTAGATCTGGTAAAAGATAATACAAACAAAAAAACTATTTTATTTTGTATTCCATCATCTTTTAAATGCAAGAGAAAGGCCACAATATAATATTGCAGTTTAGACGCAATTTAGATTTTGGTCACTAAATGGCAGCAGTGTGTGTGCAAAGTTTCAGATTGATCCAGTGAAGTATTGCAATACTGGACTATTTTGTATCTGCCCAAAATGTGCCAAATTGGTCCATTAATACATTTTCAAGTACATAACTATAGAGAACATACAAAAATGATATGGTAATACAAAATGTACGTTTACACACTCCCAGGAATGTCATACATGATTCATCATTAGCTTATACGCTAACTTTGACACATCTAGATGGCCGAGCGGGGTGTGGAGCCAGAGAAAGCAAGGGTTCAAACTGTAGAACCTACATTCCTACATTTGAAAAGAAAAATGGATTTTATCAAACAAAACTATGCAACATTTTATCGCTGGGACCCTCAGGATGACAAATCAGAGCAAGATGGTGAATGTTCAGAGGTGAATGTATCAAACCAGTTGCCGTGATAAGTTTGTTGTTGTTGTGCACTCTCCTCGAACAATAGCATAGTTTTTTTCCCACTGTAATAGATACTGTAAATTGGACAGTGCAGTTAGATTAACAACAATTTAAGCTTTCTGCCATTATAAGACATGTCTATGTCCTGGAAAGTCTGCTGTTACTTACAACAGTCATGCTAATCACATTAGCGCATGTTAACTCAACCGTCCCGTATACGGGACACCGATCCCGTAGAGGTTAACGGTTGTGTGCGGTCTATCAGAAGAAGAGAAGTAACTGAATGTCTAAAAACAGAGGGTGCGTCATTCATGATGACACTGCACTTTTGGATAATACTTTCTTTGTATGAAGTTGTGCAGAATGTTTTTAATGCGAAGAATGAAGTGTCTTCAGGCAGTTTCTCACAGATGTGATGTTTGTTACAAATTCTAATGCAGTGAGTTTATTATTGGCTGGATTTACCCCCAGGCCAGTTCTGGTAGAAGTGGATTTTGAAGAGAAAAACAAAAGCCCAGCTATGTTTTTAAAGAAAATAATCGCCCACTTTTCTCACAGACTGCAACGAACTCTGTCCAATGCTTACAACTGTTACTGTAGCCATATAAAGACCAGTACTGTGTTCCCCAAGCACAGAGCTACCATCCATTACAGTTTTCTGATAAGTGATAAGATAGGATAGACCTAAAGGATACTGTCCGGAGTGTCGATTGGAGTTCACAGATAAGATAGGTGAGTGGTCCTCTGTAGCTCAGCTGGTAGAGCACGGCGCTTGTAACGCCAAGGTAGTGGGTTCGATCCCCGGGACCACCCATACACAAAAATGTATGCACGCATGACTGTGAGTCGCTTTGGATAAAAGCGTCTGCTAAATGGCATATTATTATTATTATTATTTAACGGGCACAAGATTGGGTGATTCGCAGGACAACCCAAGCTAGCTTGGAGCAACTTTAATCATCTTCATTTGCAACAATCTTACAACAACCTTATTTATCTTCATTTGATCCTGAATGTTCTATTCGTTTTAGTTTTTTGCGGAGTTAGGTCTAAGATATATTTCAAATTTGATCCACTAAAATACCAATTCTTTATACTACAGTGTAACACCCTCCATTTGAGATGTAATGCATTAACCCACCTTCAAACCCTTCAAACCCCTTTCCAGCCCAAATACACACATCATCCATCTTTATCATGTAGCCATTCCTTTAGAAAAGTGTGGAACCCCCTGTGGGTTTGCACGCCCCTCATCCCTCCATCCTCTCTTCTTTAGCTGCATGTTCAATTAACTGGCTAGCAGGGAAATGGGTCAGCAGTGCGACAATCAGCTGAGCGCTCGCGATCAATCACCCCGATGACTATGCTCCCGGGCAGACGTGCCCATTAGCGCATGAGTGTGTGTGTGTGTGTGTGTGAGTGTGAGTAGAAATAGGGGGGGGGGGGGTTTCGCTGCTCGTTTTCTGGTGAATTCTTAATGTGATTTCCTCAAGGTTTCTTCCAGGGAGAAACCGCCACCGGGCTAAGCATTGCAGCAGAAAGACGAGACGAGGAGGCTTGTTAGATGATGGGGTGGTGAAGCTAAGCTAAGGGCTGCAGGCTGTTAACACGGCCGACTAAACTTGTCGATATACATAAATGCAGCGACTCATTGCACTCTCTGTCTCTCTCGCTCTCTCTGCACTGTAGTCTGTTATGTTTTTGTTTCTACAGTACCTAATCTAGAGTTCTATCCCCCTCTCTGTTTCTCTCTCTCTCTTTCTCTCTCTACCCCCTCTCTCTTCACAGTGCCCATTGCGCCATGTCTGCCACACAGCTGGAGGAGACAGAAAATGTTTTTGGTGAGTGTTTCGCTCTCTCTCAGAGTGTGTGTGTTTGTGTCTCGCACATTTAATGAGTGTTGTATATGTGATACATGAACGAAGATTGTGTGTTTGTGTGCGTATATCTCTCAGAGTAAGATACACAATATGAGGCACACAGAAATTAACACGTGTTTGTGTGTGGTGTGTGTCTGACATAAACTATGTGTGTGCTGTGTGTTGGTCCTATAACTTTCTGAATACCACGGGCCAGAGAAAGATGTGGAACATGAGGGAGTCTGTTGTTGTAATGATGAGTGGGAAGGCCTATGCTATGGAATCTCATGACTGCACTTCTCAGCTAAAAGGGCGGTCTAGTCAGTCTACACACACACACATGCACACACACACACATGCATGCACACACACATACGCACACAAACACTCCATGTCCTATTTTAAGAAAATCAATTCCTAAAGAGGCTATGACTCAGACTTCTACATCACAGCACCTTTGTATAAAACGTTGTAACCAGCAGTGACCAAGCTACCTCTCAGTCAGAGTCCTATAAATACTCCCTATTCCCCTTTGAAGCAGCTCCCAGGTCACCTCTCTCTCCCTGAATAAGACACCCCAGCACTAATGTGGAACATCAGCCTTTGTGTGGACTCAGCCGTTTGGGTCTCAGTGGTGTCAGGTCCAATTCCCCAATGTGCCGAATTCTGCATACCCGCTCCTCCTCTAACCCTCTGACACTGTTTTATTGGACCAGATGCCCCAAATGTGCTCAACTCCTCTGAACAACTGAAATTGCAACGGTATTGTGGATTCATTGGCTAACATTGAAGCGTGCATCTACCTGCCTGTCATTCGCTGGCACGGATGTGAGGGATTTTTAGAGTGTGTTTGCGTCCACAGCACATCGTTCAGATATCCAGTCACTAAATAAGACAAAACAAAACAGCCAGTGGATCAGCCTGACAGCCTCCAAATATGGCAGTGGGCGACACTAATACACATTTTTGAACTGACCATATCTTGTTTGCTTCGCCAGCTCTCTGGTGTTTTCTTAATATACTGTACACACCAACCCCACTTTCCTCTAGTGATGCGCCTGTGAGATTGACCTTCATACCTCTCCAGAAAGCCCACAGGGGAATGTAGAGTCGGGGGTAGTGTGCTTTGTATACCTATAGTGGGGGTGGGTTGTAATATATCTTTCTCCTACCTACTCTATGTATGGTCTGTGTAGAATCCAATAAGGGGTGGGATGATGGCTTATGGGGGATGAGAGAGGGGTGTGGCTTGGTTTGGTTTGGTCAAATTTTAAGGGTGCCTCTTAGCACAGAGACTAGGTCTAATAAGAGCAGGAGGGATAATGTGCACCGCAGGGGGTAACAGAATGGAACAGAAAGGACACAGAATGGAAAGGTGATTCTGGGCCTCTCAGTTCACCCTCCTCCTTCACCCCGTTTTACTCCTCCTTGTAGTCTCGTATAATGTTGTCAACAATGTGAACAGGAGGGTTGAGATACTGGTGCCAAGAAATGTTGTCTTTTAATGTGGGGCGGCAGGTAGCTTAGTGGGTAAGAGCGTTGTGCCAGTAACCGAAAGGTCGCTGGTTCTAATCCCCGAGCCGACTAGGTGAAAAATCTGTCGATGTGCCCTTGAGCAAGGCACTTAACCCTAATTGCTCCTGTAAGTCGCTCTGGATAAGAGCGTCTGCTAAATGACTAAAATGTAAAAATGTAAATGTAATGTGAGGGAATCACCCTGTAAAATTGTTGCGGTTGACATTTCCTGTTTGCTGAGGTTGTTGTCTGTTGTCTTTGGGGTGGCTGTGCTCGGGCTCCCTTGGCTCGCTTAGTGGAAACGTGGTAGAGAACGTGGTTTCCCTCTGCGGCAGTTCGGCCTGTCTGCCTTCATTACTGGCTGTGTACATCCTAATACTGAACCACGGAGACAGACCTCACTCTACTCATAGAGCTGCAGCCAATACACAGCTCATCCACTGAACCACAAAGACAATGTCATTCTGAACTAGCACTCACACTGCTATCATAGCACACAGCCCATAACACACTGAACCCAACCTAACGCCATACAGTTTCAATCTTATAGGCTGAGAATTGTTCATATCCACTCAAACTTTACACTGAAATTCTTCATATAAAGCTTGTTTAAGGCTTCAGTTATACTGAACCAAACCTTGCTTCAGGATACAAAGCATGTATCATATAGTAAACCAACCTTTACATTACCACTCAGGGAGCTAAACCAAACATGTACAACCCAAAACAGAGCCTGTATCATACTCCAACCTAGCTCCGCTCCAACAGAGATAGAAAAGGGCTGACTCAGGGGCCTGTAGTATGGATGATTATCAGTCAGACCGCCACAGAGAGGAGAGTGTTTGGTTGGCCTGCATCCCACTGGGAACTCACTCTGCTGCTGCTGTAGCTGTAGCATTGATTGCTAGCTTTACCTCAACCACCACCACCTAACCAGCTTGAGGAACGCAGCACCAATCCGAAACGGCAAAGCACTCAATTCCATTCACCCCCAGATTGCAGAAAATGGAATGTAATGAACCTTACACTCTACCACACTGAGTTGGAGTGTTGTGGTTTTGGACTCGATAGCCCAAGCTAGACCCAGTGGTGTCTATCTATACAAATTAGCTTTGAGTGCTGCTTGAGTTTTAGCCTGCTCTGCAAGGATGTACCACTCGACTACACTACTAGAGCAATTAACTTCTGTGTTCAATTCTATTTCTGGAAGGATGTGTGACATGCAGGGTTGGAACCGATTTTTTTCTCCCACCAATCGTATCGTTCATAACAGAACCATTATTATTTTTTTCGTTCAGTTCCACTGTTCCAACCAGCAAAATACAGTTCTGAACCGGTTTGAACCCAAACAAAGTAACCGTTAATAATCAGAATTATACCTTTGGAGGAGCGGCTTCTATGAAGGAACTTTGAATGTCATTGACCTTCAGAGAGTTGGTTTAGCGTTGGACCAAAACTAGCTAGCTACCTTGTGTGTGCAGAGTGGCACCAGAATTAAAATAAAACATTTGTAGATAATAAATCCAATGTGAAACGTGATAACTATTTTGTATCCTTAACTAGCGTTGAAAAAGTTAATTAAAAATCTCTCTCCTTCCTTTCTCAATCATGCTTGTAACGTCAGTAGTAGGCTAGCAGGCAGGCAGACACTGGAATAAGAGTGAGGGCTTTGCATAGGTGCTTTGTTGCATTTTGTTGTGCGAATCGATGCCCAGCACGTAAAATAATGTAATTAACCGGTTCCCATGCTTTTAAAATAACGGTTCTCTTCCAGAATAGTATAGATCACTTTCGTTCCCGGTTTTGATTCTGTTCCTTGAAAAATGCTGTTCTTTCTGGTTTTCAGTTCTGTTCCCTGAACCGGTTCCAACCCCTGGTGATATGTACTGTATGCTGTTTTTAATTTGGACCGAATGTAAGATAGCAGATGGCTATTGTTGAGTCGTGTTTTCCGAAGTGAAGGAGGTTCCCTTTCGTCGACTGTGAGGTGCATGAAAAGGTATTGGAGACAGGTCTCCTCCATCTCTGAGTATGTAGCCCATAACATGCACCGAGTGGGCGAAAGGCCAGTTGGGGGTTCAACCTTCCCTGTCAGTAGGCTGATGACAGCGCTACGAGTGGAAAATGTCACTGCCTCCATCTGACCACTGCTGGGTCACTGAACAGCACAAACATTGATTTACAGAGTGCACCCCAAATTGCACCTTATTCCCTAGGGCCCATAGAGCTCTAGTCAAAAGTAGTGCAAAAGTAGGGATCAGGGTGCCATTTGGGATGCGACCACAATTTTAATGGATGAACAACAGGGATCTGAATATAGCCATAGTAAGTTATATAGACATTATACTTTAATTCTCAAATTCAACCCCAAATTCATCTTAAGACAATGTCGTAAGCTAGGACAATGTAGAGAGAGCGACGTCAAAATTTGTTCCGACCACAGTCAAGTCCACCTGGACTGAGTCCAGTGGAAGTGCTGCAGTATTTTGGAGCTCATTGTGCATTGTGGTCTTCCTAGATGAGAATGGATCTCTGGTAATTTAGTGTGATCTGCCACACCTTCCCTTTTATTCAGACTGCTCAATAGGTGTCATGCCAATGACAATACAGTAATGTGTCATTGCCAATGCTATGAGTCATATGCAGAATCCGAAACCGCATAAGGTTTACATGAAGAGTCATTTTTGATGTTTGTTAGGTGCAATGACCATTAACTGTAATGCAGTTTAAATTTGTCTGCATTCAATGAAAAATAGTGGGAGTCGTCTGTACCACAACTCAGTTCAGGGAAACGTTCCCTCACATTCTGACTCAGAATATTGAAAAAACTATTCTAAAACAACGTATTTAAATGATCTGTAAATAAATCGGTCACATTTGTGTTGCTAAGGAGATTAAATTGAAAAATTCTTTATACTTCATTGAACGTCATGTTCTTTGTGTCCGAATGTGTTCATCAACACTCCCTTCCTTATCATTATCCCAGTGTCTCTGAACCCCACTGAGTGCCTGCATGGACAGTATGCTGCCTGGACATTTCTACATGACTAAATACCAATTACATTAGAGTGAGCACTCAGCCATGGGAGAGAGGGAATAGGGTATGCACATCAAGAAAGATGAGTCGATTTTTAGATTTTGTGATTTTCTCTTAATTCTCACACAAATCACAAACACTTATGTGAACATTGTGTCACATTTTCTCTCTCTCTCTCTTCTTTGATTTATCTCGCTTATTTTTTTCTGAGTTTTATTACTTTCGGTGTTGGTGGTTGGATCCTTTGAAAATAGGTTCTCAGCTATTTAGCCTAATGTTGTCCCCTGTAGCTCAGTTGGTAGAGCATGGCACTTGCAACGCCAGGGTTGTGGGTTCGTTTCCCACGGGGGGCCAGTATGAAAATGTATGCACTCACTAACTGTAAGTCGCTCTGGATAAGAGCGTCTGCTAAATGACGTAAATGTAAATGTGATGTTGTCCAGGACAAGATAGTAATGTGCATATTATACTATATATTTCAAAAATCTTACCCAAACCTGAATGGCTGTAGTGAGCATCAAAGAAGAGAGCTTCAGTGATATTGTGTTGTTCATAGCTGATGAAAGGTCTCACCACTTTCCTCTGTTGTATCTTATTTTTAGTCTGTCTCGGCTGACTGGCTGGTGTTAGATCCTCTGGTATAAAGCAGTCAGTGCTGTGCTGTACAGTACAGTACAGTACAGTCTGTGATGAGATCTGAGCGTCAGCATGGTGAGAGGGAGGTATCAGATGAATCCTATTAGTTGGCTCACTCACATCTGGCCCCTCTGTGTCTCTCCATCACTGTACTGACATACCTGTTCCTAAAGAGGGAGAGGGGGAGAATAGAAAACACTAATACAATTTAATTACATATGTTTAAAAAATATGTATATATATTTCTCACAAGTAGTAGACCAATTGAAAGCTGTCAGGGGCTTTGACTTTTAGATATGTTTGATTAGGTAATTCTAGTACATGAATGCCTACTACAGTGTCAATGCTTCCCAAGCAAAAAGCTCATGTTTAGTAGACGGTTAGAGGCACTCTGTTTGTGGATCGATACAATGCCTTCAGAAAGTATTCATACACCTTGACTTATTCCACATTTTGTTCGGTTACAGCCTGAATTCAAAATTTATTAAATCGATTTTTTTTTCTCACCCATCTACACACAATACCCCATAATAATAAAGTGAAAACATGTTTTTTGTCATTTTTGCAAATTTATTGAAAATGAAATACAGAAATATCTCATTATGGGTATGCTTGCCGATGACAAGCATACCCATAACATGATGCAACCACCACCATGCTTGAAAATATGAAGAGTGGTATTCAGTGATGTGTTGTGTTGGATTTGCCCCAAACATAACACTTTGTGTTCAGGACATAAAGTAAAAAAAATTGCCACGTTTTTTGCAGTGTTACTTTAGTGCCTTATTGCAAACAGGATGCATGTTTTGGAATATTTGTATTCTGTACAGGCTTCCTTCTTTTCACTCTGTCATTTAGGTTAGTATTGTGGGGTAACTACAATGTTGTTGATCCATCCTCAGCTTTATCCTATCACAGCCATTAAACTCAGTAACTGTTTTAATGTCACCATTGGCCTCATGGTGAAATCCCTGATTGGTTTCCTTCCTTCCTTTCCGGAGTTAGGAAGGACTCCTGTATCTTTGTAGTGACTGGGTGTATTGATACACTATCCAAAGTGTAATTAATAACTTCACCATGCTCAAAGAGATATTCAATGTCTGCTTTTTTCCTTTTTACCCATCTACCAATAGGTGCCTTTCTTTGCGAGACAATGGAAAATCTCCCTTGTCTTTGTAGTTGAATCTGTGTTTAAATTCACTGCTCGACTGAGGGACCTTACATATAATTGTATGTGTGGGGTACAGAGATGATGTAGTCATTCCAAAATCATGTTAAGCACCATTATTGCACACAGAGTGAGTCCATGCAACTTATTATGTGACTTGTTAAGCAACATTTTACTCCTGAACTTATTTAGGCTCGCCACAACAAAGGGGTTAAATACTTATTGACTCATACATTTCAGCTTTACATTTTTTATTAATTTGTAAACATTTCTAAAAACATAATTCCCTTTTGACATTATGGGGTATTGTGTGTAGGCCAGTGACACAAAATCTCAATTTAATACATTTTTAATTCAGGCTCTAACATAACAAAATGTGGAAAAAGTCAAGGGGTGTGAATACTTTCTGAAGGCACTGTAAGAGATGTGTTGTCTCTGTGTGTTTGGTCCTATATTTATATATATTTATTTTTTTAATCCCAGCCCCCGTCCCCGCAGGAGGCCTTTTGCCTTTTGGTAGGCTGTCATTGTAAATAAGAATTTGTTCTTAACTGACTTGCCTAGTTAAATAAAGGTTAAATAAAAAATAAAAAAATAAAGAGATGACCAGGTCGTAGGTCAATGTTCATCCCCCACAATCCTCTGCTGACTCAGTCACAGGGGAACGTCCAATGTGATTAAACAGATTCATTGTCATGTATTTGGGGGATGGGGGCTGGATGAATGGAGTGAAGGATGGAGGGATGAGGGGAGGGAGAGATAATTGATGGAAACGCTGAAGGGCTCTCAGATTGGGGCCAAGAGGTCGAAGGCAAAAGGATCGTTCCTCTGGGTTCACCACAGATAGAGGATGTTAGAGCAGGGGGAGGATCAGACTAACACATTTCACCTGTACAATTAAACTCCTCAGTGTGACATGTAAAAGGTAGTATGGTGGTTGTAATCTCATCTTGAACCTTCTCGTAATGTCCAAAACAGACATTAGAGGATTTTTTTTTTTACATGCAGGGCATTAGCTTTTGCCCAGTAGTTTATCTTTCTAGGTCCCAGGTGAAATGAATATATTAAAATAGCTGTAGCCTAGTGTTTAGGTCTGGGCTTTCCTTGTAACACATTCTGCATCAAATGGATCTGTAAAAAACACTTCTCAAATCTGTGTCCAGTACTTATTTGAGCTTTTCTCTGTGATCTTCCCTCAGACCTGAATGATCTGAATATCATCATTTTCACTGTGATCTTCCCTCAGACCTAAACGAGGCCATCCCAGAGACAGAGCTGCTGGACAACAGCATACAGAAGGGGCGTGCCCAGCTGTCCGTCAAAGCCAGGAGGCACCGCCCCTCTCGCTCTCGCTTCCGAGACAGCGTCAGTTCCACAGAGGGAGATGACAGTCTGGAGAGGAAGGTGAGTGACAGGCGTGAGAGCCAATCAATCGATGACATGGACTCTCTGGATGGGACAGGCACACCCACAGGACACATTCCTTTGTAGTCTGATGATGACCTTGTAGCATGTGATAACAAAACACAAGGGCCCTGTCTTGTTTTGGTAATACAGTATAGATGACATCTTTATATAGACAGCACCAAGGGAGATTTCAGGTATTTATTGTGCATTTTATGTGGTCACTATACCATAATACTGCACACATGTAGCTAAGTAACATAGCAACTATAGCTCTATAACTAACAGCACTGTACATGCCTATACTCTTGCATAGATCCTGATTGGTTAAAAACAAAGCTTGACTCAATCAGGCATTGAATCAGTGGTGATGTTTCACTGCATCATTTGACAATCAGATTTTATGGTTGACTTCTTTATATTCAAACCCATTTAGTTGTAGATGGTAAAAGACCATGCAACCATCCATATGAAATCAGTTTCTTAGTCCTGGAACTCATTTCAGATTATTTGGAGATTATCAGAAGGGAGAATGTCTCAATGGCCTCTTACCTAGGCTATTTTGGAGGGCGTTGGAGAGTGTGTGTCTCGCTCTCTTCATATCTGTTGTTTGGTCGTTTTTTAATATTTTCTCTCACTAGAGTTAGGGTCAATTCAAATTGCATTCCAGCCTATTCAGGCATTTCATTGGACTGGCACACAATTTGAAAAGTACCATACTACAGTTATGAGCATTTTCCCATTCAAATTTCATGTCCAATTATTGCTTACTATACAGGAGGTGGAATGGAATTAACCCAAACTCATATGTCCCTAACTGTGTTCATGAGTGGTTGCATGCATGTGTGTATATATGCATAAGCTTATGCTTGTGTGTGTGTATGTACAGTACTTGTCAAAAGTTTGGACACACCTACTCATTCAAAGGTTTTTCTTTATTTTTACTATTTTCTACATTGTATAATAATAGCTAAGACATCACAACTATGAAATAACACATATGGAATCATGTAGTAACCAAAAGAGTGTAAAACAAATCAAAATATATTTATATTTGAGATTCTTCAAAGTAGCCACCCTTTGCCTTGATGACAGCTTTGCACGCTCTTGGCATCTCTCAACCAGCTTCATGAGGTAGTCACCAGGAATGCATTTCAATTAACAGGTGTGCCTTGTTAAAAGTTAATTTGTGGAATTTCTTTCCTTCTTAATGCGTTTGAGCCAATCAGTGGTGTTGTGACAAGGTAGGGTTGGTATACAGAAGATAGCCCTATTTGGTAAAAGAACAAGTCAATATTATGTCAAGAACATCTCAAAGAAGCAAAGAGAAACGACAGTCCATCATTACTTTAAGACATGAAGGTCAGTCAATCCGGAAAATGTCAAGAACTTTAAAGTTTCTTCAAGTGCAGTCGCAAAAACCATCAAGCGCTATGATGAAACTGGCTTTCATGAGGACCGCCACAGGAATGGAAGACCCAGAGTTACCTCTGCTGCAGAGGATAAGGTCATTAGAGTTACCAGCCTCAGAAATTGCAGCCCAAATAATTGCTTCACAGAGTTCAAGTAACAGACACATCTCAACATGAACTGTTCAGAGGAGACTGTGTGAATCAGGCCTTCATGGTCGAATTTCTGCAAAGAAACCACTACTAAAGGACACCAATAAGAAGAAGAGACATTAGACCGGTGGAAATCTGTCCTTTGGTCTAATGAGTCCAAATTTGAGATTTTTGGTTCCAATCGCCATGTCTTTGTGAGACGCAGAGCAGGTGAACGGATTATCTCTGCATGTGTGGTTCCCACCATGAAGCATGGAGGAGGAGGTGTGATGGTGTTGGGGTGCTTTGCTGGTGACACTGTCTGTGATTTATTTAGAATTCAAGGCACACTTAACCAGCATGGCTACCACAGCATTCTGCAGCGATACGCCATCCTGGTTTGTGCTTAGTGAGACTATTATTTGTTTTTCAACAGGACAACGACCCAAAACACACCTCCAGGTTGTGTAAGGGCTATTTGATCAAGAAGGAGAGTGATGGAGTGCTGCATCAGATGACCTGGCCTCCACAATCACCCGACCTCAACCCAATTGAGATGGTTTGGGATGAGTTGGACCGCAGAGTGAAGGAAAAGCAGCCAACAAGTGCTCAGCATATGTGGGAATTCCTTCAAGACTGTTGGAAAAGCATTCCAAGTGAAGCTGGTTGAGAGAATGCCAAGAATGTGCAAAGCTGTCATCAAGGTAAAGGGTGGCTACTTTGAAAAATCTATAATATATTTTGATTTGTTTAACACTTTTTTGGTTCCTACATGATTCCATATTTGTTATTTCATAGTTTTGATGTCTACAATGTAGAAAATAGTAAAAATAAAGAAAAACCTTTGTATGAGTATGTGTGTCCAAACTTTTGACTGGTACTGTATGTATGTGTGTCTGTCTGTCTCTCTCTCTCTGTGTGTGTGTGTGCTTATTGTTTGTCTCAGTCAGTTCACATATAAACATGTGGTGTTTCTGAATCTTTGTGCCATAGTGTCTGGACAGCCCTCTGCACTCCGTCCGTTCCCCCCTCCACGCCACCCTGCGAGGAGGCTCCTCCCCTTCGCCTGATTCGCTCCTCTCCTCGTCCTCCCCTTGTCCCACCTTACGGAGCCCCGTCTTCTCCTTCGACTCCTCCTCCTTACGGCGCTCCCCGGAGGAGGGCGGGACCGGGTCGCCAGCCCCTCGGGGGCGGTACCGCCAGCTGACCAATGCCACGTCTCAGGAGGCCCTGGTGACCACGCCCAACAGCTCTCCCTCCAAGTCGTGTCCCAGTTCGGACTGCTCGCCTGTTTACATTCGACGGGCACGACGCCCAGACAGTGAGGGTAAGAGTGGCAGCCATCCGCATGGCAAGAAAATCATCATCTGTCTGTATCCTAGTTATTACAAATCCCCACACTAAGAATGAAATGCCCTGTGATATAACTGTGGTATATTAAGCCTGAAGAGGCACAGCACATACACACAAGCAGCATTTAAGTGCATTATTGGCTAAACCAGCATTACTGCCATACCATTAAGGCCACACCAAAATGTTGGGAATGGTGGGTTAATGTATAAAAAAATGCATTGTTTAATCAATAATGTGCTAATAGCCATTTATTATTGTTTCTCAGTGTTAGTTTCAGATGACAGTCGAGACACCAGCCCGGCCGACCCCGGCAACAACAGCCTTATCTTCGACAAGAAGACCAAGAGGAGGTTCTTGGACCTGGGGTAAGTGCTCAATATTCAGACATTTACTCTGTTTACATTGTAAACACATTGTAAATTGGTCCGTTTCAAAACTGGTGCTTTCTGTTGATTTTAACCCACAGTTTTTTTGCTCTTCTGAAGGGTCACATTGAGACGCTCCTATGTGAGAGTCAGAAAAGACAAGTCAAACAGACTGTCAATGGGAAGCCGGTGAGTCAATGGGAAGCCATTTTGGCTCTGTCCCTCTGTTTCAATACAGGAGACACCATTTTGGCTCTATTAGACCTAGTTAGCAAATGAGAGGCACCATTTTGGCTCTTTCAGTTAGCATATTGAATATCTCTCTTTCTCTGCACAGAGAGCCATCTGAGAGCCCGTCCAGGTCCTCTGGCTCGTTCGTGCCTTTCTCCTGGTTCACTGACAGCGCCAGGGGCTCCGTGTCGTCCGGGGCAACCCCGCCCTGCTCCCCCAAACTGGTCTCACAGGACTGCAGCCCCCGCAAGTCCAACTCCCAGGTAACTCACATCCACAATAATATATAGACGCTTCCAGATATCATATTTAGGTCAGACTGCACTATTGTGTTACTACTACCATTGTCCACTTTGTGTTTTTATCATTATCAGAGGCATCATGTGTTTGTTAGCATTAGTATATAGGCTAGTCTTTATTTAATGTCTGTCATTGAGATTTCTGCCACATCTGACAATGTCATGAAAACGAGCTTCAAAGGCCGTGTGTTATGGTTCTAGATGGACAGATAGCTAGCAACAATGACAGGAAACTGTCAAGTGGTGACTTGTAAGTGGCTCGTTTCAGCTCGTTTAAACTTGTTCTTGATACCATGTCTTGTTTTGAGGTGTTTTGACTGTCACGTCTATGCTAATATGGAAAACAATGGCTAGATAGCTAGCTAGCCAACAACTGTAACAATGTATTTGAGAGTTAAGTGCTCATTGTGCAACTGTATTTATGTTTTCAATTAACATTGGAGCCGAAATATAGTTTACGTTGTTAACAATCTAGGCTAACCCCTGTTTTGCCCCGTAGTTGCGCATGCCTCGGTTTTGTTGCTAAACAACCAACCAGTCTATACATTCCACAGTTTAAATAACCGAGAAAAGGATGCTGCTGTTACCATTGGAGATATGCCAAATGCTTTTTACAAATCTTTTCAAATGAATTGTCAAGAAGGAGAAAACCTTCTCCCACTGGGTCTGAGCTTCAAATGCAAAAACAGTCAACAGAAGAGAGAAGCAGACACCAGAGATATAACACTGCTATAAACAGTCTTGTGTGTCATCCTTCATATATATACACACACATATATATAATTGGAGAAGCCCATAGTGTGACTCAGCTCCTGTAGAGAGTCTGAGGGGATTGAAACCCAATTAGGAAACAGGGTGAGTTTTCCTCTGAGTCCTAGAGGGTGCTGCTATTCAACATTTATCGATGGAAATCAATGGCCCTTTGTGCGGCACAATGTCACATACTCGTGTCAAATTGAACCTGTTTCATAAAAGCTATCGACAGATGACTTCAGGAGTTAAAACAAGAACATGGCATCGATGCAAGAGAGGATCTTCAGTTGATAGATCTGATTGACCACGTTGAGGGATTTTGGTGCTGTTGTCTTCCTCTTACATTGTTTGGTACATGTGCATCTATTGGATGGAGAAAAAAAAAGTTTAATATACAGAAGAAAGAGGCTGAGGTACAGGGTTATAGGAAGAAGATAGACTTATAGTGGTTGTCCGTTCAATACCCAGGAAGGCAGACATATGCCTCAAACTGACTTTGCACCAGCTGATTAAAGCCTCTGCCAATGGCCCAAGTATTTCTAAGGGAAATAGATTATATTTCAGAAGCTTGTGGGCCAATGGCCTTTTAGCTAAGAGACACAGAAAGGACTTGTGGGAAATATACAGGAGTCCAATCACACCATTGATGTAACAAAACAAGGTGTGTGTTCCGTATATCAGTGTTTTTATTTCCCTGTCAAAAGTATAGTTAAGAGCATGCCTGGCTCTTTCAGCTTTATCGTTTCTGCTTATGTGCACAAATTGCTTTATAAATCAAAGGTGTTCTAAGTCGTTGTCAGCACAGCAAATATGGTATTTCACATATGGAGGTATATCTCTGCTATAAATGATGACATTCTTTCTGCTAATATGTTCATGTGTAGCCTGTCCATGTCCTTGCCATAAAACCATATAACCAGTAAGTACACCCACAGGACACCTAACAATACATATATTTCTTGTTGGATGGCTCTCTTTGCACACATTTGCGGTCGTAGGCAGAAATCCCATGATGCAATCGATGCTGTTGATTTACTCACCTTGGAGACTTGACCGCTACGATGCTTTTAGCTAACCACAACCTGTGACGAGGTGTGAAAGGAGGAGTCAGGCGCAGGAGGTAAAATACCGAAGTCCAGAGTTTAATCTGTTTGCATAAATCCAACGCCCCAAGCGTCAAACGAGGGAAAACGTCCACCTTGGCAATAACACAGTGAAATGTAGCTCAACCGAGCTACACGCTCTCACAACAAAACAATCACTCACAAAGACAAGGGGAACAGAGGGAACACTTATACACATACTAATTAGGGGAATGAGCACCAGGTGTGTGTGATTGACAAGACATGACAAGTGGAGTGATGAGAATGGGATCGCAGTAGCTAGTACTCCGGTGACGACGAATGCCGAAGCCTGCCCGAACCAGGAGGGGGGGCAGCCTCGGCGGAAGTCGTGACACAACCTCAAGTCAAGACAACTAGATTACCGTTTAACAAAAGTAGGAAAGCAACATTGCAGAGCATATTTCCACTTAACGGTTAATAAATATTTGAATGCCCATGTTTACAAAAATGTTGAACTTTTGAATCAACCAATGGCAGGCTAAGTTTGGTGAGTTCATGAATATAGCCCTCTATGGTAAAAACACCCATCCCCCCTCTCAGCTGCACTTGGTTTGATCCATTCTGAGTCAAAACCCTCCCAATTATTGTGACCGTACGTACATACCCCAACCAGAAGCCATGGATTACAGGAAACATCCGCACTGAGCTAAAGGGTAGAGCTGCCGCTTTCAAGGAACGGGACTCTAACCCGGACGCTTATAAGAAATCCCGCTATGACCTCCGACGAACCATCAAACAGGCAAAGAGTCAATACAGGTCTAAGATTGAATCATACTACACTGGCTCTGACGCTCGTCGGATGTGGCAGGGCTTGAAAACTATTACAGACTACAAAGGGAAGCACAGCCGCGAGCTGCCCAGTGACACAAGCCTACCAGACGAGCTAAACCACTTCTATGCTCGCTTCGAGGCAAGCAACACTGAAGCATGCATGAGAGCACCAGCTGTTCCGGATGACTATGTGATCACGCTCTCCGTAGCCGATGTGAGTAAGACTTTTAAGCAGGTCAACATTCACAAGGCCGCAGGGCCAGACGGATTACCAGGACGTGTACTCCGAGCATGTGCTGACCAACTGGCAAGTGTCTTCACTGACATTTTCAACATGTCCCTGACTGAGTCTGTAATACCAACATGTTTCAAGCAGACCACCATAGTCCCCGTGCCCAAGAACTCTAAGATAACCTGCCTAAATGACTACCGACCCGTAGCACTGACGTCTGTAGCCATGAAGTGCTTTGAAAGACTGGTCATGGCTCACATCAACAGCATAATCCCAGAAACCCTAGACCCACTCCAATTTGCATACCGCCCCAACAGATCCACAGATGATGCAATCTCTATCACACTCCACACTGCCCTTTCCCACCTGGACAAGAGGAACACCTACGTGAGAATGCTATTCATTGACTACAGCTCAACATTCAACACCATAGTGCCCTCTAAGCTCATCACTAAGCTAAGGATCCTGGGACTAAACACCTCCCTCTGCAACTGGATCCTGGACTTCCTGACGGGCCGCCCCCAGGTGGTAAGGGTAGGTAACAACACATCTGCCACACTGATCCTCAACACGGGGGCCCCTCAGGGGTGCGTGCTCAGTCCCCTCCTGTACTCTCTGTTCACCCATGACTGCATGGCCAGGCACGACTCCAACACCATCATTAAGTTTGCCGACGACACAACAGTGGTAGGCCTGATCACCGACAACGATGAGACAGCCTATAGGGAGGAGGTCAGAGATCTGGCCGTGTGGTGCCAGGACAACAACCTCTCCCTCAACGTGACCAAGACAAAGGAGATGATTGTGGACTACAGGAAAAAAAAGAGGACTGAGCACGCCCCCATTCTCATCGACGGGGCTGTAGTGGAACAGGTTGAGAGCTTCAAGTTCCTTGGTGTCCACATCACCAACGAACTATCATGGTCCAAACACACCAAGACAGTCGTGAAGAGGGCACGACAAAGCCTATTCCCCCTCAGGAGACTAAAAAGATTTGGCATGGGTCCTCAGATCCTCAAAAAATTCTACAGCTGCACCATCGAGAGCATCCTGACTGGTTGCATCACCGCCTGGTATGGCAACTGCTTGGCCTCCGACCGCAAGGCACTACAGAGGGTAGTGCGTACGGCCCAGTACATCACTGGGGCAAAGCTTTCTGCCATCCAGGACCTCTATACCAGGCGGTGTCAGAGGAAGGCCCTCAAAATTGTCAAAGACTCCAGCCACCCTAGTCATAGACTGTTCTCTCTGCTACCGCACGGCAAGCGGTACCGGAGTGCCAAGTCTAGGTCCAAAAGACTTCTCAACAGCTTCTACCCCAAGCCATAAGACTCCTGAACAGCTAATCATGGCTACCCGGACTATTTGCACTGCCCCCCCACCCCATCCTTTTTACGCTGCTGCTACTCTGTTAAGTATTTATGCATAGTCACTTTAACTCTACCCACATGTACATATTACCTCAACTACCTCAACTAGCCGGTGCCCCTGCACATTGACTCTGCAACGGTACCCCCCTGTATATATAGCCTTCCTACTGTCACTTTATGTTACTTCTGCTCTTTTTTTCTCAACACTTTTTTTGTTGTTGTTTTATTCTTACTTTTTTTGTTTAAAATAAATGCACTGTTGGTTAAGGGCTGTAAGTAAGCATTTCACTGTAATGTCTGCACCTGTTGTATTCGGCGCATGTGACCAATAAAATTTGATTTGATTTGATTTGATATTGGGGCAGCGGGAGTGTTTATACATACTCTCTAACACCTGCACCATGACACATCTAAAATCTCCAGCAGCAGCATGTGGGGCCCGTCACAAATAGCACCTTTATATCCCATAAAGTGCAATACTTTTGACTACGGGTCAAAAGTATTGAACTTTATAGGGACTAGAGTGAAATTTAGAACAGAGCTCCATGGGCTTTAATAGAGAGGAGGAGCTATGCAAAGCATCCAAGATGGACTTAGTCATCAGCATGGAGGCCGGGACCCTTCGCTCTGCATAGCAATTAAAGCTGCAGCTTCCCATTGAAAGCAGAGAGGGCCATTAAATCCCTTTCTACCACTGTGTGTCTGTCCAGCTGGGATAATAGCTCTAGGATGTGTCCCAAATGGCACCCTATTCCCTACATAGTCCACTACTTTTGAACAGAGCCCTATGGGCCCTGGTCAATAGTCAGTGGTATAAAGTACTTAAGTAAAAATACTTTAAAGTACTACTTAAGTCGTTTTTGGGGTATCTGTACCGACTCACTAAACATAAATGCATTGTTTGTAAATGATGTCTGAGTGTTGGAGTGTGCCCCTGGCTAACCGTAAATAAATAAAAAAACAGGACAATTGTGCCATCTGGTTTGCTTAATATAATGAATTTGAAATGATTTATACTTTTACTTTTGATACTTAAGTATATTTTAGCAAGTATGACAATTGGGTACTTTTTCCACCACCGTCAAAAGTAGTGCACTATATAGGGAACAGAGTGCCATTTGGGACGCAGCCCTAATAAGCCTGGTGTCTGGAGAGGAGGCAGATACCCATGACTTTGCCTTCCTCCTCTGCACTGGAGATTTGGGCCTCTGTACTGTGGCTCTCAAGGGGACTGTCATGCGCTGTTATAGGGTTGTGTGCATATGTGTTTGCAGGCGCAACATTTGAGAGGGCAATTAATCCAAAATATGATATTTCTGTATTCTTTTTAAGTGTTACTGCTGTGACCAAACCTTTCATATTTCGAAGCTTCAACTGTTTGAAAGTAAGGTTTATTAACGGTGCTTTAATATCCTACTAATGTCAGATGCAATTGATCTTGAACTGGACAAATCAATTGATCCAGTACGGTTTGACCACAGTGGTCACACTCAATGAAGATATCGCACATCTCTATGCACTTGTACTTAATGCCAAAGTGTCAAAGAATACTGGAAACAATGCAGAGAAAACAATAGTCATTTATCATGGTTGGATAATTTCTCTCTCTCTCTCTCTCTCTCTCTCTCTCTCTCTCTCTCTCTCTCTCTCTCTCTCCTCTCTCTCTCTCTCTCTCTCTCTCTCTCTCTCCTCTCTCTCCGTCTCTCCTCTCTCTCTCTCTCTCCTCTCTCTCTCTCTCTCTCTCTCTCTCCTCGCTCCCCCTCCCTCCCCCCCCTTTCAGGAGTCTGCCCTGAGTGATGAGTTCTCTCCGCCCCCCTGTAGTCCTCCCCACGCCTCCAGTGGGACCACAGCCGACTCATCCTCCCGCTCCTCACAACGCTACCAGACCCTCTCCCAGTCCTCAGACGAGGTGAGGGGCTTCCTACTGCAATGGGGGTGCTGGTGGTAGTGGGCATTCTCTGCCTAGGACTAAATAGATCTAAACTCAATTTCAGTATGTTACAGTATATGAGACAGAGGGTTTGTCTGAGGCCTGGATCACTGTTTAGAGTGAGAATGCAAGAGACTATTTTTAATTAAAGCAGCGTTCCACTCAAATCTCTAATAGCGTACCACCAAAACCACATCTCTGAAGTCTTCTCTGGTAAACTGTGTACCATTACCTGAAATAACCCCAACTGGACTTCCTGTAGTTACAGTTGAAGTCGGAAGTTTACCTACACTTAGGTTGGAGTCATTAAAACTTGTTTTTCAACCACTACACACATTTCTTGTTAACAAACTATAGTTTTGGCAAGTCGGTTAGGAGATCTACTTTGGGCATGACACAAGTAATTTTTCCAACAATTGTTTACAGACAGATTATTTCACTTATAATTCACTGTATCACAATTCCAGTGGGTCAGAAGTTTACATACACTAAGTTGACTGTGCCTTTAAACAGCTTGAAAAATTCCAGAAAAGGACGTCATGGCTTTAGAAGCTTCTGATAGGCTAATTTACATAATTTTAGTCAATTGGAGGTGTACCTGTGGATGTATTTCAAGACCTATCTTCAAACTCAGTGCCTCTTTGCTTGACATCATGGGAAAATCTGAAGAAATCAGCCAAGACCTCAGAAAAAAAAAGTTGACTTCCACAAGTCTGGTTCATCCTTGGGAGCAATTTCCAAACACCTGAAGGTACCACGTTCATCTGTACAAACAATAGTACGCAAGTATAAACACCATGGGACCATGCAGGCGTCATATTGCTCAGGAAGGAGACGCGTTCTGTCTCCTAGAGATGAACGTACTTTGGTGCGAATCAATCCCAGAACAACAGCAAAGGACCTTGTGAAGATGCTGGAGGAAACATGTACAAAAGTATCAATATCCACAGTAAAACTAGTCCTATATCGACATAACCTGAATGGCCGCTCAGCAAGGAAGAAGCCACTGCTCCAAAACCGCCATAAAAAAGCCAGAGTACAGTTTGCAACTGCACATGGGGACAAAGATCGTACTTTTTGGAAATGTCATCTGGTCTGATGAAACAAAAATAGAACTGTTTGGCCATAATGACCATTGTTATGTTTGGAGGAAAAAGGGGATATCTTGCAAGCAGAAGAGCACCATCCCAACCATGAAGCACGGGGGTGGCAGCATCATGCTGTGGGGGTGCTTTGCTGTAGGAGGAACTGGTGCACTTCACAAAATAGATGGCATCATGAGGAAGGAAAATTATGTGGATATATTGAAGCAACATCTCAAGACATCAGTCAGGAAGTTAAAGCTTGGTCGCAAATGGGTCTTCCAAATGGACAATGACCCCTAGCATACTTCCAAAGTTGTGGCAAAATGGCTTAAGGACAACAAAGTAAAGGTATTGGAGTGGCCATCACAAAGCCCTGACCTCAATCCTATAGAAATTTGTGGGCAGAACTGAAAAAGCGTGTGCGAGCAAGGAGGCCTACAAACCTGACTCAGTTACACCAGCTCTGTCAGGAGGAATGGGCCAAAATTCACCCAACTTATTGTGGGAAGCTTGTGGAAGGTTACCCGAAACATTTCACCCAAGTTAAACAATTTAAAGGCAATGCTACCAAATACTAATTGAGTGTATGTAAAATTCTGACCCACTGGGAATGTGATGAAATAAATAAAAGCTGAAATAAATCATTCTCTCTACTATTATTCTGACATTTCACATTCTTAAAATAAAGTGGTGATCCTAACTGACCTAAGACAGGGAATTTTTACGAGGATTAAATGTCAGGAATTGTGAAAAACTGAGTTTAAATGTATTTGGCTGAGGTGTATGTGAACTTCCGACTTCAACTGTATGTCTTCCATGGCAACTAGCTTACAATACATACTATAGTACACAATGCATTCAATTAGATGTTTCAAGCAGTTCACTTAGATCAATAACAGTAGGAGTGTAGAGTGTGTGGTCCTGGTGTTTCTAAAGCCTGAGTCTGGTGTGAATGCTCTGCTCTCTCAAAATCACTCTCAGGCCAGATGCTGTCAGACACGGCTGCACAGTGATTAGGGAATCAATTACCTCCGGTAAACTAGCTCTCTCTCCTGCCACATCTGATTTACCTCAGGATGTTGGAGGGGATACTGGGTTTTCAGAGGGGCTTCTGACTCTCTCCCTCTCCTCCCCTTAAGCTGCCATTACAGAGGGATGCAGGATGCACGTCAGACCTGGGTACAGATAGTATATGTTTTCTTTCGAATATTTTAACTGCACTTGATTGTGTGGCGCATGTCTGACGCAAAGGAACCAATGGAATAGTCTCAAAAGTGCAAACCCGGCCCATCTGGCACTCCGGAGGTGTGCTCAACTGGGCTTCCATTTGCGGTGAACATCTTCCATTAGTTGCAATTTCAGTTGGACGATTTGAATGAACATTCCAAAATGTTACGGTGAAACATCAAACAGCACATTTTTGTAAGGATTATTGAGGCATTTCAGCGGCAATAATCAAACTGCAAATGACTTTGCTATTCCTACTACATGTACACTATATATACAAAAGTATGTGGATAGCCCTTCAAATGAGTGGATTCGGCTATTTCAGCAACACCCGTTGCTGACAGGTGTATAAAATCAAGCACACCGCCATGCAATCTCCATAGACAAACATTGGCAGTAGAATGGCCTTACTGAAGAGCTCAGTGACTTTCAACGTGGCACCGTCATAGCATGCCACCTTTCCAACAAGTCATTTGGTCAAATTCCGGCCCTGCTAGAGCTGCCCCGGTCAACTGTAAGTGCTGTTATTGTGAAGTGGAAACGTCTAGGAGCAACAACGGCTCAGCAGCGAAGTGGTAGGCCACACAAGCTCACAGAACGGGACCGACAAGTGCTGAAGCGCATAGTGTGTAAAAAACATCTGTCCTCGGTTGCAACACTCACTCCAAACTGCCTCTGGAAGCAACGTCAGCACAATAACTGTTTCCATGGCCGAGCAGCCACTCACAAGCCTAAGATCACCATGTCCAAGGCCAAGCGTCGGCTGGAATTGTGTAAAGCTCGCCGTCATTGGATGCTGGAGCAGTGGAAACACGTTCTCTGGAGTGATGAATCACGCTTCACCATCTGGCAGTCCGATGGACGAATCTGGGTTTGACAGATGCCAGGAAAACCCTACCTGCGCCAATGCATAGTGCCAATTATAACGTTTGGTGGAGGAGGAATAATGGTCTGGGGCTGTTTTTCATGGTTCAGGCTAGGCCCCTTAGTTCCAGTGAAGGGAAATCTTAACGCTACAGCATACAATGACATTCTAGACGATTCTGTGCTTCCAACTTTGTGGCAACAGTTTGGGGAAGGCCCTTTTCCTGTTTAAGTATGACAATGCCCCGTGCACAAAGCGAGGTCCATACAGAAATGGTTTGTCGAGATCAGCGTGGAAGAACTTGACTGGCCTGCACAAAGTCCCCACAGCAATGTTCCAACATCTAGAGAAAAGCCTTCCCAGAAGAGTGGAGGCTGTTATAGCAGCAATGGGGGGGCCAACTCCATATTAATGCCCATGATTTTGGAATGAAATGTTCGACGAGCAGGTGTCCACATACTTTTGGTCATGTAGTGTAATAGAAAGCCACATGATTATTTGTAGTGGCAGTTTATACCCAAAACAGACACTTTCGTTTGCCACAGACCACCTTCTCAGACATAAGCTAATGTTACCTTATGTTCTCAGCTAACACTAAGCTAACGTTAGCTAACGATCAAAAACTTTTCCCCTCTTTAAACACACCTCAGGCTCACACTATAAAACACACAAAGTATTTAAAAGAAAAATAAATAGTGTTTGAACCCAGGACTTAATCACATCTGGTTGAGTAAGAGTGTGAGAGTCATTGTGTGTCCCAGTTGTTGGTGAGATGGAAAGTCCCAATGGGGAATATGTTGTTTTGCCTTAGGGCAGAGCACATTACCTGAATTAGCATGGTTGAAGTAATTGAACAGGGTTTGTATATGGTAGCCTAGGTCATGTAATCCACTTTCTATAAAACCATTTGCAAAAAAATTTAAATAGAGGGGCTCTCAAATCAACCGTGTCCCATAGGAAAAGTCTGCCTGTATGTTGAAATCATGTTTATTCAATGCTAACAACATGAGGGAAATTACGATGCAGAAAAAGGAGAGAGAGAGAGAGAGAGAGAGAGAGGAGATGAGAGAGTGAGAGAGAGGAGAGGATGAGAGAGAGAGAGACGAGAGAGAGCAGGAGAGAGTAGCAGAGGCGAGAGACCGAGCGCGAGGAGCGAGGAGACGCGAGAGATGAGAGAGAGAGAGCTCGCGGAGATGCAGAGAGAGAGAAGATGTATCGATCTCACCGCGCCTCTTCAGAGAGGAGGAAGAGGAGAGGTATCACTTGAGTAGATTCAGAGAGGAGAAGAATACACGATTCCCCTTGTTGCCTCTGCTTACCCAGAGAAGAGCACCTCACAGTTCTGAGACGCAGGCAGCAGAGAGGACACTGGAACACCTTAGTGCCTGGCAGACAGAGAGAGCCAACCTGACAGGACCCTGCTAGCTACCAACACCAGACCAGGGGTTAGATCAATTAAACAATGTTGTGTGTGACTCAAGAGGGTCTAGACTATAGAGCCAGCTTTGTAACTGAGTCACTGCAACCTAAAGAGCCATATTAGTGGGTGTAATTAGGCAGAATGTTAGCTGTATGTCACTGCACTGAGGCTATTTTTCCAATTAGGGAGCTGAAGCAATGCAATCATACTGAATATCTTGGGCAACCTTCATTCCAGCCTGTAGACGAGCCGCTGTGCCTGGTTTCGTCGTGGAGCACCCAGCAGGTGTGCCAGTGGCTGAAGGGGTTGAACATGGAGCAGTACATCCCAGAGTTCACTGCCAGGGACATCGACGGGGAGCAGCTCCTCCTGATGGACGGCACCAAGCTCAAGGTGAGAGGATGGTTCAGGGAACGAGAGGGGAGGAGAGGAGTGGGGAGGATAGAAGGAAGTGGGAGAGGAAAGGAGGGGGAGATGAGGGTAAATGAGAAGAGAGGAGAGGAGAGCAGAGGAGAGGAGAGGAGAGGAGAGGAGAGGAGAGGAAGGGTATGAGTGGGCTGACGAGAACAGATGGTGAAAGGGGAGAAGCGGCCTTGAGAGTGGAAGAGAGGTGAGGAGAAGATTAGAAGAGAGGGTAAGGTACAGGAGAGGGATGAGAGGAGGTGAGTGCATATAGGATCAAAGTAAAACATATAGTATCTCTGACTCTCTGATTGATCCACCCAAAAACACTCAATACAAACATGTAAACATCCACCTACAACGACTTACAGATAGTCATGCTCTTTAAGTATGATCTCACTGCCCCCTGCTGGTGAAAGGGACCACTTTCATGCCATCTATGAACTACAGTCGTGGTCAAAAGTTTTGAGAATGACACACATACTAATTTTCACAAAGTCTGCTGCCTCAGTTTTGATGATGGCAATTTGTATATACTCCAAAATGTCATGAAGAGTGATCAGATGAATTGCAATTAATTGCAAAGTCCCAGCCCTGCCACAAAAGGACCAGCTGCCATCATGTCAGTGATTCTCTCGTTAACACAGGTGAGAGTGTTGACGAGGACAAGGCTGGAGATCACTCTGTCATGCTGATTGAGTTAGAATAACAGACTGGAAGCTTTAAAAGGAGGGTGGTGCTTGAAATCATTGTTCTTCCTCTGTTAACCATGGTTACCTGCAAGGAAACATGTGCCGTCATCATTGCTTTGCACAAAAAGGGCTTCACAGGTAAGGATATTGCTGCTAGTAAGATTGAACCTAAATCAACCATTAATCGGATCATCAAGAACTTCAAGGAGAGAGGTTCAATTGTTGTGAAGAAGGCGCCAGGGCGCCCAAGAAAGTCCAGCAAGCGCCAGGACCGTCTCCTAAAGTTGATTCAGCTGCGGGTTCGGGGCACCACCAGTGCAGAGCTTGCTCAGGAATGGCAGCAGGCAGGTGTGAGTGCATCTGCACGCACAGTGAGGCGAATACTTTTGGAGGATGGCCTGGTGTCAAGAAGGGCAGCGAGGAAGCCACTTCTCTCCAGGAAAAACATCAGGGACAGACTGATATTCTGCAAAAGGTACAGGGATTGGACTGCTGAGGACTGTGGTAAAGTCACTTTCTCTGATGAATCCCCTTTCCGATTGTTTGGGGCATCCGGAAAAAAGCTTGTCCGGAGAAGACAAGGTGAGCGCTACCATCGGTCCTGTGTCATGCCAACAGTAAAGCATCCTGAGACCATTCATGTGTGGGGTTGCTTCTCAGCCAAGGGAGTGGGCTCACTCACAAATTTGCCTAAGAACACAGCCATGAATAAAGAATGGTACCAACACATCCTCCGAGAGCAACTTCTCCCAACATTTACATTTTAGTCATTTAGCAGACGCTCTTATCCAGAGCGACTTACAGTTAGTGAGTGCATCATTTTTTTTTTTCATACTGGCCCCCCGTGGTTGTAGCTCTACCAACTGAGCTACAACCATCCAACTGAGCTACAACCATCCAAGAACAGTTTGGTGACGACCAATGCCTTTTCCAGCATGATGGAGCACCTTGCCATAAGGCAAAAGTGATAACTAAGTGGCTCGGGGAACAAAATATCGACATTTTGGGTCCATTGCCAGGAAACTCCCCAGAATCTTAATCCCATTGAGAACTTGTGGTCAATCCTCAAGAGGCGGGTGGACAAACAAAAACCAAAAATTCTGACAAACTCCAAGAATTGATTATGCAAGAATGGGCTGCCATCAGTCAGGATGTGGCCCAGAAGTTAATTGACAGCATGCCAGGGCGGATTGCAGAGGTCTTGAAAAAGAAGGGTCAACACTGCAAATATTCACTCTTTGCATAAACTTAATGTAATTGTCAATAAAGGCCTTTGACACTTATGGAATGCTTGTAATTATACTTCAGTATACCATAGTAACATCTGACAAAAATATCTCATAACACTGAAGCAGCGAACTTTGTGAAGACCAATACTTGTGTCATTCTCAAAACCTTTGACCACGACTGTACACTGAACAAAGATATAAACGCAACATGCAACAATTTCAAAGATTTTACTGAGTTACAGTTCATATAAGGAAATCAGTCAATTGAAATAAATAAATTAGGCCCTTATCTATGGATTTTACATGACTGTGAATACAGATTTGCATCTGTTGGTCACAGATACCTTAAAAAAAGGTAGTGGCGTGGATCAGAAAAACAGTCAGTATCTGGTGTGACCACCATTTGCCTCATGAAGCGCGACACGTTTCTTCGCATAGAGTTGATCAGGCTGTTGATTGTGGCCTGTGGAATGTTGTTCCACTCCTCTTCAATGGCTGTGCGAAGTTGCTGGATATTGGCGGGAACTGAAACACGCTGTCGCACACGTCGATCCGGAGCATCCCAAACATGCTCAATGGGTGACATGTCTGGTGAGTATGCAGGCCATTGAAGAACCTGGAAATTATCAGCTTCCAGGAATTGTTTACAGATCCTTGCGACATGGGACAGTGCATTATCATGCTGAGACATGAGGTGATGCTGGTGGATGAATGGCACGACAATTGGCCTCAGGATGCTGTCACGGTATCTCTGTGCATTCAAATTGCCATCGATAAAATGCAATTGTGTTCATTGTCTGTAGCTTATGCCTGCCCATACCATAACCACCATGGGGCACATTTGTTCACAACGTTGACATCCGCAAACCGCTCGCCCACACATCGCCATACACACTGTTGGCCATCTGCCCGGTACAGGTCTAAACCGGGATTAATCCGTGAAGAGCACACTTCTTCAGCGTGCCAGTGGCCATCGACGGTGAGCATTTGCCCACTGAAGTCGGTTACGACGCCAAACTGCAGTCAGGTCAAGACCCTGGTGAGGACGACGAGCACGCAGATGAGCTTCCCTGAGACGGTTTCTGACAGTTTGTGCAGAAATTCTTTAGTTGTGCAAACCCACAGTTTCATCAGCTGTCCGGGTGGCTGGTCTCAGAGGATCCCACAAGTGAAGAAGCCGGATGTGGAGGTCCTGGGCTGGTGTGGTTACACGTGGTCTGCGGTTGTATGTATTGACAAATTCTCTAAAACGACATTGGAGGTGGCTTATGGTAAAGAAGTTAACATTAAATTCTCTGGCAACAGCTCTGGTGGACATTCCTGCAGTCAGCATGCCAATTGCACACTCCCTCAAAACTTGAGCCATCTGTTGGCATTGTGTTGTATGACAAAACTGCACATGTTAGAGTGGCCTTTTATTGTCCCCAGCACAAGGTGCACCTATGCAATGATTATGCTGTTTAATCAGCTTCTTGGTATGCCATGCCTGTCAGATGGATGGTTAATCCTGGCAAAGAGAAATGCTCACTAACAGGGATATAATCACATTTGTGCACATAATTTGAGAGAAATAAGCTTTTGGTGCGTATGGACAATTTCTGGGATATTTTATTTCAGCTCATGAAACATGGGACCAACACTTTACATGTTGCATTTATATTTTTGTTCAGTGTACGTACAAGGCCTAACACCCAAACTACTCATCAAGGGTTGTGTGTCTGTTTTTCTAACGTCCGTTTACATTACTTGGGAGTTGAAGCCTAAGGCAAATCTCTGTGTGTACAATAGTTATATTATATTCCATTTGCACCACTGGAGGCTGCTGAGGGGAGGACAGCAAATATAATGGCATCAAATACATGGAAACCATGTGTTTGATGTATTTTATACCATTCCACCAATTCTGCTAGAGCCATTACCACTTGCCCATCCTCCCCAATTAAGATGCTACCAACCTCCTGTGGTACACACACACACACACACACACACTTTCACACTCTTTACATATGCTGCTGCTACTTTTACCCCTACCTACATGTACATTACCTCAATTACCTCGACTACCTCGTACCCCTGCAAATTGACTCGTTACCAGTGCTCCTTGTATAGCCTTGTCATTGTTATTTTATTGTGTTACTAATTTGTGTTACTATTATAGCAAAATGTTCTTCCTTTTTAACACTGCATTGTTGGGAAAGGGCTCGTAATTAAGCATTTCACGGTCAAGTCTACACCTGTTGTATTCGGCGGGATCTTTTATTATATTTTATTCTCAGGGTTTGGGAGTGAACAGTTCGACAGACCGCAGTGCACTGAAAAGGCGGATCAAAGACATTCACGCAGCAGCGGAAAAGGAGCGCAAGGCCCTGGACAAACTGGAACGCCAGAAAGAGAAGCAGCGCAAGAAGGAACAGGAGCTACGGAAGCTAAACACAAGCTAGACATAACCACCAGGTGGCGCTAAATGACCACAGAAATACTCCCGACTAGAAACTGGTGCTGGTGCACCATCTCCAATTTTCACATTATCATGATAGCATTGATGCTAAGTGGAGTTTTGTGCAAAAAGTTGGAATTTGCACATAGACTTTTGTACTGTACTTCCGGTTTGGATGTGAGTCTTTGAACCCTGTGATGGGCGGGACAGTGTGTTGTCTATCACTGACACATGATAAATAACAGAATGAAAGCTCCATGCTCCTCATGTCAAAGGGCTTTATTTTAGACCAAGTTCGGAACCCAAAGTGGGCATGTGAGAGGTGGGTCGCGAGTTAGGAGAATACATCTATAATCACTCACTATTTCTTCTTAATTTGGGAAGTTGGAGGACAATATGGGTCACGGCAGGACTGTCAATTTCTAATTTGTGTCCCGAGCTGAAAAAGTTTAAGAACCCCTGTTTTAGACTAATCAGTGGTTGACGCCACATGATAGGTCCCGCCCATATTGGGGTTCAGACGTCACATTCGCCCTGGCTATGAAAAATGTGTTCTTCTTGGTCAAATCAGTAAGGTTATCCACCCTTGTGGAAAATCAGACTCATATTTTGTTACTGGAAATGAGTATGTGTTATATGTGACTTCTACACACATTCAATGCATTGACAAAGTCATACTTTTCCCATAACTTTTGACCATACACACATACATTCTAGCAAATTACACACTATCAAAACCAAACCCATGGCCTGAGTTATTATAGAAATAATATAATTACAGAAATTAGCATTTATTTATTTTACAAAGAATATAAACACAGAATTCAGCTTTTTTTTTTTTACTCATAAGCACAAGCCAGTAACACCCAACCACATTCATATTGTAGTATGCATCAATACTCTGTAAGCCACTCTGTCAGTGGACAGGAGTTAAACTTGAAGTAACATGAAGATTTGTCCAGGACATCGTCAAGATAAGATGCTGATGAGACAGATGTGATTTTTGAGCATATTTGTATATACTGTATGTTTGTGGTGTACGTGCATGTTTGTGACATATGATATACTGTCTGTTTATGTGTGTGTAAGTGTGCATATGTGCTATCTGAGGTCACGACTGTATGGGGATGGGACTGGCTCTCCTGAAAGGAGTCTTCTGAGGTGGCCATTTTAGAATTATGGGTGTTGTCAATCTTCTGTCTCTAGTCCCACGTTGCACCAATCGTCATCTTAGACGTTTTTGGATCCTGCTGGAACAAGACAAGAAAGGCACATCGATCATCTTTGGAGGATTCAGGGCCCCTGTATAAGGACTGATGTTGGACATGCTATCGAAACCGTATCCCCATTTTACCCCATTTTCATACTGAATTCTTGGACTGGTTTGTTGTCAGAAGAACCAGTGACATTGACATTAGCTCCAAGTTTTACACTACATGGTCCTTAGGACTCGTTTCTTGATTTCTGTCCTCCCATGATGCGGTTGCTTCATTATTTTCAACTCCTGTGTCAAATGGAAATATGTATTAAATATGTTTTAAAATGCAGAATGCATGTCAGGACTCCCAAACCTCTGCTGCTGCTGGTCTCTCATCTCTGGTCTCTCAGTTCAACATGTGGGCTGGTTCACACTCGGTTTGTACAACTGATATGCAACGCATCTGAAACATCAGGGGTGTGGCCTTGACGCTAGGGTTTTAACCCTAACCCAACACAAAATAACATTTTACTCCAACTCAAAATAATAGGTTCATCCAATTCAAAATTGTCAGGATTTGACTATAACAAAACATACACAAAGGAGCACTTGGTTCATCTGGTTTTACTATGGCACTTTATACATGTCACATTACAAAGTCAACATTCTGGGTTTCTTGGTTTACATAGCACAGTAAAAGATCAAGAACACATTGCATGTTAAAAAGAGAACAGGATGAGAATTGGAGGAAAGGAGGATCTGGAAGCTCCTGTTGATAGTTTATCAGTTCTCCACAACGAAACAAGACTTGAAGTTTTTACACACACACACACACACACACACACACACACACACACACATTTTTGATGCCTCTACTAAAATGCCTCTACTAAAAGATTACCAGTAGCTCAGAGCGACAGAGCCGATATATAGATTGAGAACAGGTGGAGTTTCACAAAACTTCTCTGATTGCTTTAGTCAAGTAACAACTGTTATTTTCTCCCTTATCTTTCACCAGCGTGAGTCATTGGTTTTTCTTGTGTATTACCTTGTAACCTTGAAATGGCTTTTAACATTGTTTCTGTAAACACCAAGATAACATCAAAGAAACACGTCACATCTGTATGTATTTATAATGACGGCTTGAACCCACAATCACACTTGGATGAGTCCATATCCCACTAATACCAGTGTCCTCAACTAGAGAGAAACTGATACAGAACAATTTAACAAGGACCCTGATTACCAAGATAGACCCCCCCCCCCCCCCCCCCAACACCCTATTACCCTATTACCCACACTGCACCTACATCTTAAACGTGTCTGATGTCAGCTATACAAGGTGCATTCCTATGTACACAAAAAGGAGCATAGCATGTTTTAGTGCTCTTGTGTGTACATGACATCCACACATCCAGAGTCCCAGAACTGAAGTAATTCACACTTACTGTTGATTAGACAGGATTAGACACTTAGGGTCAAAGTTCAACAGGTTGCACTGAAGTGCTACGAGATCGTTCGTTGGCACGGTAGGATTTGCATGTACAATATTTACATCTGAGATTAAATAACGAAGCTGTCATGCACTTCCTAAAAACACGTCCAAATCATAAAATAATTGATAAATAAAGCTTTATAAAATAATATTATATTTCACATTCCATATTTCTGTACCATTATATCTATACTACTGTACTATTGACAGAGTGTGTGGGTTAATAATACTATGTATGTATTTCTACTCATTGTCCAGGTATAATGGAAGCAGGTGGATTGGCTTTTAGATAACGTTTCAATAACATTATAATAACAATGGATAGGCTTCACTCAGCATCCATTGAATCAACGAGCAGAGGAAATAGGTGAGGAAGCACTGTAAGTGAGGAAACCTTACAAAACAGTCATGTTGTCTTTGTGAAGGAATTGTGTAAGTGATCTGTAGGATTTCCTGCAGTATTCTTATACATGTTTTTTGACTGTAAGTCGCTTTGGATAAAAGCGTGTGCTAAATGGCATATATTATTATATTAAGAGGAAATTCAAGTACTAGACACTGCGGGCTAAAGAAAGCTACAGATGACACTCCACATGGAGCCGCAAGATGTCTGTATGTCTGTCTGACTGACTGACTGACTGACTGACTGGCTGACTGGCTGACTCTCTGACTGACTGACTGACTGACTGGCTGACTGACTGACTGGCTGACTGACTGGCTGACTCTCTGACTGACTGACTGACTGACTGACTGGCTGGCTGACTGGCTGACTGGCTGACTGGCTGACTGGCTGACTGACTGACTGACTGACTGGCTGACTGACTGACTGGCTGACTGACTGGCTGACTCTCTGACTGACTGACTGACTGACTGGCTGGCTGACTGGCTGACTGGCTGACGTAAATAATAAAAAAAAAACTTGAATAAATATATGAAAAACATATTAATTTGAACAATGGATTGCATGTACTGTATATGTGTGTGTGTGTGGAGTCAGCCAGGTTTTTAGCCAGGACAACAGTCTTTCCCTCTGAACATCCCAAACACAGATATGTTCCAAAGGGTTTGCCGCATGCCCTTCTCCCCTAGTGCCAGTGTGGCTGGCCCAGCATCAGGTATCAGGCCAGGGTTTGGGGCAGTATCCTCCACACCCCACAGGCTGGCCCATGGAGCCACGGGGAAGGGGTCCAGGAGATCAGGAAAGGGTTGAAGGGGAGGGGGTAGGGTAGGGGTCCTGCTGGAGGAAGGGCTGGGGGGCTGTGATCCCCCCTCTGGAGGGTGGTGGTTGGGGAGAGGGGGGTTAGTTCCGGACCCAACAGAGGGGCACCCAGAAGGTCTCACGCTCCAGCCGCTCCAGAATGCCTCGTAGTTCTGTGCAGGCGCTGGCTGAGTCCTCCTTGATTAGGACCCGGTCGACCAGGTGGCCGTACTGCTGGTCCATCTGCTGCGCCGACTGACGCATTTCCTGCAGGTCCTCATCCTGACAGGGACAGACCGACAGACAGGGGAGAGACAGACAGACAGAGGAGAATCAGACAGACAGACAGACAGACAGACAGACAGATTGACATGAAAATGAGGAAGAAGCAGGAAGAGTGAGTGAGGATATAAAGGTGTAATCAGAAAGGGAAGGTAGAGAGAACACCCGAGGAGGGAGAGAGACAGAGGAGAAAAGAGGAAAGGAGAAAGAATGCCACGCTAAATAAAAGATTGAGAAACAGAAAAAAGGTTAAATAACTCATTGATACATTCACATGAGCACATTTCAGACTCGGCTCACTGTAATAAAAAGAGACAGCAGGTCTCACCGTCACTCGCCCATGGTCTCCCCCTGCTGGTGAGGTGGCAGCACTACGACGGCATCTGCTCTCCGGGACGCGCGGCTTGACGAAGATGACATAGGGTTTGAACTCAGATGTCCGCAGTGTCTTCAGAGCCTGAGGGGCCAGGACACAGTCAGACACAATTTCACACTCACAGTCTGACACAATATCACACAGTCTGCTCTGATTGTCACACAGAGTACACCGGGTTTAGAGAACAGATACTATCAGAGAAATGTCCTCTTGAGATGTCAGAGATACTACGGATAACTGCGACACAAGCTAATATGGCAGCCTGCCTGACTGAAACAGAAATTACTCTCACCAAGAGACCACAGGAGAAACATCAGGGGCCGTCACAGAATAGGGTGTGACACAGATTCCATGTGATAGCCGTGGTTATATTGTACAGTGCATTATGACAGAATGGGATTTGCTTCACTGCAGAGGATGTGCCTTGGCCCTACCTCTGGCTGAACGTCCACTAGGCACATCTTGTTCTTGGCCTGTACAGAGCGGATGGCCTCTATACTGGTACCATACTGGTTCTCCTTGTACTCCCCATGCTCTATGAACCTGGACACACAGGACACAACTAAGCACAAAACAGACAAAACAAAGCAGAGTACTATAGAGATGGACATTATGGCCCTGCAGATCAGCCATATAGTATTAAAGAGAACTCACTTGTTGCTCAGAGCGTCTGCATCAAACGCCTGTTTGGTGACAAAGTGGTACTCCACCCCCTCCTTCTCATGAGGCTTCTTGGGCCTGGTGGTATCTGGAGACACGAGTGATAGTGGAAATTGGGAAAGCTGTGATTGTTTTACTGGCGTAGCAGTTCTTTACTAGGGTGTTAGAGGGTATCGCCATCATTGTAGAAAGAAGAGGGTGAGGTTTAGAAGGTGTGACTCACGTGGTACAGCCACAGCATAGCGATGTGGGTTCTCTGCTATCATCTTCTGTTTCAGCTCATTGATACGAGCTCCAAGGGAACCTTTGTGTGAGTGAGAGTGAGAGAGAGAATGAGAGAGAAAGAAAGAAAGAAAGTGAGAGAGAGAGAGACAGAAAAAGAGAACGAGAGAGAGTAGAGAGAGGGAGTGGCACAGAGTTATTTAAACAGAATTATCAGGGACAAATAATCAATATTTGCTGAAAATAAATCTGCATCAACATCAAGTTAAGTCCACTGATTAGTTACTGGATGTGCCATTTGTTGTGCACTTTGATTTATTAACTTATCAGAAACATAAATAGCATTAGACATACAAGTACCATAGATAAGACTTCAAAGGCCCACACAACTAAGTTGGTCATCAGAATATGAGCTATCTGGAGATCAGGCTGTTGTGACAAGGCCACCACACAACTAGAGGAAGTTGCTGTTTGTAGTATTGACCACTAGATGGCAGTATCATCACAGTAGAATGACTCCACACTGCCATTGTCATTCTGAACCTGTTGTCTTACCTATCAGGACCACCAGGCGGGGTCTCTCATTGGGCCTGTGCTGGTAGCGGGTCACCTCCTCGTAGGTAGCGAAGTCTGGGTCGGTGGGGTCGGGAGTGGCCCCTCCTCCGAGGGATCCTGACCGGTCCTTTCGGCTCAGACGGAAACTCCTCCTCAGACCGGCTACGGCAGGACAGGCAGGTGGGAGGGGCAGGGAGAGAAAGGTGAGGCAGGGAGGCACAGGGTCAAAAGGTCATATATGATCATCCACTTAAGGGATTTGATACACTGTCTAAAACATGCTCATTCTACATAATTACAACTGTATTCTCTAAGGCATTTTAGATAGCGCTTGTAGTTGTTCTAAATTGGCAATTAGTGTTGCTGACAAACATTTAAAATGTACAATACCAGTGTCATGTCATATCAGGACATCATATAAGGTTATCATGCAAATCAAACACCAACATAACCATAACATTATTATTTGTTGGATTATTAGAAGTTGGTTATAGAATAACAAAGAAAGTGCAACCCTCAATAATCATGCATTAAAACCCCAGTGAACCATGTGACCATTAAAATACTAGCGGTAAGCTGTGATCCGTCATTAGTCAGTGAGTGATACTATAGGTTTGACAGCCTGACCCGTGCTTATCTCCAAGGTAAATGGGCTGCCAGCAGCATTGTGAGATATTGGCTGAATCTGCTCATTTACAATTGTGTCCAACAAATATCAACCACATGCAGCTAATATCTGACAAGGGGTTTGGCAACTCCACTTTCACAGTGAGAAATAAGCTCTGGGACTGAGAGTGAAGCAAACAGACTTCTGCTATTACTATCAAGCTCATGCCTCTCCTTTCTCTTTTTAAAGGAGACTTGGCTTCACTCAATGAACAACAAATAATACTACAGTAATGATAATGGAGAGAGCTTCTTGCCATGCCAAGGAAGAACAATGGTCTCATTTGTAACACATGTAACAGTGTACAGTACAAAGGAGGCATGCTGCTTGACACAGGGCTACAGGAGTGGACCAGGAGGGATAGGGCAGCCTAACTCTGGAGATCACAGTGTAGTGGGAGTGACACACACACACGCACGTGCACACACACACACACACACACACACACAAACACACACACACACACACACACACACACACACACACACACACACACACACACACGCACACACGCACACACGCACACACGCACACACAGTGTCTCCAGGCCCAAGGGTGCCCATCCCCCCTGCCAGCGCACAGTGGGAATACCTGAGGGAACAAGCCGGTAACAGTACCTGAATAAAATTCCCAGGAAAACACCTGGCCACAGGAGGGCGCCACTGCTTTACACTTAGGAGAGACTATAACTGGCGTTAGAGCGTCACACAACCCAGCCTCGCGCCTCAGTCTCCACACAGGGTGAAACAAGCAGCAAAACGTGCCTGGTTGGTTGAGTGTGCAATGCGTCCAACGCAGCAGGGCCCTCGTGGGGGTGAGGGTAGGAGGGGTGCACCAGCCATAGCAGCAGCAGAGGCAGAGGCAAGAGGGGAGTCTCAGGAGGATCCAAACACTACTTAGTTTGCAGCAGGGCAAGGGTGCTGGGTTTAATCTCCAAATATAAGGAGTAATGTCAGTATTCTGTGTCATTACGAAGGTGGCAGTGGCACCCAAATGAGGTGTAGAATAATACAGTTGGTCTTCTTGCCATGGGAGGGCTGTTTTTTATTTATTTTTTAACTGTCAGCTGTGTTCAGATCCCTCCATGTGCTCTGTCTTTCATTCCAACTGTTTCTGGGGTATGGGGGGGGAGGGGCCTCAAGTTCATGTAGGGGTGAAGGAGTCGAGGGGAGGCCAGTGGAAGGAGGGGAGGCCAGTGGGAGGAGGGGAGGCCAGTGGGAGGAGGGGAGGCCAGTGGGAGGAGGGGAGGCCAGTGGGAGGGTAGCAGGGGGCTGAGGATTACGGGAAAAGCTTTATGTTGTCGTGCCAATGCAATTTCAGTCTGGATGCAAACTGTATTACCACAGTCGGTAGCTTGAGGGTTAAATCCAATTGATAACGCTCATTAGCAAGTAGTAACATTTTTGAATGCCCTGAAATGACTGCTACTCTGGTGTCTGGGGAACTGATAATGATCCTAAGATGTGTTAATACTCTAACAGAGAGGCATAGCAGCCATGTCTCAATATCTACTGGAGATAAAACAGTTTCAAGTCTGGTATTCGCTCTCTATCGCACCCTCTTCAGCACTTTTCTCATTACACTAATTATGTAATGAGACCAATTTGTTATCGACACCTGAAAGAGTGAGAAACTAAACTCCCCTCTTTCGCCCTCCCTCTCTCATATTTAGCTGGAAAAACTGGTGCTGGAACTCACGTTCTCTCCTTTAATACCAGTCTTCCCTATCAAATGAACTAGGGTCAGTTCCGTCTCCTCTCAGCATTGTCTCTCCCCACCACCTCTCTCTCCACCTCTCTCCTCCCTTCTTCATCACTTCCCACACGGACCCCCCAACCCCAGCCAGTCCCACCCTCAGGACATCCATACATTCCCCAACCCAAAGCTGCATTTCAGTTAGCCAGCAGCACACAGCAAGGTCCTGGCAGACACACAGACATCAGACAGCAATAGAGGTCTAGGTGGCAGATGGAGGAAGACGTGCAGACTCTCACCTATGTACTGTCCATTGAAATAGCCCTCACAGTCACAGTCCTCTGTAGGGAGGCAAGCAGGGAGAAGAGGGGGGCGGGGGATGAGCAGAGGGTAAGTAACCTGGAGGAAGGATCAGAGGGGTGGGGAGGGGGGGGGTACAGAGGGGGAGGGGGGGCTGCGGGCTCTGAAGCAGGGCAGGCAGGGTCAGGCAGGTTGGCGGTGGGCAGAGGTGTGGGCACAGGGTAGGACACTAAGCCAGCAGGTCAGGATAGGGAGGTTGCAGCATGACCTCAGCCGGAGCCCGCAGCCACTGTGGCAGCCATGATGGGAGAGGTTTGACAGACACCACACAGACATACCAAGCACTTCTGCTCTGAGAGTACAGGGGCACTTCTGGAGGCACTCGACTGGAAAAGGGAACTGGGCCTCCCTGGCCCACACACATTGCTTTGTGAAATGGACAGCTCACAAAGCTATGGTAGCTAGCATACAAAAACGTGTGCAATTCACAACTCTAGAACTGCTGAATTCAATATTAAACTAAGCAAAAAACAAGATCAATTTCAATATCTGATTCTCTGAAACTCTGGATATGCAACAAAAGTGCCGACGATGGTATATTCACAACTCAGAGATACCGATTAGAAAATTGCTGACAGAGAAAAATTGGGCAAGTAGAAAAGAGGACAGCAGAGAAGGGAGAGGAAGAAAGAGAAATCCCTTGCAAGGAGAAGAACAGGTAGCCAAGACACAGTAGAGGAGTGAGGAGACGAAGAGGATAACAAACTGCAGTAGACAGAAGAAGATGAACTACAGAGGAGAATAATAAAATAATAGAAGCTGATGATGATGATGGAGAGGGTGGGTCCTTGCTATATTTGCTTGGCTGTGCTTTACAGTCTGTAGGCCTGCCATAGCATTACACACATACAGTGGGGAAAAAAAGTATTTAGTCAGCCACCAATTGTGCAAGTTCTCCCACTTAAAAAAATGAGAGAGGCCTGTGATTTTCATCATAGGTACACGTCAACTATGACAGACAAAATGAGAAAAAGACATCCAGAAAATCACATCGCAAATTATGGTGGAAAATAAGTATTTGGTCAATAACAAAAGTTTCTCAATACTTTGTTATATACCCTTTGTTGGCAATGACACAGGTCAAACGTTTTCTGTAAGTCTTCACAAGGTTTTCACACACTGTTGCTGGTATTTTGGCCCATTCCTCCATGCAGATCTCCTCTAGAGCAGTGATGTTTTGGGGCTGTCGCTGGGCAACACGGACTTTCAACTCCCTCCAAAGATTTTCTATGGGGTTGAGATCTGGAGACTGGCTAGGCCACTCCAGGACCTTGAAATGCTTCTTACGAAGCCACTCCTTCGTTGCCCGGGCGGTGTGTTTGGGATCATTGTCATGCTGAAAGACCCAGCCACGTTTCATCTTCAATGCTCTTGCTGATGGAAGGAGGTTTTCACTCAAAATCTCACGATACATGGCCCCATTCATTCTTTCCTTTACACGGATCAGTCGTCCTGGTCCCTTTGCAGAAAAACAGCCCCAAAGCATGATGTTTCCACCCCCATGCTTCACAGTAGGTATGGTGTTCTTTGGATGCAACTCAGCATTCTTTGTCCTCCAAACACGACGATTTGAGTTTTTACCAAAAAGTTCTATTTTGGTTTCATCTGACCATATGACATTCTCCCAATCCTCTTCTGGATCATCCAAATGCACTCTAGCAAACTTCAGACGGGCCTGGACATGTACTGGCTTAAGCAGGTGGACACGTCTGCACTGCAGGATTTGAGTCCCTGGCGGCGTAGTGTGTTACTGATGGTAGGCTTTGTTACTTTGGTCCCAGCTCTCTGCAGGTCATTCACTAGGTCCCCCCGTGTGGTTCTGGGATTTTTGCTCACCGTTCTTGTGATCATTTTGACCCCACGGGGTGAGATCTTGCGTGGAGCCCCAGATCGAGGGAGATTATCAGTGGTCTTGTATGTCTTCCATTTCCTAATAATTGCTCCCACAGTTGATTTCTTCAAACCAAGCTGCTTACCTATTGCAGATTCAGTCTTCCCAGCCTGGTGCAGGTCTACAATTTTGTTTCTGGTGTTCTTTGACAGCTCTTTGGTCTTGGCCATAGTGGAGTTTGGAGTGTGACTGTTTGAGGTTGTGGACAGGTGTCTTTTATACTGATAACAAGTTCAAACAGGTGCCATTAATACAGGTAACGAGTGGAGGACAGAGGAGCCTCTTAAAGAAGAAGTTACAGGTCTGTGAGAGCCAGAAATCTTGCTTGTTTGTAGGTGACCAAATACTTATTTTCCACCATAATTTGCAAATAAATTCATTAAAAATCCTACAATGTGATTTTCTGGAAAAAAAACGTGTACCTATGATGAAAATTACAGGCCTCTCTCATCTTTTTAAGTGGGAGAAGTTGCACAATTGGTGGCTGACTAAATACTTTTTTCCCCCACTGTACAAGAAGGTATGGGCTCTCGAAGTATGGGCTCTTTCAGCATTGCCATAATATGCTTTATGTAATGTTCTTATAAGGTAGGGTGGGTGCTGGTCCACGACTTAGAAAGTGAATACCTTATGAAGGTTGGGGCGCACACCAGAACATTTTGAGTTAAGATGCTTAAAATAATCTTGAAAAGTACGATTTTTTGGAGTGTGTCCAGTTTGTTATTAGAATGCATGCATGTACTCACACACACACACACACACACACACACACACACACACACACACACACACACACACACACACACACACACACACACACACACACACACACACACACACACACACTGCAATTGGGGTGAATCTCTATTCTGGTCTCGTAGGCTGCCTACAGTGGGGGAGGATTTAAGCTGGAAGCAGAGCAGTACAGGACCCATGGGATCTCATCTACCCCCGCAGCACAGGGACACACACATACACACACAGACACACACACACACACAGACACACACACAGACACAGACACAGACACAAATCCACATGCACAAACCAAAAGAAAGAGAGAGGGCTGAGAGCTTTGATGCCTCTACTATAATACCTTCTAGCAGGATCCTGCAAGCAGACAGTAAGCGTCCTCTCATAGTCATACCAAGGAGTTACAAAACACAGAACTCAAATTGTCAAATGGAAGTTATGAGTACATTTTAGCAGACGCTCTTATCCAGAGCAATTTGGATTAAGTGCCTTGCTCAAGGGCACATCAACAGATTTTTCACCTAGTAGGCTCGGGGATTAGAACCAGCGACCTTTCGGTTACTGGCACAACGCTCTTAACCACTAAGCTACCTGCCGCCCCAAGAGTAATAGAGTATAAACTGTCACCACATGTCCATGTATCTGATTATGCCTGATTGTGGATGGTTATGTCCTGTCTAATCTCTGACGGTGGCAATAAAACTTGTGGCACACTGCCCTCATTCCCTGATCACGGTGATGTGTGAGTGAGGGAGAGAGACAGAGAGAGAGAGAGAGAGAGAGAGAAGAGAGAGAGGATTGCAGACATCTCTGTACCAGTATACCCACCTTTGTCACATCCCTGGTCATCTGAGGTAAGCAGTGAGGGAAAGGAGGATGATGAGAAATCTTTGACAAACAGTTACACAAAAACCCCAACGGGCAACGGGTATTGGTGTTATCTCCTCTCTCAAATTCTTTGTCTGATATTCACACACTTTAAAATATCATTTTTCTAGCAGGCAAGTTGATGGAGAATGAGAGAAAAATGAGTGAGAGAGAGAGAGAGAGAGAGAGAGAGAGAGATGGGAATTATAGATTTTAAAATGCACAAACTGTCTCAGTCTCAGTCTCTGTTCTGTGACGTCATCGCGGGGTCGAGCCTCTGACCCACATTAAAAAGGCAACCTCAGGAGCTTCACAAGTGGCATGGGCATTAATCAAATAGAGAGGGAAAGAGAGAGAGAAAGAGAGAGAGGTAGAGAGAGAGAGGTAGGGAGATTGAGAGAAGGAGAGAAGAAGAGAGTCCACACAGACATAGGTCTCCATGGTGTAGTCGGGCTAGCTGACATATTGCTAAGCTCTTGTTGTCTCCCTGGGGCTCAGACCTAATCGGATCGCCTGCGGATTATGGACTACGAAGCGCCACGCTCGCATTAAACACTCACCTGGCCACTTCTATTCAGACATACCCAATACTATTACCCCACAACACAGAGCAGGGGATAGACAGAGTGGACAAAATGGACATCGTTACACACTCATCCTGTTAATTGGTTCTAGTCTGTTGTCTGTCTCTCACTACAGAGATACACTGTGTGCTCACCGGCCAGATGGACCAGACATGAAAGAGATTAATTCATATATATGTGATCCCTCCCTCTCTTCTCCCCCCTCCCAAAGCCCTCTCTCGCTCTTTTTTCTATTTGTCCCTCCCTCTCTCTCTCTCTCTCGTCCCTTTTCAAAACACATCCTCATGACAGCAGAGAATAAACAGTGAAAAGTAAGACTCCAGATGACGCCAATTACCAGCAAAAAAGGTAAATAAACGTCAACATAAACACATCCTATCTAATATGAACCATCACTGACAAAGAAGTTATACTTCAAAAGATATCCTTGAGCGTCAGTTTGATATTGGGTACAACAGCGAACATGTATCTGTATGTCTGTACACTCTTAGAAAAAAGGGTTCCAAAATAGTTATTCGGCTGTCCCCATAGGAGAACCCTTTTTGGTTCCAGGTAGAACCCTTTTTTGTTCCAGGTAGAACCCTTTTGGGTTCCATGTAGAACCCTCTGTAGAAATGGTTCTTCATGGAATCCAAAAGGGTTCTACCTGGAACCAAAAGGGTTCTACCTGCAACCATAAAGGGTTATTCGAAGGGTTCTCCTATGGGGACAGCCAAAGAACCCTTTAAGGTTCTAGATAGCACCTTTTTGTGGAAACTTACAGGTCAGATTTTTAGGGGATTTAGGGTTCGGAAGTGTGCCCATTTTGATCCGGTAGGCCAGCCGTCTGAGAAAATGTAAGGAGGAAAGAAAGAGAGAAGAAATAAGAGGGAGAGAGGGGGGGAGAGAGAAAGAGAGAGACCATGACAGTGTCAGAGAGATAAACAGAGATAGGAGGAAGAGAGGCAGTGAAGGAGGGAGGCAAAGAGATTGAAAGAGAAGATTAGAACATGAGAGACAGGATATAACATAAACTGACCCCTGCCTCATATGTGTTATCAGTGAAAGGAGCAAAGCCAGTATGAGAGATTAAACCCATGGCTTGGCTGAGGTTCCCTTTCTGTATTTCAGCCACCATGATTAATCCAACACAGTGTACGTGTTTGAGTGTGTGTGTGTGTGTGTCCGCAATGAGGCTGCCCTGGTATCGCTCCCCCCTGCTTAGCTAAGATGAATACAGAGTGGGCAGTGGGTTGGGGTTGGGGCTTGGGTGTGTTTATACCACCACTGCAGCACTCCCCCCGACATTTACGTATTCATCCTATTGAGGGATTATGACACTGGCATAATGTGTTAAGATCCAAGCTGCTCTGATACTTGATTTAAAAACACATTTGACCCCTCAAAGTGGAGCACATGACTATCGCTCTATGGCGATATCTGCACTGTTTGAAAGCAATTCAGTCCACATACTGTACATAATATAAGAGTCATACAGTATATGCATAATATAATACAGTACATATAGTATCATACTGGTTTAGGAAACTACTAGGCTTGATCTGGTTCTTTTCATGTTTAGACTCTTCTCTGAGCTATGAGCTAACGCCTGTCCATGGACTTCTCTGCCTATAGTCTCACCTCTCCTGGAAGAGTTTGGAGGGGATGAGTCCAGCACGGAGGTTGCTGTCGCCCACCCGTTTGGCCTGCCACCAGGTGGGGTCATCCTGGGTTACCACCTGCAGGATGTCACCTCGCTTGAAGGGAAGTCCCGCCTCCTGACAGGGCGTGGCCTTGTCATCAGCAGGGATGTAGTCAAACAGGGCCCTCATGTAGACCTGAGAGACCACACACACACAGACACGACTGTTAAACCATCTCAGAAATACATGTGGTATGTATGGAAGATAATTGACTCATCACCTCAAACTAGAGAGAGGGAAAGTGATGCTTTTGCAAATAGATTTCAGAATCACAGTCTATCTGTGCATGTTTCTGTGTGTGTGCATGAACATGTGCATACAACATACACTATATATACAAAAGTATGTGGACACCCCTTCAAATGAGTGGATTCGGCTATTTCAGCCACACCCGTTGCTGACAGGTGTATAAAATGAAGCACACAGCCATGCAATCTCCATAGACAAACATTGGCAGTAGAATGGCCTTACTGAAGAGCTCAGTGACTTTCAACGTGGCACTGTCATAGGATGCCACCTTTCCAACAAGTCAGTTCGTCAAATTTCTGCCCTGCTAGAGCTGCCCTGGTCAACTGTAAGTGCTGTTATTGGGAAGTGGAAACGTCTAGGAGCAACAACGGCTCAGCAGCGAAGTGGTAGGCCACACAAGCTCACAGAACTGGACCGCCGAGTGCTGAAGCGCGTAGAGCGTAAAAATCGTCTGTCTTTGGTTGCAACACTCACTACCGAGTTCCAAACTGCCTCTGGAAGCAACGTCAGCACAAAAACTGTTTGTCGGGGGCTTCACGAAATGGGTTTGCATGGACGAGCAGCCGCACACAAGCCTAAGATCACCATGCGCAATGCCAAGCGTCGGCTGGAGTGGTGTAAAGCTCGCCGCCATTGGACTCTGGAGCAGTGGAAACGCGTTCTCTGGAGTGATGAATCACACTTCACCATCTGGCAGTCCAATGGACGAATCTGGGTTTGGCGGACGCCAGGAGAACGCTACATGCCCCAATGCATAGTGCCAACTGTAAAGTTTGGTGGAGGAGGAATAATGGTCTGGGGCTGTTTTTCATGGTACGGGGGCTAGGCCCCTTAGTTCCAGTGTAGGGAAATCTTAATGCTACAGCATACAGTGACATTCTAGACGATTCTGTGCTTCCAACTTTGTGGCAACAGTTTGGGGAAGGCCCTTTCCTGTTTAAGCATGATAATGCCCCATGCAAAAAGTAAGTTCCATACAGAAATCGTTTGTCAAGATTGGTGTGGAAGAACTTGACTGGCCTGCACAGAGGCCTGACCTCAACCCCATCAAACACCTTTACGATGAATTGGAACGCCGACTGCGAGCCAGGCCTAATCGCCCAAAATCAGTGCCCGACCACACTAATGTTCTTGTGGCTGAATGAATGCAAGTCCCCACAGCAATGTTCCAACATCTAGTGGAAAGCCTTCCCAGAAGAGTGGAGGTTGTTATAGCAGCAAAGGGGAGACCAACTCCATATTAATGCCCATGATTTTGGAATGAGATGTTCGAAGAGCAGGTGTCCACATACTTTTGGTCATGCAGTGTTTCTGAAACATGTCTGAAATTACACCTACACTTCTCGGTGCATGTTGGCACAAATTGGTTTAATTCATCTGCCATTGACTCTACTGCTGTGTGTGTGAGCCTGAACCCAAGCTGTTCAGTATTCTGACCCTTCCTCCATTCCAGAGCAGTTGTTTTGTGTTTGTCTGTACTGAGCATGCCCAGACAGTTGTGTTGTATTTGTCTGTACTGAGCATGCCCAGACAGTTGTGTTGTATTTGTCTGTACTGAGCATGCCCAGACAGTTGTTTTGTGTTTGTCTGTACTGAGCATGCCCAGACAGTTGTGTTGCGTTTGTCTGTGCTGAGCTTGCCCAAACAGTTGTGTTGTGTTTGTCTGTACTGAGCATGCCCAGACAGTTGTGTTGTGTTCCTCACCTTGCTCTCCTTCAGACGGTCCTCCTCCTTAATGGCTGGGATTATCTTCAGGGTGATGGAGCCCTGAGACTGGGACTGAATGACAAACACAGAGAGGAGCAGGATGTTAACTTCACAGAAATACAATTTGAACACAATTTGAACTCCTGTTTCTTCCTACAGAGTTGATAGTGCATGTATTGACAACAGAAATGAAAGGAAAACAGTGCTGTTGGTGCTAGTGATATAACATAATAAGGAACACATAAAGTATTCTACTCTAGTCTTACCAGAAGCTGACTGATCTCATCAGGTCTCTTGTGAATGATGGAGATGCCGTTGACCTCCCGTAGCTCGTCTCCTACATGGACCAGTCCTGGATGGAGGGGAGGAGGTGTTGAGGGGAGAAAACAGGAGAGATGTAGTAGAGATCTATGTCTGTGTTCCAAATGACACCCTATTCCCTATAAAGTGCACTCCTTTTGACCAGGGCCCATAGAATCTGGTCAAAGGTAGTGGACTGTATAGGGAATAGGGTGCCATGTGGGTTTCACACCATATCGTGTATCGAGGAGATCCTGGTGTACTATATAAATCATATCACTATTGTCTGGTATGAGATATGGACAATAAGGTTTGGGAGTGGTGGTATCACTCTCCTCAGTCATGATCTACTGCAGTCACAACAGTGAAACCTGACAAAGAGGGATGAGAGATAGGATCAATACAACACTGCACAGAGAGGGAGTGAGGGAGAGAGCGAGAGAGGGAGAGAGGGAGGGCAGAGAGGGAGAGAGGGAGAGAGAGATGGCAGAGAGGGCAGAGAGGGAGAGAGGGAGGGGCAGAGAGGGAGGGAGAGAGGGAGGAGAGAGAGGGCGAGAGGGAGGGCAGAAGAGGGAGAGAGGGAGGGCAGAGAGGGAGAGAGGGAGAGAGGGAGAGAGAGGGAGGAGGGAGAGAGGGAGAGAGGGAGAGAGGGAGGGAGAGGGGGCAGAGAGGGAGAGAGGGAGAAGGGAGAGGAGGAGAGAGGGCAGAGGGGAGAGGAGAGGGAGAGAGGGAGAGAGGGAGAGAGGGAGAGAGGGCAGAGAAGGCAGAGAGGGAGAGGAGGGAGAGAGGGCAGAGAGGGAGAGAGGCGAGAGGGCAAGGAGTAGGGAGAGGGGGAGAGAGGGAGAGAGGGCAGAGAGGGAGAGAGGGAGAGAGGGAGAGAGGGCGAGAGGGAGAGAGGGAGAGAGGGGAGAGAGGGAGAGAGAGGGAGAGGAGGGAGAGAGAGGGCAGGAGGGGAGAGAGGGAGAGAGGGGAGAGAGGAGAGGGCAGAGAGGGAGAGAGGGCAGAGAGGGAGAGAGGGCAGAGAGGGAGAGAGGGAAGGAGGGAGAGGGGAGGAGAGGGAGAGAGGGAGAGAGGGGAGAGGGAGAGAGGGAGGAGAGAGGGAGGGGAGAGAGGGAGAGAGGGGAGAGGGAGAGAGGGAGAGAGGGCAGAGAGGGAGAGGAGAGGGCACGAGAGGGAGAGAGGGAGAGAGGGAGAGAGGAAGAGAGGGAGAGAGGGAGAGGGAGAGAGGGAGAGAGGGCAGAGAGAGAGGGAAGGAGAGGGAGCAGAGGGGAGAGGAGAGAGGGAGAGGGAGAGAGGGAGAGAGGGAAGGAGAGAGGGGAGAGGGAGAGAGGGAGAGAGGGGAAGAGGAGAGAGGGAGAGAGGGCAGAGAGGGAGAGAGGGAGAAGAGAGGGAGAGAGGGGGAGAGAGGGAGAGAGGGCAGAGAGGGAGAGAGGGAGAGAGGGGAGAGAGGGAGAGAGGGAGAAGAGAGGGAGAGAGGGGAGAGGAGTAGGAGGCGAGAGGGCAGAGATGGAGAGAAGGAGGGAGGGCAGAGAGGGGGATAAGGAGAGAAGGAGAGAAGGAGAGAGGGAGAGAGGGAGAGAAGGAGGGAGGGCAGAGAGGAAGAGGGAGAGATGGAGAGATGGAGAGAAGGAGGGAGGGCAGAGAGGGGGAGAGGGAGAGAGGGAGAGAAGGAGAGAGGGAAGAGAGGGAGAGAGGGAGGGAGGGCAGAGCGGGAGAGAGGTAGAGCGGGAGAGATGGAGAGAGGGAGAGAGGGAGAGAGGGATGCTATGAGGAAACAAACTTACACATAATGTACAGTACAGAGAAACAGACAGATGGTAATGCCCCTTTTTCTATTGACCCCCCCCCCCCCCCCCCACACACACATACACACTAAACACACGCACCAAACATATTAAAGACATTCATGTCTCACTCCCAATGTGCAGATGGTATTTCCATGGTATCAGCAGCGGTCAGCTCGTTGGAGAGAGTGTGTAATGTGTGATATGTGATTGGCTCTCAGGGGAAAGCCAGAACACAGCTTCAAATAGCCTGATAACCACAGAGATCCTCATCTGTCTGTCTGTCTGTCTTTCACTATGCTGCTGCTTTCATCTCTGCTCCATCTCAGTATCATTAATTGAGGATACTCACAGCTGTAATTTCTATACAGGATGTTACCATTCAAATCTATACCCACTGACATACTTTAGGCTACATTATAAACTGGGTGGTTCGAGCCCTGAATGCTGATTGGCTGACAGCCATGGTATATCAGACCGTATACCATGGGTATGACAAAACATGCATTTTTACTGCACTAATTACGTTGGTAACCAGTTTATAATAGCAATAAGGCACCTCGGGGGTTTGTAATATATAGCCAATATACCACGGCTAAGGGTTGTGTCGTGCCTAAGAACAGCCCTTAGCCGTGGTACATTGGCCATATACCAGACCTCCTCGGGCCTTATTGCTTAAGTATACTGCTGCATAGAAGGCCATTTCTAATCAGACTTCTGATTATTTGTCTAAGTTACATAATCTCGGTTAGCCTTGCCTTCAGACACATTATGTCTGGCAATATTATCTGAGCAGTCCATAGATCTCATTTGACAGACCAACAAAAACTCCCTGTCTTGTTGGTACAAGTTACAAAGGGAGGGGATGATGAATCAGGACGTATCAGACAGTATAGGTTAAGACCAGACACAGAGAGGGACAGGATGGGACTCAATCACTCACCACTCCGGTCTGCAGCCCCGCCCCTCATGATGCGGGCCACGATCACAGACCCTGTGGTCTCATCCCTTCTGATGGTGGCCCCCTGGAACAGAGAGAGATGGATGGGGGTTTATGTGGGGTTATTTCTATCATTTCCTCATCCTGGGTTTGCATCCTCATTCTTCCCATCTATTCTTTCTGTTCTTTCCTCTTTTCTCTTCAATCAATCAACACAGCCCCAGTCCCACTTCCCCCATCCCTATATCTCCTCATCCCCTCATCCTCTCATCCTCTCAACCTCACCCATTTTATCTCTTTCCCCATCCCTCTGTCATCCTCTCTGCTACCATGACTCACCAGTGGTTCCTTGTTCTTGACCAGTCTGACGATCTTCACTGACTCCTCCTCCAGCTCGTCCTCGAAGTCGTCAGGCAGCGGTGGCAACACAGGGTCAAAGTTCTTCTGGGCCACCGTGTCATGAACGGACAAAACTGCCTGATGAGAGATGACAGAGAGAAAAGTTAGAATTGTTAGAATTGCAGAACTGCATTCTGAGTATACCAAACATTAGGAACACCTTTTTTTTATATTGAGTTGCAAGTGACATCAATAAGGGATCGTAGCTTTCACCTGGATTCACCTGGTCAGTCTATGTGATGGAAAGAGCAGGTGTTCTTAATGTTTTGTACACTCAGTGTACATAGAGATTGACATAGATAGAGCTATCCAATAACAATGGATGCGTGAATAGCCACCCCACTTTCCATAACCAGGTCTCTCTGTGTGTATGGGTGTTGTTTTGTTTACCTTGAGATGGGGGGATGTCAACAGCTGTAGGAGTTCCTTCTCCTCAACACTCATTGGTCCACTTTGTAGCTCATCTGCCACCTGCCAATCACAACAGAGCTGTCAGTCAGACCATGACCTCTGACCTAGTATAAACCTGTGTTTCCAACAGTGTGGGCTTGGGAAATAACTGAAAACTGTAACAGAAATATACTGAAAGTGTAGCAGACTGTTAGCAGTAATAGTCTAGAATATAATCAACAAATATACACTACCATTCAAAAGTTTGGGGTCACTTAGAAATGTCCTTGTTTTCGAAAGAGAAGCATTTTTTTTGTCCATTAAAATAACATAAAATTGATCAGAAATACAGTGTAGACATTGTTAATGTTGTAAATGGCTATTGTAGCTGGAAACGGCTGATTTTTAATGGAATATCCACATAGGCGTACAGAGGCCCATTATCAGCAACCATCAGTCCTGTGTTCCAATGGCACGTTGTGTTTGCTAATCCAAGTTTATCATTTTAAAAAGGCTAATTGATCATTAGAAAACCCTTTTGCAATTATGTTAGCACAGCTGAAAACTGTTGTGCTGATTAAAGAAGCAATAAAACTGGCCTTCTTGAGACTAGTTGAGTATCTGGAGCATCAGCAATTGTGGGTTTGATTACAGGCTCAAAATGGCCAGAAACAAATAACTTTCTTCTGAAACTCGTCAGTCTAATCTGGTTCTGAGAAATGAAGGCTATTCCATGCGAGAAATTGCCAAGAAACTGAAGATCTCGTACAACACTGTGTACTACTCCCTTCACAGAACAGTGCAAACTGGCTCTAACCAGAATAGAAAGAGAAGTGGGAGGCCCCGGTGCACAACTGAGCAAGAGGACAAATACATTAGTGTCTAGTTTGAGAAACAGACGCCTCACAGGTCCTCAACTGGCAGCTTCATTAAATAGTACCCGCAAAACACCAGTCTCAACGTCAACAGTGAAGAGGCGACACTGGGATGCTGACCTTCTAGGCAGAGTTGCAAAGAAAAAGCCATATCTCAGACTGGCCAATAAAAAGAAAAGATTAAGATGGGCAAAAGAACACAGACACTGGACAGAGGAAGATTGGGAAAAAGTGTTGTGGACAGACTAATCGAAGTTTGAGGTGTTCGGAAAGAGAATTTTTGTGAGACCCAGACCAAATGAAAAGATGCTGGAGGAGCGCTTGATGCCATCCGTCAATCATGGTGGAGGCAATGTGATGATGTGATGGTCTGGGGGTGTTTGGTGGTGGTAAAGTGGGAGATTTGTACAGGGTAAAAGGGATCTTGAAGAAGGAAGGCTATCACTCCATTTTGCAACGCCATGCCATACCCTGTGGACGGCGCTTGATTGGAACCAATTTCCTCCTACAACAGGACAATGACCCAAAGCACAGCTCCAAACTATGCAAGAACTATTTAGGGAAGAAGCAGTCAGCTGGTATTCTGTCTATAATGGAGTGGCCAGCACAGTCACCAGATCTTAACCCTATTGAGCTGTTGTGGGAGCAGCTTGACCGTATGGTACATAAGAAGTGCCCATCAAGCCAATCCAACTTGTGGGAGGTGCTTCAGGAAGCATGGGGTGAAATCTCTTCAGATTACCTCAACAAATTGACAACTAGAATGCCAAAGGTCTGCAAGGCTGTGATTGCTGCAAATGGAGGATTCTTTGACGAAAGCAATGTTTGAAGGACACAATTATTATTTCAATTAAAAATCATTATTTCTAACCTTGTCAATGACGATATTTCCTATTCATTTTGCTGTATTTCCTATTCAAACTCATTTCATGTATGTTTTCATAGAAAACAAGGAAATGTCTAAGTGACCCCGAACTTTTGAACGATAGTGTAGATATATACTGTAGAGTTGCACTGCTGTTGCCTAAAGCAGTGTGTGCTTGCACACACAAATACACACACAGGAGAAAAGGCAGCCAGGAGCTATTGCTCAGCACTTTTCCTATGAACTGGCGTGAAGAGAGAGAGGAGAGGCAGGATGTGGAGAGAGTCTCATTAGTGTTTACATGAATCAGCACTTTCAGACCACAACACATCACCATACCGTAACTCCATAACTCTCCATACCTTATTACCTGCATTCGGCGATGTCATTTACAAAATAGCCTCCAACACTCTACTCAGCAAATTGGATGTAGTCTATCACAGTGCCATCCGTTTTGTCTCCAAAGCCCCATACACTACCCACCACTGTGACCTGTACGCTCTTGTTGGCTGGTCCTCACTACATGTCCGTCGTCAAACCCACTGGCTCCAGGCCATCTATAAATCACTGCTAGGCAAATCCCCGCCTTATCTTAGGTCATTGGTCACCATAGCAGCACCCACCCGTAGTCTGCGCTCCAGCAGGTATATCTCACTGGTCATTCCCAAAGCCAACACCTCCTTTGGCCGCCATTCCTTCCAGTTCTCTGCTGCCAATGACTGGAACGAATTGCAAAAATCTCTGAAGCTGGAGACTCTTATCTCCCTCAATAACTTTAAGCATCAGTTGTCAGAGCACCTTACCGATCACTGCACCTGTACACAGCCCATCTGAAATTAGCCCACCCAACTACCTCATCCCTATATTGTTATTTATTTTGCTATTTTGCACCCCAGTATCTCTATTTGCACATTTGCACATCATCTCTTGCACATCTAGCATTCCAGTGTTAATACTATTGTAATTATTCTGCACTATAGCCTATTTATTGCCTTACCTCCATAACTTGCTACATTTGCACACACTGTATATATATTTTCTGTTGTATTTCTGACTTTGTTTTTTTTACCCCATATGTAACTCTGTGTTGTTTTTATTGCACTACTTTGCTTTATCTTGGCCAGGTCGCAGTTGTAAATGAGAACCTGTTCTCAACTGGCTTACCTGGTTAAATAAAGGTGAAAAAAAATAAATAAAAAATAAATAAATAAAATCTACCTCTCCTCTGTCTCAGCAAACACACTGGGACTGACTCCACTGGACGGGTGCTTCACACTTCGGCAGTGTGTGTGGTGTGTGTGTTCTTTGTTTGTGTGTGTGTGCATGCATTGTTGAACTTACATCCTCAGCCAAAGAGGCAGCGCTGTGAAGAACAGGTGTAGGACTCTGGCGCTCGTACTGTCTCAGCTTCTCATGGATCTGCAACACACAGCCAATCACAGGAGAGGTCAGGGAGGTCAAACACACACACGCACGCGCACACATACACAAATTAAACCACATAAGTGTACCATAACTTCCATTAACGTTGGCAACATTGCCACCCAGCAGAGGCGCAACTTTCACTGTATTTCTGTCCCCCCCAGTTTTATCATTGGAATGTGATACAAAATAAGGCTATGGTGTGCTTTAGGACCATGCAGACGCCTCTGAATGGTCGGGTAGGCTGTTTGGAGTGTTTATCCAACTGGATTAAAAAATATATATACTTTATATATATATATACTGTATATATATATATCTATATATATATATATATATATATATATATATATATATATATATATATAGTTATGTCCCCCCCCCCCCCCCCACTTCTAAAACCAAACTTGCACCCCTGCCACCCAGTCTTATGTGTACCTTCATGAGGTAACCCAGGCTCTTCTCACTGAAGATGTCTTTGAGGAAGACCATGTCCTCCTTGTGGTTGGCATCAGGACGCAGCTGTGATGTCAGCAGGGCCAGTGTCTCGTGCAGGCCTGTGGAGGAGGAGAGGAGGGAGGGTGAAGGAACTGGGATCCATCTTTGTTTACGCCCTCAGAGTAATGTAATATACACTGCTCAAAAAAAGAAAGGGAACACTAAAATAACACATCCTAGATCTGAATGAATGAAATAATCTTATTAAATACTTTTTTCTTTACATAGTTGAATGTGCTGACAACAAAATCACACAAAAATTATCAATGGAAATCAAATGTATCAACCCATGGAGGTCTGGATTTGGAGTCACCCTCAAAATTAAAGTGGAAAACCACACTACAGGCTGATCCAACTTTGATGTAATGTCCTTAAAACAAGTCAAAATGAGGCTCAGTAGTGTGTGTGGCCTCCACGTGCCTGTATGACCTCCCTACAATGCCTGGGCATGCTCCTGATGAGGTGGCGGATGGTCTCCTGAGGGATCTCCTCCCAGACCTGGACTAAAGCATCCGCCAACTCCTGGACAGTCTGTGGTGCAACGGAGCGAGACATGATGTCCCAGATGTGCTCAATTGGATTCAGGTCTGGGGAACGGGCGGGCCAGTCCATAGCATCAATGCCTTCCTCTTGCAGGAACTGCTGACACACTCCAGCCACATGAGGTCTAGCATTGTCTTGCATTAGGAAGAACCCAGGGCCAACCGCACCAGCATATGGTCTCACAAGGGGTCTGAGGATCTCATCTCGGTACCTAATGGCAGTCAGGCTACCTCTGGCGAGCACATGGAGGGCTGTGCGGCCCCCCAAAGAAATGCCACCCCACACCATGACTGACCCACCGCCAAACCGGTCATACTGGAGGATGTTGCAGGCAGCAGAACGTTCTCCACGACGTCTCCAGACTCTGTCACGTCTGTCACATGTGCTCAGTGTGAACCTGCTTTCATCTGTGAAGAGCACAGGGCGCCAGTGGCGAATTTGCCAATCTTGGTGTTCTCTGGCAAATGCCAAACGTCCTGCACGGTGTTGGGCTGTAAGCACAACCCCCATCTGTGGACGTTGGGCCCTCATACCACCCTCATGGAGTCTGTTTCTGACCGTTTGAGCAGACAAATGCACATTTGTGGCCTGCTGGAGGTCATTTTGCAGGGCTCTGGCAGTGCTCCTCCTGCTCCTCCTTGCACAAAGGCGGAGGTAGCAGTCCTGCTGCTGGGTTGTTGCCCTCCTACGGCCTCCTCCACGTCTCCTGATGTACTGGCCTGTCTCCTGGTAGCGCCTCCATGCTCTGGACACTACGCTGACAGACACAGCAAACCTTCTTGCCACAGCTCGCATTGATGTGCCATCCTGGATGAGCTGCACTACCTGAGCTACTTGTGTGGGTTGTAGACTCCGTCACATGCTACCACTAGAGTGAAAGCACCGCCAGCGTTCAAAAGTGACCAGAACATCAGCCAGGAAGCATAGGAACTGAGAAGTGGTCTGTGGTAACCACCTGCAAAACCAGTCCTTTATTGGGGGTGTCTTGCTAATTGCCTATAATTTCCACCTGTTGTCTATTCCATTTGCACAACAGCATGTGAAATGTATTGTCAATCAGTGTTGCTTCCTAAGTGGACAGTTTGATTTCACAGAAGTGTGATTGACTTGGAGTTACATTGTGTTGTTTAAGTGTTCCCTTAATTTTTTTGAGCAGTGTATAATAATAGATGCCATTTAGCAGACGCTTTTATCCAAATCGATTTACAGTCATGCGTGCATACATTTTACGTATGGGTGGTCCTGGGAATCAAACCCACTACCCTGGCCAACTGAGCTACATAGTAAGCCTGAGATTCGCAGCATGTGTGGTGTATTTCATCCTACCTGTGCCTGCTGAGAGGACCGGCATGGCTTCTTTCATGGGTCAGCAAAAAGGTGAGGCCTGGCAAAGAGAAGGAGAGAAAATGGATGAACATTGCTCCATTTAGTTATCCTCATCTCATACACACTGTGTTATTCCTAATGAGGATGTCGCTGGGTGAAAACTGTTTAAGGGCTTTGCAGACAGTTTTAGGTGATCCTAAAAGTACTGCATACTCTAATGATGTGTGTACCTCAGTGTGTGTGTGTGTTTGTGTGTCTGGAACAGATGTGCTGGGATCTGGAGAGCGGTAGACTCTTAATGATGCCAGTATATCCTCTATAGACAGGTTCTAGCCTGCATATTAGACTTCCTGTGCAGTAACCAGCCAACGCCTCACCTCGGTGTGTGTGTGTGTGTGTGTGTTTGTGTGTGTGTGTGTGTGTTAACAAGATAGAGACGTAAAGTAGTGTGATACAATGCGGGCACCATTTATCACATTGACTGCTAGCACCGTGTCCACTCTGTGCTGTGGGCTCCAGGGCATGGCAAATGAAGCTTTGTGTGTGTGTGTGTGTGTGTGTGTGTGTGTGCTGTGTGTGTGTGCATGTGCGTGTGGGCGCGTGAGTGTGTGTGTCTGCTGAATCTGTCCTTTCTGCTTCGTCTGTCCACTAACACCAACAACACAACCACATCCATTACACTCAAGTCTGCTGTCAGCTGTGGGAGAATCATGACGATATACCCCTTTAAACAGCCATTCCTTCACTGTCAAACTAACAATGAATGCCCATAAAGCTCCCTGGTCTGTTGGCAGGGAGAATTATGGCATGTCCTGGATTAAGCAAATACTTTTAAAAACAAAATATGCCCCTTAAAATATCAGAAATACTCACATACTGTAATTGGAACATTCTCCCAAAACAGATGTTATATTGTGCTTACTTCTTAGATCCACAATCTGCAATTCTGAGTAACATACACTCTTAGAAAAAGGTTATAAGTAGAGCCATATACAGTGCATTCGGAAAGTATTCAGACCCCTTGACTTTTTCCACATTTTGTTACGTTACAGCCTTATTCTAAAATGTATTAAATAATTTTTTCTCCTTATTAATCTACACCCAATACCCCAGAATGACAAAGCAAAAACAGGTTTTTAGAAATGTATTAAAAATTAAAAACTGAAATACCTTATTTACATAAGTATTCAGACCCTTTGCTATGAGACTCGAAATTTAGTTCAGGTGCATCCGGTTTCCATTGATCATCCTTGAGATGTTTCTACAACTTGATTGGAGTCCACCTGTGGTAAATTAAATTGATTGGACATGATTTGGAAAGGCACACACCTGTCTATATAAGGTGCCACAGTTGACAATGCATGTCAGAGCAAAAACCAAGCCATGAGGTCAGAGACAGGATTGTGTCGAGGCACAGATCTGGGGAAGGGTACCAAAACATTTCTGCAGCATTGAAGGTCCCCAAGAACACAGTGGCCTCCATCATTCATAAATGGAAGAAGTTTGGAACCACCAAGACTCTTCCTAGAGCTGGCCGCCCGGCCAAACTGAATAATTGGGGGAGAAGGGCCTTGGTCAGGTAGGTGACTAAGAACTCTATGGTCACTCTGACAGAGCTCCAGAGTTCATCTGTGGAGATGGGGGAACCTTCCAGAAGGACAACCTTCTCTGCAGCACTACACCAATCAGGCTTTTATAGTAGAGTGGCCAGACGGAAGCCACTCCTCAGTAAAAGGCACATGACAGCCGGTTGGAGTTTGCCAAAAGGCACCTAAAGACTCTTAGCCTATGAGAAACAAGATTCTCTGGTCTGATGAAACCAGTATTGAATTATTTGGCCTGAATGCCAAGCATCACGTCTGGAGGAAACCTGGCACCATCCCTGCGGCGAAGCATCATGCTGTGCGGATGTTTTTCAGCGGCAGGGACTGGGAAACTAGTCAGGATCGATTGAAAGATGAACGGAGCAAAGTACAGAGAGATCCTTGATGAAAACCTGCTCCAGAGCGCTCAGGACCTCAGACTTGGGGCAAAGGTTCACCTTCCAACAGGACAATGACCCTAAGCACACAGCCAAGACAACGCAGGAGTGGCTCAAGACACGTCTCTAAATGTCCTTGAGTGGCCCAGCCAGAGCACGGACTTGAACCCGATCGAACATCTCTGGAGAGACCTGAAAATAGCTGTACAGCGATGCTCCCCATCCAACCTGACAGAGCTTGAGAGGATCTACAGAGAAGAATGGGAGAAAAGCCCCAAATACAGGTGTGCCAAGCTTGTAGCATCATACCCAATAAGACTCAAGGCTGTAATCGCTGCTATAGGTGCTTCAACAAAGTACTGAGTAAAGGCTCTAAATACTTATGTAAATGTGGTATTTCAGTATTTATTTATTTTTGTGCAAAAATTTCGAAAAACCTGTTTTTGCTTTGTCATAATGGGGTATTGTGTGTAGATTGATAAGGGGAAAAAACAATTCAATCCATTTTAGAATGAGGCCATAACGTAACAAAATGTGGAAAAGGTCAAGGGGTTTGAATACTTTCCGAATGTACTGTAGTTCTCCCTAGAACCCTTTATGTAGGGTTCTTCATAGAACGCCCTGTGTATGGTTCAACCTAGAATCTTCTATGAAGGGTTCTTCCTAGAACCCTCTATGAAGGGTTCTACAGAGAACCCTTTTATCTGTGGAGGGTTCTTACTAGAACCCTCTATGAATGGTTCCACCAGCCTTATTAGCCTTTAAAATGTAATTATTTAATACATTACATATATCATAAGGCCTTTTTTTGAGGGCCTAGTTATACCCTAACACAGTGGTTCCCAAACTGTGGGGCGCGCCCCCCTATTACTCTTGAAAGTTGTAATAGTAGAATGCACAAGGTGCAATTTCGAAATTGGGTAGTGCATCATCAGTTTTCCTCTTGTCATGTTAGTCATTGCAGACCTTAGAGAGATATTTATAACTTATCAGAAATGTTCAGATCAACTAGCCCATGTCAGCTAACGTTTCTTAGCTAGGTTATTTAGGCCATAGATTTTGTTGCAATGTTTGAGTTACTCAAATATCACATGAATTCACATTAGACATGGCAAAATGTATATAATTGCAAGAAAATTAGCTTTAAACCTGCAACATTTTCGCTCCACCAACAAGAGGGGTGTGAACAGTTTGTGTCATGAACAGTGCTTGTACCCATAGAAATAGACATGGCGCACGCGCGCATGGAGGGCGTGGGATGTTCCCCAATGTTGGAAGGGGGGCCTGAGTGGAAAACTTTGCAAACCCCTGACCTAACACAGTGGTGTTAGGAAACTCCTGGTTTACAGGCTACATCAGGCCTGCAAGTCACATTATGCTAGCTTGCAAAGTGATGTTTAATTCCTATTGGAATCTAGCCAGAGTTAGGATATCCAACAAGTGGAATTTTAAATCACCCGCATACCTCTATTCAGAATGACTGCCATGGTAGGGAAGATTGAATACTGAGACTACCTCAATCATCTAAACTGGAACAACCATCTCAGTTATGGGTGCAATAAGTCCAACCACTAACAGATTGGATTAGTTTAGAAAAATGTATGCTATTTATATTTTTGTTGCATAAAATGTATCAATCAAACACAGACATTAAAACAAACAATTCTAAAAAATCACCCTGCAATAGAGCATGCTGCGAAATATTATATATGGTTCTATGTAGAACCCTTCTTGCTTTCCAAAGAACCCTTATTGCCTTCTAAAGAACCATCAAAGAACCCTTACTTCCAAAAACCGTTCTTAGGATGTTAAAGGTTCTAGGTAGAACACTTTGCCTTACAAAGAACCCTTGTGTTCCAAAAGGGGTTCTTCAGATCAAAACGGTTCTTGGTAGAACCCTATCCCTCCACAAAGAACCTTTTTGGAACCCTTTTTTCTAAGAGTGTACACTCATACAAAAAAGCACTGATTCCAATACAGCATCAGCATATTTCTCCCAGCTCCCCCAGCCCTTTCTCTTCCTCCTCTCCTACTGGTGAAACCCAGAGATACGGTACGATAAGGTACGGTAAGGCAGAGTAATGGACAGAGTGCAATCTTACACCAGGCCTACGGATCAATACCCTCGTCCCTCCTCTTTATGCACTCCATCTTTTATCCTGCCTTCACACCACAGACAGCCACCCAGTATACACCCTCCCTGACTATGATCTACTGCTATTGTGTCCCAAATGGCACCCTGTTCCCTATATGTGACTAGTTTCAGGAATCTAGGCATATGTCGCGGGTCACTACTTCACAGGAGAGCCATTTGAACGTAAACTTTATTTTAAAAAATCTAAACGTCTGCAAAAAAGCGTAATGAAATTGTTGCCAGCAGAGCTGGTTAGGCTGTTTTCATGTTATCCAGAGGTAAACAAATCATCGGTAAACAAATCATCGGCTAGAGCGTCAAGTGTGCGCTCTGAATGCTCCGAGTGCGAAACAAGATGGATGGGGCTAAAACTTAAGAGGGTGTGAACGATGCTGAATGGGTGTAGACAAAGAAGAGCTCTTCACTAGATACCAAAACATTCAAAGGCCATTTTCTCAAAAGTGAGTTTACAAGTTTATCAACTTTCAAAGCAGAATTACTTTCCCATTGTTCCTCAAAAATGCAGTGTATGATATACCATTTTTTAGCTCTGAGGCTCTAATTTTATCCAATGTAAAAAACACAATTTCAAATGTTGCTACATAAGACCGATTTGAGCCAGTTGGTCACATATAGCCCTCTATTTTTGACCACAGCCCCATGTGCCCTGGTCGAAAGTAGTGCACTATTGGAACAGAGTGCCATTTGGGAAGCATACCTAGACTGTGGGAGGCAGAGTGTCACTGTACTGTAGACTATATGCAGCCACTGTTGCCAGCAAAGCCAGTGTTAACACTAATGCCACCACTACAGCCACAGCTGATTCAATACTATTGAAATGCTATTGAAATTCAACTAACAGTTTTCAAGGCCTGATTAAACAACAATTACCACTTATGCAAGTGCATCTTACGCTTCCAAATGGCACCCTTTACACCCATCAA